GTTGGATGGCCGGATGATGCCCAATTGCATCATGTGTTCGAATTCGGCTTTGGCTGCTGCTAACTTGTCAGGTGGTAGTCGACGAGGACGTGCTCTGACGGGTTGACCAGTTGTGACAATTTTATGCGTGACAGAATGAGGAACTTCTTCGATATTATAAGATGGCTTTAAAATTTTTGGGAAACGATGCAGTAATGCGGAAAACATGCAGTCATCTGGCTTCTCGATGCATATGTTATAAACAGAGTAGTTTGAGATGATTCCGTGGACTTGAAGCTGGGTGCAGTTATCAATCAGCTTTTTCTTGTTGACATCAACCAGCAGATTGAAATTGCTTAAAAAATCGGCACCCAGTATGGCATGACTAACGTCAGCTACTATGAATATCCATGTAAATCGACGGCGTAAACCAAGATCCAAAATAAGTGATTGTTCACCGTAAGTCTGTATGCTGGTTTGGTTAGCTGCTCGAAGTGAAAGTTTTGCAGCTGTGCTAGAAGATCGCCTGGAGAGTGAAGGAGGTATTACACTAACTTCGGCTCCTGTGTCTACCAGGAATAATGTGCCTGTGGTTTTGTCCTTCACGTAGAAAAAGCGACTTGAATGGTTGCCAGTAACAGCTGTCGCCATCACTGTCTGGTTGAGACGTTTCCCCTGAGCCTGATTCTCTTCACTAAAGATGCACGGTCTGACACATTTCAAGGTATGACGTCCAAACTTCCTATGATACCAACATATATTACTGTCCCTAGAAGACATGCGGGACCGCTGTCGGGAGAGAGATCGTCTATGTGATGGTGACCGTGCTTGTGAACTCCGCCTCTCGACTCGTCGATCAGATCTATGTGTTTCCAACTTGTCAAGCCTTGCCGCTAAGTCCGCAATGGCGGTGAGTATTGGTGACGACATTATAGGTGTGAGAATATTGATACAAAGGGGAATACAAATATGAGGCCACCAACAAAAACTTGCAATGAAAGTACAAAATAGCAAAAATAAGTATATAGATACGTGAAAACAATCCGTGTTCCAAAACGGGCTCACCAATTAAGTGTAGTGGACCTAGTAGCTAGGTAAGTATATAAACGCAATTAAAAGTACAGAACAGGTACTAACAAATACGTATATATAAAATATTCAGTTCACTTAAGTTAATATACACAAAAAGGACTGAGATTATTTGAAGAAAAACTATAACAGTCACAGAATACACAAATTATAGACGTACGAAATTATAGGAATGTAATTGTCCTTCTCTTGATTATACAAATTCTCCACTACAACTTAGAGCTGTCAACCGTCGGAAGTCTCCACGTAGAGTAAAGCAGATAGGAGCAAAGTTCTTGACGGGGATGTGTCAACCAGTGCGAGACAGCGTTGGTCAGCAGATGTGCTGGGCGAGCAGCCGGAGAGAGGGCGAACGATTCCTTCCTTGCGCGCGGTTCAAGGTTTAAGGTCGAATTCCTTCCTTTTTTTGTGAACATATAATTTGATATGTTTTTAGGCCGCCACATATTGACTGAGCAAAGCTCGGGATGAACGCCTTCGCTTGGGAAGTATCTCCCATTATTCGACGGAAATTGTCCAGTATCCAAATTGTATCACGTTAAAATTGCTTCTCGATTCTAACAAATAGAACTGTACGCCCACATCCAAAGTTATCTGGTATCACAAACTGGACCAAAGATTATCTGCATGGTTATGAGTGAATGAGCGAACTTACTTTCCCCTGTTATTGTATGTTGAATCCCTTCTTACAAATGATCATGAAAATCTATTTGGTGATAAGTCGTAAAACACTCTTTATCATATTTCGGATATCTTCGTCCGAATGCGACTAGATCTGCTTCCCAATGGATTTGACTAGGAGGATTCATTACGACTCGACATTCCTAAAAGTGATACAAATTAAATTCATTCACATGATTAACACGCGTGACCTTATGTGACTTAAGTATTCACTGAATTCAATTATCATGGTTTACACATCTATGCAAATATGGAACACATAAATGGTGTGGAAAATATCATGAAAATTACGCAAATAATGTGTATGCAATATCATTAACTACTAGTTATTGTGCCATCAAATCATACTTCAAGAATACATTTAATAATACTGTGTTAGTGGCCTGGGGGACAAAAATATTGGAAAGTAACACAAGCACTAGATAAAAGTCATCCAACTGCAATACAATATCTCACATTCGCCAATCTTTCCTCTAGATGTGAACGTAGTGCGTGCAATAGGTCGACACTGTTAGCAATTAAGGTTCTCGCTTGTTAAAAGCCTTCCATTGCGTTCTCAGCTTCTTATATCTGTACTTCTTCCACTCGCACCGATTACCTGCAATGAAATTAAAAATGCTTCGTTAACGAAACCCATTATCGCCATAGCTAGTTACAATTTTCTCGCAGGAAACACGGAATATATGACCACTTGATTGAGAAATATCGGCTGAGGAGATATTGTACGTATAAGCACAACTCAAGAAATGCATTGGGAATCACGGGATCATAGTCACTGATAACCACCAAAGCGGCTGACCAGTGTCAAGGGAGTGTACGATTCAAAAAGCCTTGTGTCTATGTTAAAAACGGTAAAACGAAGCTGGAATATTTAAATATTGCATTTTTATCCATCACAGTTGTTTGCAAACCTTTTAAAAGAGGATCATGTAAAACCACACACTACAGTATCTACCCACGGGAAATCAAAAATCCAAATTACCTGCACTGCTGCGGGAAAGAAAAAGGTGAGTTAAATTTAGAACGTGATAGCGTCTATTCTCACCCATCGTATTCGGAGAGATGGCTTTGCTGTTTTTTCCATTGATGTACATCGATTTGCCTTTGACAACATTCCACCACAGACACCTCACAACTGTGGTTTGTACATTACAATTCATTAAATCATGTTTAATATTGTGCCATATCCTCGACAAATCCTATGTTTCTCGATTTAACGCGTCACTTTATATGTGGCTTGAATAATCTTTTGGATCATCGTTTCGGATTTCTTCTGGAAAAATTTCACGTTACTTCCCGACTCCCGTAAATATAAAAATTATTTGTCGTAGATCAGAAAATAGAGGTAAATTCCAAAATATTTTCTGGAGATAACTGGGATCAGAATATCCTCCACTGATTACTTCAGGCTGCACGCAAATCCCCCAACTCGAATGAGGAGCATTTACGTCTGCGCAGATTAACGTTCTAGTGGTAGTCATCTAAATAGTCAACTGCCTTAGTTAAGTTAACTGCAGTATTAGTCTTGAATATTGTTGAACTTTACTGGAGATTTTTCCAGTTATTCGTACTCCTCGGTATTTCCATTAGTTAAAATAGCGCTATCTCTAAATTTGCGTTAAGAAATCATATCAATTATCCCGACAGTAGTTGATGAAGTACACATTCCTATATTTATATATGTCTATTTTGCTTCCCTGAAAGTGTAAAATCTTTTTAGGGAGTCACTGAAAATAACTGAATTGTTCAGTAATCTGCTAATCATCTACTGAACCAAAATATTGAAATGAAAGACACTTAATAGATTGATTTCTTTGAAAATGGTCCCACCAGCGCATCGATTCCGAATTAATAGATTGCACCAATATTTTTCACTAAATGATGTCGATTACTTATCGACTTTAACTCACGGGTTTCAAAGTATAAGATGTAAGTCATTGACTGGCGGCGTGGAACGTCTGGCGTTAAAAAGAAACACCGAGCCTGCAAATTTCGCAAACATAACAGGTGTATGTGATATATAACACACACCAAGGTCCGCAGTCTTGGATCTGGCATGTCAAGAGTTCCACAAACACTCCATCACTGATCGGTGCAACAATATTACATGATATTAGCAGTTTCTAGTTGGCGTCCAGAACTCTTGTTTGTTTGCTTGTCTGTTCGGTCTTTGTCAAGTGTTCCAACCCTTCGCTGAATATGGGGAGTGCAGTTTAGACTAATTCAACACTACAGTTGATAAATATGACTGTGTGATATAGAATTACTGCCTCACTATTGAGGTCTGGAGAATTAGCTGTAAAAAGGGAGGAAAAAGACATGAGTAGACGTCAAGAGGACTGCAGAAGTAGTTGACACCTAATATCCCCGACTTTTCACCAATATATATGGTGAAGGTAGCCTTTGTATTTTTCTTTTTCTGTGTATTCAGCTTTAATTGTGGACAGACTTTCAACCTGAGCTAAATAATGGCCTAGACTTGAACACGCACAGCTTCTAGATCACGTGTCCCAAGTTCCTTTAGATTATTTTATTTTTTAATTTTTTATTAAAGCTTGATTCCACACCGTATTTTGGTACAAGTGTGGAATTTTCAGCATGTGATATCGGTAGCCCAAATTTTGCAGGCCAACCAATTGATATCAGGTGTCCGTCGATAGGGGATATAACTCCGGACCATATGCATGGTCGGCTGACGTACTAACCGCTGTACCATCGACGCATGATGATATTTATCCGATTTTCGATATGTTCGTCTGTTTAACCTTGTGTCACCGTGTGCACCTGTGGAGACGTGACATGTGCTATTGACAGGATTTACAAGCAGTACATAGATATAGATATAAATATTTATATCATCTGTAAGAATATTGGATAGTGGAGAGGTGGATTTAATGGTGAATAGAAGTGGACGATTCTTGTGGAACGACATGGAAAACGTGAAAGTAAGATAAAGAAGCACAATATGAGAGACAGAAGCACCAGATTACCGAAGAAATGTGGAAACTGTTATTTAAGCATATGGTGGACTCATTTTGCCTATCGGCACATCGAGTTCTCAGTCATCCACGTAAGTATTCTTCCTTCAGTCTGTACTGCTTATGGTGGCGTAATGTTGTATAATTGCAATATTTTGTATTCTGTCTTGTTAAGTATTCATTCACAGCAATAATGTTGGTTACATTCCCGAAAGCATTGAAAATTGAAGTTTCAAGGTCAGCTGACTTGTGCCAGAAGGATGTTAGGTATGTGTTTACGAGTCCATGTTTCTTATGGAAAATTTCCACCGATAGACACCACCGTTACGAGTGCAGAGAAGCATTTAAGTTCAGTTTAGGTTGGTTAAGAAACAAAACACAATTGTCTTTAACGGCAACAATAATAAGTTTATTTATTATCATTAAATTATTTATATACATATATATATATATATTTGGGTTGCATGTTGTAAACGGTATCTGTGAGAAATTACTGAAGCTTAGGCTTGAATAAAATTTTTTATCAAATGATTGTTCACTACTGTGTAATAGTAACATATGCTTTAAACCATACGTCGCCCCTAAAAGTAATTTGAGAAAATTTTAAAGGATATTGCGGGCCACTCCAGTCTCTAGTCATTTTGGGTAATTGGGGTTTGGATGGAATTTCGGCGACATCTTGAGGATAATTTCGGGATGTTGGGGGAGTTTTTATGTATTTAAATTCATAATAGGTGTGTATTTCTGGTCGCTCTCGACTTAAGGTTCAATTATAGGGTCATTTGCAGAAACCTAGGGACAGACTTCGGGGGCATTGCAAAATCGTCGGGGCAGTTCACTGTCCCACATTCTGTAATGTACCCGAAGTGTTTTTCCCCGAAAATTACGTAGTGCGTCCGAAGAAAATGCTAGCTGGGTTACGCAACATTTTCACATTAAGGGGCCCTGAAAATTTCCTCGAAGCCCCTTAATCTTCCGAAATAAACTATTGCGCCTCTTCCAAATGCGTTAAACTGATGTACAGCCATGAAAGGGATCGATTTTAACTACAAGAAGTGAGTCTCTGTAACTCAGTTAGCAAAACTGTCAGGCGCACCGCAAAAACATAGAGCAGGAAACTTCAAGTGCACTCGTGGGTGTGGGACTGTTGCGTATTAGGATCCGACTCCAATCTATATACTCGAACCGAACTGCGTCTTCGCGATTTCTAATGCTGTGTCCGACTAAGTCCTGACAATGTTGTATCAAAAAAGTACAAGTTAAGAGTTGGGAAATGATGTTGTTAAGATGGTTGAATTTCTGACGTACGTGAACAGAACCCAACGGTGTTTAACCGTGCAATGTTTAACAAAACAATCAAAAACTGGTGTTCATTTAAACGGTGGTAAATGTGTGCTAGGCACACATAAAATTACTTTCTGTAAAAGCCTCACAAAGGTACATGAATTAATTTTCGAAACGCCTGGTTGGAGTTAATAAATGAACAATACATGGTATATATGCGCGAAGTATGTTGAGTGTGCTCAAAGTTTTTGAAATTCCAGATTTATTGCATTTTCTCACGTAAAGATGATACACATTTACTTATTTAATATTATCCCTATTTTGGAAAAGGAGTGCCTCGACAACTTTGAACGCTAAGCAAATAAGCGTTAAATTCTCAAACGTACCCAAAGTGTCCCAGAGCTTCGAAGTTATATTATCGTCTTATTCAAGCACTTAAGCTCCAACATCTTTGAGGAAGAAAAAAGCTTATTAGGGGAAGATCAGTCATACTGTGTAGTGATGGGTGGTAAATTCAAGTTTCTTTAATTAGACCAAAGTAGACCATGTTGATTCAAGAAGTTTATTTGTTCCAACGTATAACGTTGGATCTCACACCAGAGGTCGGAGGAACTGCGTCCGCTCCCATTTCTATTCACCTCCCTGAAATGCCTTACCAGAATATGTAGCTACCATCTGTGGAGGGCTTTACGCCATGGCATGATAAATATATAGCAAAACATAGACTTTGTCCACTTGACCATACTGAGATGCAATTGTCACATATCTCAATATCAGTGGGTCTCAAATAAACTCTTCCTTGAACCCCGCACAGTCTTCGTTATCTCATCACTCTGCCTAATTTGCATATTCATTTACCTACTTTTTATTTATTTTTGATTATTTATTTGGTGATTTGTTCATCTCCTTTTCACATACACTTGTCATTAATTACATCAGTGTTATTACCATTATTGTTATTGTCCCGCTTTTCAACCACACGTGAATACTAACGGTTGCAAAGACACCCCAGTCAAGGCAGTGCCACACTACAAATAAAATATAACCAACCTCGCATACCACTACCGTTGAGGTCTGTCAAAGGTGAGACGGGCGAGTGGTGGGGCAAACTGTGCAGAAACTAAATGAAGACCAGGAACCGCCATCTTATAACCAAGAAATGAGCTCGAAGAAATCACTTCAGTCTATGATTGGTCTTAAAAGCAGTACTAAATATTGGAACGTTGGCTGCAGATAGCAATTTAAACTCATTTCTAGCACAAGCTACAAGAGTATGAATGATCAAATGAATTCGATAGCAGCTGACAAATAAACCGTCACTTGTGAGGTTATCTCAATTTTTAATTTAAACTGGAGTAATGATAATAATAATAATTAGTCTTATCAATAATAAGGATGAAAAAGTGAGGCAATCTGTGATAACAAGAATAATGAAAAACAGCATGATTAAACAAACAACTGATCAGGTGGAAGTAGTCGATAAAGGCTAGTAAAAACAAATGAACCGATTAAGTAATGTTAGATTGTAAGGGAAGTAAATGAAACACGTTTATAATGAAAATGTGATAAGATTAAGGGATGATAAGAAATGGGTTGAAAATATAAACAAGGGGTGGTGTAGAAGTCATTAGTTGGTTATGTCTTAATAGGCCAAGGGATGTATATTAGAGTATATGTATATATTATAGTTAAGCCTGATGAGATCTAATTGAAAACAATATTGTTCGCTTAAATATATATATATATACGATTACTCTCATACTGTGTTATGTTGTGCCGTTCTTGAATTATGAAATAAATTTAGTTCATTGTTGGTAATTAGTAACTAAACAATAGAGTTTGTATAACCTACTTCTAGTTTTCTGTACTGTATTTTATTTACTATGTCCACATAGATTAACAGGCTTAATCCTGGCCTTTTATGGTTTTACTGGTAAATGTCTGTACACAATAATCTGTCTTTTAAGCCTCATACTATCCAAAATATTAACTTGTGCTTTCGTCGTACAGAAAACTGTTTTCTTCTTTAGCTTCTTTCCGTCCATTTCTTGGTATACACTTAGGTTTAAATAAGATTCTGATTCACCTATTTGAAACATAATTCTCATGAACGGGAAGTGGTAGTTAAGGTAATGAGAAGAAAGTCATTTATAAATTTGGGACTATCCTACATGAAGTACGATAAAATATGGAAAATTCATCATTACTCACTAGTTCTGAAACATACATGGATATCTTCTTTGTTAACTGAACAGAACAAATACAAATCACATCTAAAGTTATCCGTCGAAATCTTAACATGAGAAGTGGTGATGTAAATCTAAAACTACATTTTTCTGACAGCCCCTGTAATTTCAAGTAACCTGCTTTAGTAGTTCACCGCAGATTCATTAATCTATTTTTGTTTCTAAATCTTCATGTCGCTGGAAATTTTTTACGTATCGTTTCACTTATTCATGTGTTTTACCGAATCCTCTTGTTTTTTAATTTTAGATTATACACTGAAAACCCTGTAGCCTATTCCCAGTAGATAATCATTGACAAATTCCTCTGCAGTTAAAGAAATCCAACAGCACATCAGACTTCTACTATTTAGATATGGATTATGAACACAGACATACTAAAGGATCATATTTGTTGTCATCACCTGTTTATTTAAAAGGAGAATGTTTGGTGAAAAATGGGCTCTTAGAGAATACGATACCCCAGAGAAACTTTCTAACTGCTGATACTCTACCTGTACCATCAACAGATAACAAATTATTGTCAACTTTAAGATTCCAAACCAAAAATCATATTTTGACTCCTTGTCGGATAGAAACAGTTAACTCTACTCATGATGAATGCAACACAAAAGAGCCAGCTGATGACTATACTACATTCAAATCCAAACCTGTTGATTGGTTACAGAATGCTATCGTGAAAATTTCAGATGTCCTACCACAGAATATATTTGATTGTGGCTGTGGTGAAACTGCAGAAAAACAACTTGTTCAGGATAAATTTGATTTATCGATAAACGAATGCAAAGACACGTGCAGGCAGCCTAAGGTATATTAGGATACTCCTTTTGACAAAAACAAACTTACAGATAGACTTAATTAGCTGCATATCTTCTTCTGTTGTTGATGGAAGTCCGTCAAGGGAGAGAAAAAAGATTTTAGGACAACTGATTCAAACTTGTGTCAATAAGGATCCAGAATTCATACTTAAGGTAATTTTATAAACATTTTGCCTTAGTGTTCAGGCAGCTTTGTACTGCCGTAGAGAGCTCAATATACGTACTACAACTAACCTGTTAATAGCAAGTGCTTGCTTTCACGAAAAATCTCAAGCTTTTGTTAGCAAGTACTTTTCAGCATGTATTAATACACCATCAGACTGGTTGGAAGTTACTGAATATTATGCAGTAAGATCTTACATTACAATATAATGTTTTGAAGGTAATAAGTGGTAATTCATCCTTAAAAGGGATGCCTAAAGTCTTACGAAAGAATTTGACTGTGAAATTTTCTGAATTCGATCAGTACCAGCTAGGTGAGATATGGGTTTTTCTAAATTCATCTTTGCAGCTAAACACTGTAGGCACAAAGCAAGAGCTAATCGTTCTGCGAAATCAAAGGTAATTTATTGTTTATCTGTTTGTGAACCCGTATTAGCTGCAAATAAAACAACCGTTTGGTGAGACAATGGATACACAGGTGTATACCTTCATTCATAGGTTGACAAATTCACCTCCTGTTTATTTTACTATGAAAGATATTATTCGTAGACTGCATATATCAAGTCCTAGACTGAATGTGATGTGCATTCTTGGTAAAACGTATCCATTGGATGCTACTGATTTTATCCGTATGGGACTGGAAGGAGATTGGGATGAGTCTAAAGCAGGAAAACGCATGAAACTTCCTGTTCCCTTAACATGGGAAACAGAATTGTCTGTCAATGGTAATAACGCAAATTCTTGGACAAAACTTATCAGTAAGTTTTACAGTATATTTCAAATTAGTTTTGCTTATTCATATTTTTTTTAAACAGGAAATTACAGTAAGGATTGAAAGTTTTGAAAGCCTTTTAGATGGCTGATTACTTCAGCATCACTATGATAACAAAAGACAGTGATGTGATTGATGGCTTAGATTAAAACAAGAAATGAAAGTGTGCAAATTTTATCTTGCTCATTCCATAACCTTTGTATTTAAGATTTACAAATGGTGACTGGAATGCCAGTTATTCACCATTTTTGCATCTTACTTCACTGTGTATGTTGCAGTCTGCTGGACCACTCAAAGAAAATAATATTTGATTTAATTGGTGGATGGTGACTAGCAGTGGAATCCAGGGTGCGCACTTCGTCCTATTTGGGACTCGTCATCTGGATGTACCTGCATTTCTCAGTGAGTGATGATGTTCCCACCGAGTTTCGAACCCAGTGCCCATAGTTTCAAACGCCAAAGCGTTATCCACTAGACCACTTGGGCCACGAGAGCCACTGTCTCTTGTGCAACAGGTCATATTAATTTAATTTAATTTTAGATTTTCCCTTCGATTGATTGGACCGAAGTGTTCGGTCTCAGGTTGACATGTCGGCTTCTTGTGCAGATACTTAGACGATGTCTGGGCATTTAATTTGTGGATGGTGACTAGCAGTGGAAATCTAAAATTCAATTAAAATATTTGACTTAATATTTCCATACAAATATTGTTTCGGCCAAATATTAGTTTGATTGGAGATCATGCGACTACCTTATATTCCCATGACTTCTAAAAGACACCCCACTAGATGATTACACTTATCTAATCACTATACAAGTTACGAATAACTATTTAGTAAGTTGTACAAAGCACGCCCCATCCACTCTATTACATTAATGATAAAAGTCAAGATAGCTTGGATCTGTATAAATAATACGGTAAGTGAAATGTTAGGCACATATAGTTAAACCAATTACAGCTTATTATTACAATCACTCGTAATATACGACATACTGCTGGGTCATTCCCACACATGTAGGATTGTGAGTGAACTAGAATTTAGACACATTTATTTTCAAGTGTTGGTTTGTAGGGATTTGATTGGTTACAGGATTTCATCATGAGCTGACATCAGTTAGAGAACCATTGGAAAACCTGGGAGTACTGGACAGCTGTTTCGTCCTAGTTTGGGACTCTTCAGCAGTACGCACCCACCGGGATTCGAACCCAGGACCTTCTGGTTACAAGGCGAGCTCGTGTACCATTAAGCCACTGGGACCCGATCCAATGGTCCATGAATTCTAACTTCTGCCAATTCACGACATAGCGCGACCCCTAGCCAATGTCTTCGGCGAGTATTTGTCCTCACGCCCGACCTGCTGCACCCTACTGGTCACGACTTCTCACTAGAACCCCAGGTGACTACCCACCTGAATAGGGCAAGTCGCTAGTGAGCATCTCATTGATTTTCAAGTGTTGGTTTGTAGGGATTTGATTGGTTACAGGATTTCATCATGAGCTGACATCAGTTAGAGAACCATTGGAAAACCTGGGAGTACTGGACAGCTGTTTCGTCCTAGTTTGGGACTCTTCAGCAGTACGCACCCACCGGGATTCGAACCCAGGACCTTCTGGTTACAAGGCGAGCTCGTGTACCATTAAGCCACTGGGACCCGATCCAATGGTCCATGAATTCTAACTTCTGCCAATTCACGACATAGCGCGACCCCTAGCCAATGTCTTCGGCGAGTATTTGTCCTCACGCCCGACCTGCTGCACCCTACTGGTCACGACTTCTCACTAGAACCCCAGGTGACTACCCACCTGAATAGGGCAAGTCGCTAGTGAGCATCTCATTGATTTTCAAGTGTTGGTTTGTAGGGATTTGATTGGTTACAGGATTTCATCATGAGCTGACATCAGTTAGAGAACCATTGGAAAACCTGGGAGTACTGGACAGCTGTTTCGTCCTAGTTTGGGACTCTTCAGCAGTACGCACCCACCGGGATTCGAACCCAGGACCTTCTGGTTACAAGGCGAGCTCGTGTACCATTAAGCCACTGGGACCCGATCCAATGGTCCATGAATTCTAACTTCTGCCAATTCACGACATAGCGCGACCCCTAGCCAATGTCTTCGGCGAGTATTTGTCCTCACGCCCGACCTGCTGCACCCTACTGGTCACGACTTCTCACTAGAACCCCAGGTGACTACCCACCTGAATAGGGCAAGTCGCTAGTGAGCATCTCATTGATTTTCAAGTGTTGGTTTGTAGGGATTTGATTGGTTACAGGATTTCATCATGAGCTGACATCAGTTGAACTGTCATAGTCCTAACGATTAGCTGTGTAGCAGTAAATGAGCGACGGAAACATAGGAAAAAAAATTAGGATTATGTAGAGACCTTAGTGTTAAATTTTTTTAAATCAGTGAGTGAAGTAAGAAAAATATGCCCTTCTGAGGTTTGTACTTACTGGCATTTTAGCAACAGTCACCTAAGTGTTTTGAAATAATCTGCCGACATTCTGGATGCCATCAGTTCATATCCCATTTGGTCATTCCGTTTTAATTTTCTGAATGTAGTGTCCCTTGTAATAAATTACATGTTAACAAGGATGAGACCACATGATTTTGATATTTGTATTTATTCGGATGACTTTCAAAGCCATTTGTTCGTATAAAAAATATTGATCATCATTAAATGCTCAAAGCGTCAGATCTGCTAACTATCTAGTTGATCAGTTACTATGCAAATTCATATTTATACATTGTTTCTTCACCCAGTTCTACTTTAAATGACATTATGTACTGTTATATAAACAGCTTTTATTTAATTTTCTATGAATATTTAAAGCTTCTAATAAAGTACCACATATGGCGATGTTAAGAAATCTACGAAATATCCTAAAATCTGGTATACCTAACCATATCCATGAAATAGTATTGAAAAGACTTACAGATGCTGTGAGTTGTCATTTTGAAATTATTTAATTTTATTTATATCTATGATTATGGTGTTTATTTTTATTAAAAAAAAATACTTTTAACGTTCTAGATTGACTGACTAATCACCATAAAAGTTTAGACAAATATCCCTCAGTTGAAGTTTCCACACTTCAACAAAGCATACTAAATATGAGGACGGAAATGTAATACTACCAGTATAGGACAAAGAGACTTACTAAACTAATGAGTTTATTGGCTTAGAAAAGTAGAAAATATGTTTTTGTGCTAATCGACTTCATTCTTAAATGGCTAACAATTGATTACTTTATGATCATAGTGAAAAACACTCGATGTTGTTATGTGTTAGTCAACTTACTTTTCAGAAGTTGCAATTTATTTCGTTATTTGCCTAAAATTTAGTCTATTTATTGTTTTTGTTATCTAAAACTTTTATGAAATTGTCATTTTGAATAATCCAACTATAGGATACGGTGAGATCGCTTAATATAATATGGAATTTGACTGCTTGTTACCACTCGAAATTCGTCTTTCTTTCGTTTGATTTCCAATATGTTATATGGTAGTTAGGCTAGTAAACTATTAGACACAGTCAGGGGCACTTTCTTGGAAGTTTTGTATTACTGTTAATTGAACTCTTCTAAATCATGCAGTACTTACTACCAGTTCATGTCTTATCAGTAGATGAACACAATTTCGACTTAAAAACAGTTTCCACTAAACGCAAACAATCAATCTATGAGAAACTGAAACCTTTGCTCCTTCTTGTGCCTTAGACGGTTAGACTGAACAACTATACTTCTGAATGAAACTTGTGTAATGTATAGTTTATTGTCTATAGGACTGTTAAACTTAGAAGTTCAAATAAATCGTCACCCTTAAATTAATATCTAGAGTATCCCTTTGAAAATTATCCTTTTTGTTGATTGTAAATATACAAACGCGTTATTGAACTATTTAATTTCATTTTATCTCATGTTCCTATTTATTATACATTCTTATAGTTTTAAATAATTATCAAAACTCACTGACTATGATTCTGTATTGTACCTCTACCATAATACACTTTACAATACAATCATAATTTGCCTTTACTGGCTATCGTATTACTAAAATTATTGAATTTATAATTGTAGATAATGATGAATTTATTGAAAACACTTGTTCTCTCTTACGATCCTTGTTCTGAATGAATGTCTATTTGAATTTGTTAATCTTACAACTATTATTCTGTTTCCCAACAGCAAGAAGTTGTTGTTTGTGAATTCAATCAATATTAGGATTAAGGACCCTTACTGCAACTGCTCATACATCAGAGATAAATAGCTATCTGGTGTTTACTGTCCCACGAATTTCAGTGGTAGTATTTCCTGATAAAAACTTCCTTTAGTATGACCAGGGTTTCGAATGTAAGTTCGCAAAACTTTACTCTTTTATGTTTTTACGAGTTGATCACGGATTGATATCATTTAAAGAAACACTGAAAACCAGGGAGTATTGGACAGCTGCTGTTTCATCCTAGTTTGGGGATCATCGGCAGTACGCACACACTGGGATTCGAACCCAGGACCTTCCGGTTACAAGGCAAGCTCGTATACCATTCAGCCACTGGGACCCGATTCAATGGCCAATCCATGAATTCTAACTTCTACCAATTCGTGATTTAGCGCGACCTCAACCAATGTCGTCGGTGGGACATCCATCCTCACACGTGACATCTAAGTGGACCTTGTTGCTGCTCTATTTTGACTGAACTGGCGTACACGTATCTTCTAGCATTTCTTCGCGTTTACAATTGTGCCCTAACGTTGCGATTACTCGACATCCGCAACGTAATTCAAAAGGCACTTGCGAAGGAATACGATAGTGTATTATAGCAGCAATCAAAATTCGAAAATCGAGCGAGTGCAAAAGTATCAATTGTTAACATGCAAGATTTAGAGTAATAAATAAATGAAAGTACAATTACACAATGAAAGTATAGTACGATTATGAGTAATAAAACGGGTCACTACAACCTCACTGGTCACGACTTCTCACTAGAACTCCAGGAAACTCCATCCTGTAGCAAGTCACTAGCGAGCATCAGATTAATTTTCTATAGTTTAGTAGGTGCGTACTATCGATGATTCCCAAACTAGGATGAAACAGCTGTCCAGTACTCCAGTGCTGGTTTTCAATGGTTCTCTAACTGATATCAATCCGTGATCAACTCGTAAAAACATAACTAACCCTTACAAACCAAACTATAGAAAATTTACTCTTTTATACTTGATTTTTAGAAATGTTGATGAACATTTCAGTGCACTGTCTATTACAATCCTCTGATTAATTATCATGTTTCTTTAACTTCTGTTGTTCAAAAGTATTGCCTATTGGATAGCTATTAGCTCTGTATTTATATTTAAATTTTTCTTGTTCTCGGCACCTTGAAATATCCGTTCAGATCGGTTATACTTAGTCTACCATAATACACTCAAAAGTCTCTGACAGATGACTTGAGTCGTAAAAAGAAATGTAGTTTCTTGACCGTTTACTTATCATAACTGGTTGCATGAATGAACCAATAACCTATTATGCTGGGTATTTATCTTCTCGTTCTGTTTACTTCATTGTATGAGGAGCGGAACTCATCTATTACGTAAAAGTGTAAGAAATTTATCAACAGATTTCACTTTCTTACTTTACAATTCTCTCCTTTCTTCATATCTAGAAAATCATGAGCTACACTGCTAATTCAGAGTGTACGTAAACATCTTACGAAAAGAGTTTTGTACCCTTTTTGATAATATTAACTCAATACGAAGTTAACGCTTTTAAAATTTGACTGCATCCGTTTGTGGTGTTTTTATCACGAATGAATTGAACTGTGAGCTCAACCTCTCTATTTTTTTCTTTTTCTTTTCGGTAGCGTATTATCATTGATGGAAAGCAATTCCCTTTTCGTTACTTCACAGCCTTTGATACTATCCATAAATTAAAAACTGAGTTTGTGTTAACACGATATTTAAGGGCAATGCACGGTAAGTTTGATTGCTTGAGCTTGCTACCAATAATACTTGTTTTCCCTACTTGTTACATGTGATAATGTATGAATGAATAATAGTATGAAAATATATATCAACCTAAAATCTGACTGGATATGGCAAATTCTCAAAGTATCTGACTGTGTGATGCATATATGAGTATAACAGGGAAACACGAGTTTTCTCAAGGCCGTGTATACGCCTTACCGATGAGTGTTAACAATTTTCATGTGTAGATCGAACCCCGAACCACCTGCGTGGTCGGCGGTTCGGGGATCGATCCCCGGCCGATGCACTCCTTTACCTTACTAAGCAAGTAATAAAACTCTTAAAAAGGGAAGGTTAGCCATGAGGCTAGCAACCAACTGCTACCGAAACTTGAAATCTCTAGCATGAAGTCCTATGTTCCACTGGGAACATAAACGAATAAAATAAAAGATAATAATAAATAATCTAATCAGATTAACCACCATTTCGCTTCTTAATATATTAATTTGATTTTTTTCCCCAAACAGTTAAATTTTTTTGTGATATATTCCTAGAAAACAGAACTAAACAGAAAAATAAACATAACAACATATTTTTAACTTAGACAATAATTTTTTTTCGATTATTATATTATATTCGGTGGCACAGTGGTTAGGACTCTCGCCGACCATGCACATGGTCCGGGGTTCGATCCCCTGCCGACGCACACCTGATATCAATGGTCGGCCTGCAAAATTTGGGCTACCGATTTCACATGCTGAAAATTCCACACTTGTACCAAAAATACTGTGTGATTTCAAGCTATAATAAAAAAAATCGCAATACACTCGTCAGGTAAATTATTGCTATTGAACTAGTTTAATGTTTTAGTCACAGAAGGGTAGAATGGTATTATTATCATCATCAGGAAACACTACTATAGTCATACAGAAATGTCCATTCTTAATTTGTTCATAATGGTTGTGGACAAATGTTATCGATTTCGCTTAATTGCATGTACTTGCAGGGTATAGTTTATTCTGATGGCCTGGTTAATTCCCTGAGTTTGAGCTTCATCCGCATGCTTTAAGGAGCGACAGAAAGTATCTGAACAAGTAAAACAACAGATCCTGTACACAGCAGTCATCCGACTGATCGGTATGGATTATTCTGAAGATATATAATTCCGTCTTTCACAAAACTAACTATTTTAGCACTGACTGCCAACCTTATTTTCGTTCAATCTACAATAGTTAGTTTTCAAGTGTTGGCTTACAGGGATATGACTGGTTTCAGGGTTCATTACGAGCTGACATCAGTTAGATAACCGCTGAAAAATCAGGGAGAACTTGGTAGCCGTTTCCTTCTTGTTTAGGACACACCTGTCGGGTTTTGAACCCAGGATCTTTCAGTTATTGGGAGAGCTCGTGGACCATACAGTCACTGGGACCCGATCCAACAGCCCAGGAATTCCGACTTCCGCCAATTCGATATATATATAACCGGAAATCCTGTGCTTGAACCCCGGCGGGTGCGTGCAAGAGCTGGAACTCCAAGACTAATAAGTTTTATTCTTTATGGCTTACTGTTTTATTAGTTATATTTACAAATTAAAGTGTCCTCAGTTGCTTGTCCACCACGGTTTTGAGCTACGGTTATTTATATTCTCCACCTGACTAGACTATCGTGAGATTGTTCTTTTTGCAATGAAAATATTAAATTCAGTATCAATACATATTTTGTAGTTTATATTATTTCACTCATTTCTTCTAGAAAAATATAATAAAGTATACAAGGTAATATCCAGAAGACGGACTAAAAGATGTTTTTGGGTAGAAGATTATCTTAAAAAAGTTAATTCGATGTAAGCACTATACTTTTTATTGTGTTTCATTTTCTCATGTAAAAGTTGGTAATTTCATAGTTGTTCTATTTACATAACTTTAAAAATTATAAAAATACGGTATTCGAATTATGGAAGATTATTTTCATTTGACAACGGTTAATTGTATTCTAATTTGTAATCAAAAATATTGAGGAACAGAACTCGATCAGCTAATAGGCGGAAGTCAGAAATTCGTAATTTGCGGCATCGGTCTCGTCATATTATTGAAATTGGTGGGAGAAAGTAATGACAGATGTTTAAGATAATTAGTCATCCAAGAAATTCGTCAAATACCAGATATTCTTCGACCTATTTATTGAAGTTTCTTAGATTATTCGGAAGTCTGTCAGTTCTCCCTACTGATGGTAAAGTGGTGTTTCACTATCATTTTTGTTTGTATCAAAAACTCATCTATTAAATATGCTGGTGAATCGGTAGAAATATCAACGAAGCAGCTATTAATTATTATTTTTCTTCACCTGTTATAAAGGATACAAACGTTAATAATTCAACTGTCCGTTTTCCACACTATCATTTCAATCGATGCCTTGTAGTCGGTCACTCCTTGAATGGTGAAGTACAGATAATTCGTCGGTAGGATTCGAGATTTGAAGAGTTTAGCTGGGCTTGCACGGATACATTTATTCTATGTCACTGTGTTTTTCTATACACCTATCAGCTTTTCTAAATAACTTATATTCGATGATGCTATAACATCTTAACGTTTGTATGAAATCTTGAGCCGTCTCGTTTGACTGAATATCTAATAAATCTATGTACAAATGTTGACAGTGGATATCTCCAAGATTAAAACACTAAAATTCTTTCCAGAATAATAAGTGTTATTATTCGTCTCTATAACATCATATATTCCTTTGTATCCGAAATCTTTCTTCTTCACCCTGTGAGCAGATTGCCCATTAAAAATATCTGTAAGAGGTACTCACGGACATGTGAAATAAGAGTCCCAAATAATTACACCTTTGTGAAAGTAATGTGTATTTCTGCTATGTCTCATAAGACTCAAGCTGTGTACTGCATGCAAACTTTCCGTGTGGTATTATATGAAGACATCCAAGGCAACTCTTTAACTTCCTTTTAATGCGTACGTTAGGCATTTCAATAATTTCATTTCCTCAGCTATCAGCTATGCAGAGTGCACAACATTAGTTTCAGGGCATTCGCAATGCCCTCAAACAAATTTACCAGATTTTTTTAGCATGTGGTAGTATTTCCACCCTCCATCTAAATTAATTAAAGAATTGCACTGAGAATTTCTACCCTCATTGCAATAATGCAATTACCATCTATCCTTAATAATTCCGTGCTTCTCGTATAGTCTTGTTTAGTCAAAAGATAGCAGCACAACTAACAGTTAATTAGTATGACTAGAAGTACTCTTCAGCTATTAACTAATTTTCCTAAATTAAGTCTACATCATGCATCAAGTCTACATGCAATCAAGCTTCTGAAAGCTGGAAAAGCAGCTGGACCAGATGGAATACCCCATTAAGCACTGAAAGCGGACCCACAGACGACAGCAGATATGCTGACTCCATTATTGCAAAACGTCTGGAAGGAGGGAAAGGTGCCTACTGACTGGAGGAAAGGTTACCTCGTGAAACTACCAAAGAAGGGCGACCTAGGACTCTGCAAGAACTGGCGAGGAATCATGCTCCTGTCGACGCCAAGTAAAATCCTGAGTCGCATCATCCTGGAGAGAATCAAGGGCGCGCTGGATACAGAACTCCGACCAGAACAAGCTGGATTCAGGAAAGGCAAATCATGTTCTGACCAAATCGCAACTCTACGCATCATCATCGAACAAAGCATGGAATGGCAATCAAACCTCTACCTCAACTTCATAGACTTTGAGAAGGCCTTCGACAGCGTTGACCGCGAAGTAATTTGGAAACTACTCGAGTACTACGGCGTACCCCAAATATTCATCAACCTTATTCAACAGCTATACGTTAACAGCACATGTCAAGTGATCCACAACGGAAAACTCAGCGAGGCGTTTGGAGTAAACACAGGAGTCAGACAAGGGTGCTTATTATCACCAATGATATTCTTAATTGTGGTGGACTGGATTATGCGTCAGACAGTCGGAAACGAGAAGACAGGGATATCCTGGACCGACGTGAAGAACCTAGAAGACCTGGATTTCGCGCGTGGATGATTTATGTTTGATGTCACACAAAATCGAAGACTTACAAGCGAAAACCGACAAACTGGTCGAAGAAGCAGCAAAGACAGGACTGCAGGTGTACGTAGACAAGACGGAGGTTATGAAAATAACCAACCAACAACAAAAACAGCAGCAGCAACATCCAGCGCCAATCACCATCAACGGGAGGGATTTGAAAGAGGTTACTTCATTCACTTATCTAGGGAGCATTGTCTCAACTACAGGCTGTTGCAGTCCTTTATCAACAACTGTCTTCGTTCTATACTACTGAAGATCAGATGGCCGGAAAGAATCACCAACAAGAAACTATGGGAACAAACGAAACGAGAACCAATTGCTCAACAAATATGAAGGATAAAGTTGAGATGGATTGGACACTCGCTGAGGAGGCCTCTGGGTGACATCGCGCGTCAGGCCATAGCTCGAGTGGAACCCGAAAGGGAAGCCGCGAGTGGGACGTCCAAGGGTGACAGGAAGGAGATCGTGTGAAGAGGAATTGAAACAGTGTGGACTAACATGGACGCAGGTGAAAAGTACAGCAGAAGACAGAAGCAAGTGGAGACGTGTAGTTGAAGTCCTATGTTCCACTAGGAACCCAAGGGAACAACAATAATAATCAGTATACATCTATAGCCTCTTTAGTTTTTCATTAACATACTGACAAACACTCATTTTGTAATCAATCATAACAGTAAATTAGTTTGTTAGTTTGTAATATTTTGAAACTTTGTATCAAACAGATATTTGTACGGACAACAGTGTTTACTTGTGTGGTTTGAATATATCTCTGTTAACTCTAGTGTCTTGAAATGCAAATAACAATTTCTCCATTTCACTCTAATACTACATTTATGTCCATAAGAGAATCATTTAAAGCTAAAACAGATCGATTCCCGATGAAGAAAAAAAACATTTCAGGATAAGCTGGTTATTTGCAAAATTTTTAGCATTCTTAAAATCTCCTCATATAAACAAATAATAGCGAGCATTTTATGATATAATAAATGAAACAATGCTTCATTATGCTGTAGTGCATTTCGGTAAATGAAGTTACACGTTTATTAGAAATTTCATGGATAGAATCTTTTGAATATGCCTGATCGCTAAAAATTTCATTTTCGTTCAGTCAAAAAAGCATCGTTTAAAAAAATGTATCCAGTAACCAGTTATAATTCACCAGTCAGATAATACTCTTGATATGGTTATGAGAAATGAATTGGGCATAAAACTCCATCCGGTATACAGGACTGTATTCAATAAACTAATCTAGTTTAACTGGTTGGAGGATTTCATCATGAGATGACATCAGTTAGAGAACTATTGTAAAACCTGGGAGTACTGAATAGCTGTTTCGTCCTCCAACCAGTCAAACAAAATCACTACAAAAACCAATACTTGAAAATTGATCTGATGCTTTCTAGCAACTGGCCCTTTTCAGGCGGTTACCTTGGGTTCTAGTGGAAAGCCGTGACCAGTAGAGTGCAGCAGGTTGAAGGTGAGGCAGTAACTTATCGAAGAAGACATCGTGAAGTGGTCGCGCTATGTTGTGAATTGGCAGAAGTTTGAATTCACGGGCCATTCGATCGGGTCCCAGTGGCCTGATGGACTACGAGCTCGCTGGCCTTATAACCAGAAGGTACTGATGAATAGACACAGACCAAGACGAAACAGCTGTTCAGTATTCCCAGGTTTTCCAATTGTTCTCTAACTGATGTCAGCTCATGATGAAATCCTCCAACCAGTCAAACAAAATCCTAACAAAACCAATAGTTGATAATGTAGTTTAACTTTAAATTTCTTGACGGTGCACACTGAGGTGAATAATTTATAACATCTTTCGATAGATCACAAAGTGCAGTTTCGTCACTTCAACTTCTCCTTTTTATACATCAGAGAATTCACTCTGACATTTTAATTTTAATCATTCGATTGGAATCCAAATGAGAAGCGACGAGTGGGTCGTCGGTGAGATGGTGACATGGAGTAGATCATGTGTAGAGGAGGTGAGAAATTATAGGCACTTGTGGGCCCAGCTGAAGAAGACAGCGAAAATAGAATATCGTTAGTTACTCGGTTCTGTGAAGAAGGCCAAATATATTACTTTATGGTTTAGTTAGCTTAAGCTATTGTTTCTCTCTTAGTTGTAAAGTAAGAAGAATTTCTTATTCAATTTAGCAACCAGATTTGAAAGGTAATAGGATAATACCTTGGCAGTTCATAATACTTTATCGTCTTCAATAGTTGTTTGGTTAATACTTACATGTATGTTATGAACAACAACAGCAAAACGAAGCGTGGCAAATAGTGGTTCTTCTATTTTCTGTAGGCGCTGTTACATTTGCCTGCTTTACTACAGTGCCTTTCACAGTAAATAATAGAGCATTTTAAGTTTTCTAGATAATTTATCTATAAACATTATTTCAATGATAGTTTTGTGTGTTATTTTATTATTTTAATACCATTAGTCACTTTTTATTTCTTTTCATTTTCTTAATGCTATACTCTTAAAAGACGTTGGACGTATGATACTAAATTGTTGGGTCGATATCAAAAGGCTTTAAACACAGCTTTAGAATTATCAATCCAGTATAATCTGCCCCCAGTTTGTGGTTCAACATTAATTATTTGTTCTACTAGTAAATACACAAATCGTTCTGCACAGAAGAAGTCATCAGGATCAAAATCTTACGTAGGTGTTATTCATGATTTAACCTATTTTTTTTAAACATTCATTCTTCATTAATTCATAATCACCTTTGTGTTTTGTGTGATTTAAGTGAATTAATGCTTTTTGTGTATTATGTTGGTGATTCGTTAGTCAAAAACCGACTGATGAAGCAATTTGTCTAGCATAATGGTGTGATGAAGACATTTTTTTCATTCCTTTGCCTCCCGAGTGGAGCACAGAACTTCAAGCTTTTTGAATTCTCAATAGTGATTTTATTTCTACTGGATGGGGCTCTATTAACCTCACACCCAACCTTCCCTGTTTTCCTGACTTACTGTCGGTTAGTAAACCAGGCGAGATTACGAAGTTTACCATCCGGAAATCGAACCCAGCACCACGTGTACAGTTGGAAATCATCCTACTATCAAATCACCGACTTACTGACACTGACACTACGTGAAATTATCTGAACCATATCGAAAACCAAATGAGCCCATTTGGTTTCATCATGAGGTCATGTTTACTAATTTCTGTTAATGTACGGTTTGATATTATGCTAATACAATACGATGGACATGGAACTGTCCTCACATTCGACTTGGTTAATCCCATCATTGAATTCCATATTTCCACTCTAAGTTATACACTAGCCTTCTAGAATACAGATTTATTTCCTCACAGTCTTTGATAAAGTTTCTTTTGTATTAAAATTTATAAACATCCAGTTTTGCTAAAGTTCTGTGACTCATTTTTAAAGTTTTGAATAAGATTTCGTAATATGTCCTTCTTATTTTTGAAGACAGCATTAAACGCTTTTTCAAAACACCATATATTCTAAATCAACTGGTTTAATTGATCAAAACGTTAGTGTACAACTTTGAAATGCGTGTACCACAGAGAAACAGTAAATTGATGAATATCATACAACACTCGAATTACAGATTACATCTCTAATTAACATTTAAAAAACGAAAGCTTTTCTTCAGTGAACAAAAATGCCATTCCTAAATAATTTCATTAAGTCGAACCATATGCAAACATATCCAGGAGTAAATAATGATATTCATATTATCATATAATTAGAATTACTTAAGTAACTAATAGAAGAGTTTTATTGGTTCTAGGGTTCTAGTGGGAAGTCGTGACGAGTAGGGTACAGCAAGTCGGGCGTGAGGACAAATACTCGCCGAAGACATTGGCTAGCAGTCGCGCTATGTCGGAATTCGGCAGAAGTTTGAATTCATGGGCCATTGGATCAGGTTCCAGTGGCTTAATGGTTTACGAGCTCTCCTTGTAATCAGGAGGTCCCGTGTCGGAGCCCTGGTGGGGGTGCGTATCGATGAGGAGTCCCGGATTAGGACGAAACAGCTGTCCAGTACTCCCAGGTTTTCCAATGATTCTCTAACCGATGTCAGCTCACGATGAAATCCTGTAACCAATCAATCAAATCCCTACAAACCAATACTTAAAGAAGAGTTTTATGTTAGGAAATATATTTATCTCACCAAAGGTCATTAGTATACTTCAGAAGGCTAGTTAAAAATACTGTGAATTTCAGTCGGTATATCACAACAATATATAGCTAAAATGCAACTAGCTGACAGTTCTAAAATAGTAGGACATTTACATCTTTACTTCCATTGCTGGAATTCAGGGACATCTGTAATACATTCACTTTACTGTACTGAACAACCGTGTACAACTTATTTTAGTTTTTTTGTTTGTTTTGTTTTATATTCATTTACTTCTACTTTCCTTACAGATGCCTATAATGGGATTTCTTCTTGGAGCAATGTGTACATCTATATGTGAAGCTCCTACAACTTATGTTACAGTTGATAATGAATATAATGTAACTCCTTTAGAAACAATTCTTGAACAAAGCGAATTAAAACATAATCATGTTAAGAGTAATAACAACCAAAGAGACAAAATTAATTGTAGAAAAAGACAAAAGATGACTAAATCTGGATATATGGATATTGGCATTTTGCAAAAAGTGAATTTAATTTATGAAAAACGAGGTGTAAGTTTTTTTTTTTGGTTTGTGTGTAGTTACTTTCCATGTTTCATGTTTAATTATGAGGCAATATAAATACAAATGGGTTACCTAATGGCAGTTGTAACTGTCTGACCCTCAGTGTTGGTCGAAATTTATCCATAAGATGTATGTGCAATATAGCATACTGTAATTCTATATTAAATTAAGTTTGTTTGTGGTGATAGCTGTCTACTAGCCAAATTGGTAGACAGTAATTTACGTCAATATTTACGTTCCCAAGATTTGTCGTGAGAAACAACCAATCGGAAGACTGTGTTTGTTTGTTTACATCTCCATAGTAATGTACATGAAAACATATAAATATGCGTTGATTTCCTTAATAAATGATCTGTTTCCTGACTCTCGCCTTCTGTCGTTACATGTTTAAATAGTAATAATAATGATGATAACAATTCAAGATAATTAGTTGCTTTAATAAATTAAGGTAGCGTTACTAAAAGACGCAGTTAATTTTAACAATGTGATGTGTCCGTACAATGCATTTTGAACAAATTGATCACAAATATACTTGTCAAATTCAATTTATATGATAAGTACGTGACAAATGTGAGTCGGTGCCATAGTGGTTAGGACTCTTGCCGACCATGCACATGGTCCGAGGTTCGATCCCCTGCCGACGCACACCCGATATCTATGGTCGGCTTGCAAAATTTGGGCTACCAATATCCATGCTGAAAATTCCATACTTGTGCTGAAAATACGGTGTGGCATCAAGCTGTAACCAAAATAAATAAATAAATAAAAATTCGTCGTTCGCTGAAATTTCAATACATCAGAAAGAGGTACTTTCACTTGGATTCAGTTTTCTCTTCCATCAACCAATATTTCTGATTTAATTTGAATAAAGCAAGAACAACAGTGGTTTGTGCAGAACAATATGGTACCATCATTTATTTCGTTGGCTTCTCATCATCTCACCTGCGTACAGCCTAAGTAAATAATGAGGTTTATGTACAGAAAAGTTTTAACATACTTGCAAATTTTACATGTTGTCAGTTGACAAAAAGTTCCACAGTAATTGAACAGTGCTCAGAAAATTGCGCTTTTATAGTTTTTACACAGGTAATTCAAGTTTAAACAAAAATAAATGTCTGCATACAATGGTAAAGGCGTTACATAATAAAGACGAGAGATGCGTAAGATGCTGAGTGACTAACAAATTAGGTGACAATGTATTGAGTTCAACTCAAATCATAGAAACAAGAGACAAGCAAAATTACATTATGTCAAAGGAGGGAGGTGGGGTTAAAGCCAAAGATTACGTAATCAAATGAAAAAAGAATAAAGACATCCAGTTACCAGGGCAAGGAAAGACTAATAACTGCTTCTTTCTGAACACATAAATCTGGTTTCAAGCGTTTGATAGAAACTGCTTCGGCAAACTTGAGGAGAATCGAGCTTCTTTGTCTATTGATAATTTTGAAGGATTTCGCGATTTCCAAAATTATCAATAGATAAAGGAGCTCGATTCTCCTCAAGTTTGCCGAAGCAATTTCTATCAAACGCTTGAAACCAGATTTATGTGTTCAGAAAGAAGCAGTTATTAGTCTTTCCTTGCCCTGGTAACTGGATGTCTTTATTCTTTTTTCATTTGATTACGTAATCTTTGGCTTTAACCTCACCTCCCTCCTTTGACATAATGTAATTTGCTTGTCTCTTGTTTCTTCAAAGCCCTGAAGGAACTATGTGGTGGGACCGACATAGTTATCTTGAAAACTGACGAAGAATTACGTGTGATTAAAAAACAAAAATGTTGTCTATTCCTGATGCAAAAAGCAAATTCATACTGTAAGTCCCATCTGATGATATTAGAAAATTAGGAGGAAAAGTAACATCTAATCGAGCAAAACTTCTTGGCATGAATATCACTGATAAAGTGAAGCTTAATTCTCTAAACTCCATAGGATCTGACTTTCCAAACCTTTATAAATTATCAAAGATTCATAAAATTGACAATTCACTACTCCTGATTCTATCATTGTATCATTCCCCACACATAAGTCGGCAAAATAGTTAGCTAACATTTAAAACCCAATTCACAATAAATTATGTAAGTTGTCTTTGATAGATACTTATGAACTTGTTGATTGTCTTGTTGATATGAATATAACAGCCAAGAAAATGTATTCTTTTGTTGTTAATTCTTTGTTTACTAGTGTACTTTTGATGAAGACTACTGGTATTCTTTGTGACTGCAAATCAGCTAATTATCATTCATTTTCTATTCCTCTTAAATATTGAAATATTTATTATTATGTACTGAAAGTGTTCATTTGACTTTAGAAGGTGAACACTTTCAACAAATGGTTAGTGTTTCTATGGGGAGTCTATTACAGGATTGTCGGCTGTCTTACATTGAAAATCTGACTGGCGATTCGATAGCTAAGAAGCTTTTTATAGGAGATATGTTGATGATATCAACGTACTATGTGATGGAATCAACTCTGCCGAATCATATTAGGCTTACGTGTTGAACAGAAAGGTGCAATCGACTCTTAGTTTTATAAATTCTTTTGAGTTGGAGTGATGTCTCAATAAAGTCACTGATTTATAAACTATACATTAAATTTTTCAGATGAACTCCCTCTTTTCATAATATTGTCCAAATAACAATAACTGTTGCTTTCGACATGGTTTTGAAAATAATTTTTAATTGCAAATTTTCAAAGATTTACTTTAAAATCATCTTCAGTTTTTTTATACATTTTACTAGTCTGTCACGTCTACTTCAATCACATCAGTTTTGGAGAAATTCTATGCCCATCGTAAACAGGTAAGTATTTAATTGGATTTATTTTCCATGATATTCTAGATTTTGTTTTACTTTACGGTAATTATTCTAATTTTATTTTTAAATTTAAGAATAGAACACAAGTATTTCCAATATTATTTCAGCTAATGTAGCATCTAGCAGGCAGTAAATGGTCTTAATTTACGATCAATCCACCCAGATTCTTAAGTTCCAGTCTTCGGGGAATTTGCTTTATCAGGCTATAAAAGCAATTATTATTGATGAAAGTATTTTACGTATATAAAGAATTGGAGCAGTTTTAACATATTCTCATTAGATTACGTAGCACTGAAATGTTACTAGATTTAACTACTTTGATGAGGTATTAAATGAATAAGTATACTTAATTATTCATGGATTGGAATAATGGTTCATTTAAAGAAGAAATATTTCTTTCTACCCACTTTATTACCACTTTGTACAAGTGTATTTATATTTCATCAAAATGTTGATCAGGAGCCGAATAAATCGTTGTTCTTATTCATTCGTGAATGTGTATACTTCGTGAGGAAAGACAGTTGCAAAGACAACAATAAAAGAATTTGATGACTTTCTTCCTTACTCTATCAGATTTCGAGATTGGACATGAAAATTAAATGTAATTGGATAGAGGTCTTAATTTTTGGATGTTCTATTCTTTAGTTAATGCTGTTCTGTGTATAATACTTCGAAGACTGTTGCCAATGAAGGACTTGTTCTGCTAATTATCCTGTTAACTAGACAATAAAAGCTCAAAATTATTTAATTACATCTAAATGCTTTTGCTGTGTAACACAATGTGTGCATTGCCCTTATTAATTCTAGTTCGATAAAATTGTTGTCTTTGGAGACTGTCACCAGCACATTATTGATTATGTCGCAAATTATCGTGCTTATATTGGACCTATAAAAGCGATATGGGGTAATTTAAGTGGTGAAGACAAATGGTAAGAAACACTTATTATGTAATTACTATTACATTATCTAATTTGTTTGCTTTTAAATAGTCGACTACTAATTGCCTGCTTATTGACATTTTCAATTCAACTTTGAGTGAAACTAGATTTTTCGACATGAAGCATTAATATCACATTTCAAATTGTTTTACCGCCTCTTTTTTAATTGGTAGATAGAACGGTTGTATTAATACCCTTCCTAATTTTCATGTGTTAAAGTGGCACAAACCGTTTTCACTAGTTAGCACTCATTAAAAACCATAATTCTGTGGAAATTTGGCAAGTATTTCTCAGTATTTTCTTAAATTGAGGAAATATTTTAAAGACAAATCTTATTGTGAAGTCTGAGTGAGATATAGGGCTTCAACAACACACCTCCACTTTCTTCTCTTTGGTGCTGCCCTGTTCAGCTGGGTCCACAATTGCCCATAATCTCTCATCTCCTCCTCACACGATCTCCTCCGCCCTTGCACTGACTACCCATTCGTCGATCCCCATTTGAATTCAACTCGAGGGCCCAGTGCGCGATGTCATTTGACGGCCTCCTCAACGTAATCCCGATCCATCTCCATTTTCTCTTCTATGCTGACTACAGCTCCGAGTGAAATGGCACCCAATTAGTGCAGGTGCATACATTCATTGAAGAGAGCAGGTACACCTCAACACGAAACTTAGGTCCAAGCCTGTCTGATCGAAATGAAGAAACAATTTATTGGTCATCAAAATTATTTAACTGGCTCAAAAATTTCATTTTTATGTCTACTGAAATTTATAAAAGGGAAGCATAGAAAAAGTAAAAATAGACAGAAGACCACTAGTTCAGTGAAGAGTCTCTTTTCGGCGAATTCATGAATTAAAAAGTAAAAAAATGTTTTACGAATCGTAGTGTGCATTAGTTGAGTTCTAAATACATAAAGTATACAGTCGAATATATTTATATAAAATTACAACAGACAATAACATTCAATTTCCTTGTGTTAAAGTGTAGTTGTGAAGCATTGAAAATAAATTCTACATTAATAATGATGCATGAATTGAAAATGTATTACTGAGAATTATTTAAATATACCTACCAACGGCATAGTAAATCCAATATGACTAAAAAGTATTTTTCTGAGATTTTTTACCCAAATGTGTGAATTTATGAAGCCCTGCTTTCGTCATATTCGCTATTTATTTCTCAAACAATGCGAAACAATCTGACTATCCCCAACCTACTAGTCTGACCTATGTAATGGACCTCCCAGTCATTGCAAGGTATTTCATAAATTATATTATATTGTTTAATTGGGTCCAACGGGTGCATATAGCCTGACCAGTAGTTGTTAAATGTCTTATTTACAGCTTACATTGTTCTCTAGAAGATATTCAGTATAATCACTTCTAGTTTAATTTCTTAGGTATTCATCTTGAAATAGATTTTATTGAGTTCATCTTCTTCGTAAACTGATTATTGAGTTAGTCAATATTCTAAACGAAAATATCATGGTTCAAGATAGTAGTAATATGCACCAATCACTTCAGTGTGCAATTTATAAACATGCATCATGTGCTGGTTATTATTGATTTGTGTCTTTATTCCTTTTAAAAAAATCTCTTTAGAACTATCTTTTTCGCATTACAGATAAACAAAAATGTGAAAATTCATTTTTTTGATGTATGATATGAAATTTTGGTTGTTCGATGTATCACTTACTCACAATGCGATACTTATAATTACAAAACAAGCCTTATTTACAGAAATCAATGATGTTGATTTGAAAGATTAATGTAAATAAACCTGGACACGTTAAGTTGATGCTATCCCTTAAACGCAAATAGAGCAAATAGAGAGTTGATTTGTAACGATATGAATTTAACCACCGACTGATATCAGTTAGAGAACCACTGAAAACCAGACAGTTCTGAACAGGTGTTTCATCCTAGTTTGGGAGTCATCATCAGTTTAGGTTAAGGAATTGTCATATAAGATCAGTTTAGGCTACCAACAATATCTGAGTAATTTAGTATAAAATTACTCTCCGTCAAACGATATTAATTGAAATTTTTATTTCACTGGTACAATTATATGAACCTCTTTTAAATTAGGAACTATCATTAATAATATAGTAATAGCTTTATTCTGAGAAATGAGTTTATACACAGTACAGAATTTTCAGTGAGTTTCATTGCAAGGTATCTAACCCTTGTGTATAATCTTCAAATAATTTAATAATTGCTAATACGTTATCTGAAGCAATATTTTTCCATCCGAAGTATGCTTCAATGTTACTCCACAATGTTCTTCCTCGATTTCTTTCGCCAAAATTCTTAGCGGTAGATAGAAAGTTGTTTGAAATTGTGCGCGAGTACAGACTGCGACTAATTGTGGTAACTGGAAGACTAAAACAGTTTGAAATGGAGTAGAAACGATGCATTTTGATGGATAGAAAATTTAGGTAGCGCAGTGATTTAATTAGGCCTCCATGTTTATGGCGGTCAGTCAGTCAGTTTATTACACATTCCATTGTTTTATTAGTATTTTTAACTTGGAAAAATGTAAATGAAGATGGAATTTTTAGTTGTGTAGAGTGAAAATATCCATTTATCAGTTGTACGAAAACGTGATGATAATGTTTCAGGACGAAATTCATTGAGAGTTAAATGGTTTTTGTGGTCAGATTGGTTTTATCACCTCTAGATTATTTCTGGACAAAAAATAATTTTACACTTTCAAGTTAATAAACAATTTAATTTAATGTATAATATGTGTATATAAACTCTTGTTTAGGTCAACACAATGTTCTAAGGATGGTTGGATTGAATTTAAAGGATGTACAGATCAAATACTTCGGTATATTGCAGAACCGAATGAAGATAAATTACTTGAACGTGTTGAAAAAATTGATGAAATCTATAGATTGAATGTTGACACAATGTATCAGTTCAACTGTGAAGATAAACATGCGACAAAAACTAATAATGATAAAATGTTATCTCAACGAAATTATTTTAAATCAGCGTAAGTATTTCAGTAATTAAAAAACAAAAGTGATATTCGAATTAAGTTATTGGCTTTAATTCACTCGTGTTTCATCCCGATTTTCAAGTATTGGTTTGTAGGGATTTTGTTTGACTGGTTGGATGGAGGATTTCATCAAGAGCTGACATTGGTTAGAGAACTATTGGAAAACCTGGGAGTACTGGACAGCTGTTTCGTCCTAGTTTCTGATTACTGAATAGATTTGAGGGTTTTTTTTATAAACTTTAGTTAAGTTTAATTCAAATTTAGATTTTCCCGTCGATTGATTGGACCGAAGTGCTCAGTCTCAGGTTGACATGAAATGCGCATCCTGGATTCCACTGCTAGTCACCATCCACCAAAGTAACTTCTAATTTTTTTAAGTTTATTTGTAAAATAGAAATATCCCTTTTTTCCTGCAATAAACGTCTGAGCTTTCTCGTCTATCCTTTTGTATGTATAAATCGCTTAAAATAAGTCTTGCTTGAAAGAAATAAAAGTATACGTAAGATACAATATATATATCTTTGAGTACAAAAAGAGTCATATTAGTACTCTAACATCTGTCATATTGTCGAAATCATTGAATAACGAAACGATGTAACCGTACTCTGAAAGATAATTCTTCACAAACACCATTGGCCGGAATCACACTCTGGTAATATGAGATATTTGAACTACTGACCACCAGACTTTATTTACTAATGAAATGAAGTTGTAATTCAAGTACGAGATGAATAACATTCACACAAATTTTAGCTTGAATGTTTTCACTCTGATTATTAATCATTTAGATGACATTCAGGTAAAATGAGAAACAATAAATTACTATCTTGTACATTATTTTTTTATTCATTTTCATTCCCAGTGGAATAAGTGACCTCAAGCTAGTGCTTTGACATTTCAGTAGCAATGGTGGTTTTACGGGATTAGGTTGCTAGCCTCACACCCAATCCTACCTCTTTATCAGGCTTATTACCGGCTAAGCGTCGACCGGAAATTGAACCCTGGACCACTACCGTGGCTGGCCAGCGTTCTGCCACTAAGCTACCGACGCACTGTAGTACATCATATATATATACATATATATATATAAGTAGCAGTTTGGTTCATTGGATTAGGCATTTTCGACTTTTCGATTGGAGACAGACTACTCAGAAATGTTAACGTTCCACTACTAGAGAAAAAGACAAGAAAGACTTCAAGTTCTTGAAATGGTTCTGAGAGTGAAATTTTAGAATACTTTCGCAAGTTGTATATCGCAACTTTTAGCAAAAAGAATTAGTCGTCGAATGAAAACACAAAAATACTTGTAGTCCAGTACTTCTGTGTATATTCTTATACCCACACCATCTCAAAATAAATGGCATCAGTGAATAGTATTATCTAACATATTTGCATTAGGATTAACCTAAATTTGTAGAAAATAGTTCATATGAATAATAATTTAAACACTGAATGGAAGCCAATCGGTGAATGGTGATCGGCAGTGGAATCCAGGATTCGCATTTCATCCTATTTGGGACTCGTCGTCTAGATGTACCAGCATTCCCCGGTAAGTGATGGTGTTCCCACCGAAACTCGAACCCATTGTCCATAGTTTTGAACTCTAAAGCGTTATTCACTAGACCACTTGGGCCACGAGAGCCACCTCTTGTGCACCGGGTTTTATTAATCATCTATAACGAAATGTATGAAAACGACTGCATGTTCTTTCAGCTATTGACCTCATTAACGTTTCTTTCAAAAGTCAAAGCAGTAAGAATTATCTACAAAATAATTGGTTTCATACATCTGTTTTATTATTATCATCTAAAAGATAGAACTGAATAAACAAACTATACTGATTTCAGAAAATTTGAAAATTTCCGTATTTCCTCTAGACTTTCTTGCTTATAAGTTCACTTTTCAATGCATGCTAATTAATTGTGTGATTATTTATTAACTGTTTCTTTTTACATTTGTTTTTATTTAATGTAGATGGAGTTGTTGTCAGTTATTCATTTCATCAACATTTCTTGATATGTACGGTGAACGTGATTTAATCTGTGGTGTACTTGTGCCTGCTCTTCGTGAAAAAATTGCAATACCTTTAAGAGTACACTTAAATGAAATTGACTTACGTTGGGGAGTTCCTGAAATGACTACCTATAGTTCAAATGCTTTACAGATATGCTTAGAGCAGGCAGCTGCATCTGATATATTTGTGCTGTTACTAGGAGATCGGTAATGTTAGCTTTTTAATCACATTTTTGATTTATTTTCTTGTTGTTGTTGTCGAAACTCTGATGATGATACACTGTTCAAAGACTTATGAATCATTTTCATCCTGCTTATCCTGAAGTTACATAACAGCACTTAACATTAAAAGCTACTGAATAACTATGAGTTACTTCTTGTATGGTTGGCAGTCACAATTTCCACTTGATCCAACCTCGGTTACTAAAAAGTAGATTCTGAAATGTAGTCTACGGGTTGGATGTCAACTTCTTTCATCAAAGAGACTTTCACCTACAAAATTACTTACGGCCAAAATAACAGAGAAGATTGGTGGCTGAGAATGTGAACCGAAATTATTTATTGCTCTCTGAACTTCATTCTTTAGTTGGTTCTAATGATACCATCAGACTTAGTGATTAAATGTCCACGATCTAATATCACATCATGAAGAAAACGAAACAGTTTTCAGTTATTGATATTTTTTTGTCTACTAACGATCTCTTCTTCACAGTACTTGATATTGTCTAGTTCATCTTTCATTTACGCACTACGTATACTTTAGTGAAGTGTCATTTTGTGCCTAGAATTATTTTTCACCAGTTACGATATAAAGATGTTAATGATCAAACAGAAACCTACTTCGTGTTTTCTGGTGATAGAATTCAGAATTTTTCGTACATATCAATTTAGAAGTCTCAGTGTTAAGATGCTGAACTTAAGTTTCATTATTGTGTTGTATAATGTTTTATTAACTTAGATTTTAGGCCACACAAACAATATTTTTTAAATTTTTTTCTGTCTAGAACACCATTATTAACGAATCTTGTCATTGTCAGTTAAGTAAATTCAGTTGCTTTTTCAGAATTAGGAAAAGTTTTTCTTTCTAATGTGAGGATTGCGAAATTTATATTTACTACATTTCAATTAGATTTGATTTAAATTATTATTATTATACCTTTAGGTTCTGAGAGGAACATAGGACTTCAGCTGCACATAACTATTTCGTCGTGTTTTCGGTATTCCCGTTTAGCTGGATCCATGACTGCCAATAGGCTCTAATTTCATATTCACACAACCTCCCACATGTCACTTTCGGTAGTTTAACTCATCGTTTCTCACTCGGGTTCCAATCCAGGGCTTGGCACGCGATGACATTCTAAAGTGTCCTCAAAGTGTGTCTGATACATCTTCATCTTCTTTGGCACATTTGTTAGTTGTTTCGTTCTCAGAGTTTCCCTTTACCAATCCATTCTGGCCACCTGATCTTCAGTATGGAAAGGATGCAGGTGTTGATAAAGGTCTGAAGCCTGTTTGAAATGCCTTCGGTGACACACCATCTCTGAACCATGTAGAAGAACCGACTTGACATTAGTGTTGAAAATCCGGATTTTGTTCTTTATGCTTAGTGCAGTAGATTCCCAGACTGATTTCGGACTAATGAAGGTCAGTCTTGTCTTCCTGACCCTGGCTTTGACATCATCATCATCAGTCCCCCTCCCTCTGTATTTGAAATGCTGCTGCCTAGATAGTCAAATTTATCCTACTGATAGGAGTTAGTGCTTGTTGTTGGTCGTTGGGTATTTTAATCACCGCTGTTTTCTCTATGCTAACTTGAAGTCATGTCTTTCCTGCTTCTTCAGTCAACCTGTTGGTTTTCAGCTGTAGGTCTTCAAGTTTGTGTGTGTGTATACGTGCATGTAGTGAATGTGGGACTTCAACGCGTCTGATTTTTACGTATAACTTAGAATGCTATCACATTTGGATTAGTAATTATACTTAGTTCAAACTCATGAATTCCCTATACAAACATTTATTTTTTAAGAATTTTTATTTTTCAAAATCTCCAAATTTATTCCTGTAGTTTTGTAGCACTCAAGCTAGTCGTTTTTCATGATCACTATCCAACATAGTGGTTTTCATTATGAGTCTTCTTTTTTTTGTAACTGAAAATAATTCAAGAGAATACTGCACAAATACTTTAGTGTGATAACATCACGTGAAACAGTGAACACTTGTCTGATTTCCTTGGCAAAAGTAAAATAAAACCTATAACTATTTCTGTGAAGATCATAGTATTATTCTGGAATTTGTAATCAACCCTCAACTAATATTCTGATGTCTTGCTAACAGTTGAAATCAACTTTAGTAACTATGGTATTTTCTGTGGTTGTTTCTTTTTCATTATGCAGTTATGGATGGGTACCGAATGAAGTTCAAATTAATGGTTTACCTAAACCATTATTGGCTGAAGTGCTTAAATTTTACAAACCAGGGATGTCTGTGACTGAAATGGAATACCATATAGCTAAACAAACCGCTCTATCCAAATTTTCATTGCATGAGAGACAGAATGGTAAAATAAATGTTCAAGAAGCAGTACGCCTTCGGATTTGTGTTTTCATTAGGGATTCCAAATGCATCAAGTAAGTTAATGTGTTTTTTTTAACTTGTAATGCCTCTTTTCTATATTCTGTTCATATTGGAAAAGCGTGGAAATTTTGTTAAACCACTTTTTGATAACTATCAAACGACATAAAGTTTCTGTAGTTATTCGATAAACATCTAAACTAAATAATGATTTTAAATAAGGCTCCGTTATCGTTGGTAGGTAGTACTCCTTTGTTCAATCTTTTCTACAGCTGATTACCTTACAACTTCTGCAAATTCTCCCGAATAAAGTTAAGAAATGGAGTAAAATTCAACTGACAGAAAAATGCGAAGAGAAATATTTTGGTTTATGTTGTTCTGTTTTTCAAGTTTGACCACAGATTGATATCAGTTAGAGAACCATTGAAAACCAGGGAGTACTGGACAGTTGTTCCGTCCTAGTTTAGGACTCATCGGCAGTAGGCATCTACCAGGTTTCGAACCCAGGACCTTCCAGTTACAGGGCAAGCCCGTAAACCATTCAGCCACTGGGATCTGACTCAATGACCCATGAATTCTAACTTATACTTATGTTGTTCTGTTTGAAATTCCCTGTGATACGAACTTAATATCCTTCACTAGTTTCAATACATACATTTGGTCCTGAAAACTTTAAGCTTCTTTGTTCTCTATTTTTTTCATTTTAATCCTCAATTTTTTAAAAACTTCTAATAAAAGAATAAGAAAAGGTAAATGAGAATATCAAAAAGATATATGAGTTTAGGCGGCTACATTCCAGCACACAAAAAACCAAATACTGCTTTAAAAACATCAATGAAGTGCAGCGGTTGTTGATACTCAAATTTCAGTAGTTTTTTTTAGCTGATCGTCAGTACACCAGAGACCAATGATCATAAACTCCTAATGATACCGTTTAAGATCACTCAGAATGACACAGATGTTCCTATCCTGTGTGACCGTCAAAATGCTGAAAGTTTTCATTGATCTCTGTTCACTCATTCTGTCTTCTATGATACTGATGTTTACCCAACGTAGATTTATTCTATTCCTGTTCATCTTTTTGTAAGCTGTTTTGTGGTGCAGCAGTTTGTAATGAAACACTTTTGTGCATTGTTATACGACAATTCGTTTATCTGTTCAAATACCAGAAAAATTAAGAGAATTAAATTAATTGTGACTACAATAGTTTGATAAACTAGATACTCAAAAGTCGACAAAGAGAGGAGAACAATTATTTTTAACGTTCTGATCTTACAAATGTAAATGCTTTTAACAACCTCTGCAGGAAGGATTAAAATGATCCTTGAAGACTTTTGCTGATTGGCTAATGTTTTCCTTTACAATGTGTATTATTTCTTATATCCAAAGCATTCTTTAATAACCTGCTATGTTTTTCGCCTCATTCCATAGTGGTAGTTTGAAACCTATTTGTAAATTTGTTTGAGTACAGATTGTGATTCATGATTGTAATTGGATAACTAAAACAAAACGAAATACAGAAAATAAGCTGCAACTAATGGATGGAAAACTATAAATGGCCTAGTGATTTAAGCACAGGCCGTCTTTGTATAACAAGTTCATGTGAAACACATCATATTCTCTACTATCTTACAATATATATATATATATATATATTAAATATTTCTTATGTAAAACAAGGTTTGTTTTCAAATATTATCTTTTCAGGGATGTACCGAATGAATTAAGAAATGACTTTGAGGAAGTTGACAAGGAAAGAAGTAAACGTCTTCATGCCTTCAAAGAATTAATTCAAAGTGATGGGGTTGTTGTCTTCAATAAGTGAGTAATGATTTAAACTGCATTAGAAAATAGTTTTAACTTCTGTATACTTCATTGTACAGGTATATGTGAACACTGGTTTCTGTGTGGTATACTGAGCATTATCTCATACATTTATTCATTTCAATTTAACTTCTTCACGTGTTACTTATTGTGCTTTATCATTATTCTTCTTCTTGAATATTCCTATCATTATTCTTATTATTCTTGAAGATGAGGCAGTAACTCATCGAAGAAGACATTGCGCAATGGTCGTGTATTGGTAGAAGTTAGAATTCATGCACTGGCCATTGGATCGGCTCCCAGTGGCTCAATAGTCTACGATCTCGCCTTGTAACCAGAAGGTCCTGTGTTCGAACCCCGTTGGTGGGTGCGTACTGATGAAGAGTCCCAAACTAGGACGGAGGAAACAGTTGTCCAGTACTCCCAGGTTCTCCAATGGTTCTCTAACTGATGTCAGCTCATGATGAAATCCCTCATGTATTCTTACTTTACTTTTATGAAGGCGATTGATAATACTTTGTTTAAGTGAAATATTTTCACTTAACAACTTACTGATGGTAGCTTATACACTTACCTTGTATTTATGAAAACAGACTGAGACAAAAACTATGTAATATAAAGAGTTAATCTTGTATTATTTTACACACACTTGTGAATGTTTTGTTTTTGGCTGAATAACTTTAAAACAAGGATTGCTACTTTAATGGTGAAGTCTTTATTTTTAGTTATGATTCACTGTAGAAAAAATTTATAATACTAAACTTACCTATTATACGTCTGATTTAACTTAAAGGAATGTTATTCAGAGACAAGGATGACTGAAGTTGGATGAACTGTTGCACTGTTAAGAATCTTATTGACACCAGATGTGTTTTTTTCAGAGTCTTTTTCAGACTCTACATTTTAGCTCTACTTCATTTGACAGAGTATTTACAAACAATGCAGTCTCTAACTGTAGCACTGGATGACGCGGGTCCGAGTCTTAAAAGAGACATGAGTCCCTTCAAGATTGCAGTTATGCCTTACTAACGAGTGCTAACTAGCATGAAACCCAGGTTCAAGACTTCCTACCGATTCCCTCCAACCATCTAAAATCAACAATTCGAAGTGCGAGCCACTGGGAATGGTGGCTCGCTAATAACAATAGGGCTATTTTATATAAGTAACGTAAATTGACAGAATATGCCAGTAAATAATGAATACTATTTCAACAGAAAATCGACAAAACGATATGACTTCATAAACTAATTTCCTTTAATAAATATAAATACAGATAGGGCAAACGTTGCCGCAAAATAATATGAATCTTTTTTATTTGGTTGGTCGTCTTCAGATACGTACAACCTATATTATTTAATAAAACCAGTTATAATACAATCTTAACACACATTTTGTCTATCATCATGAATCAGTCCTCCAATAAGGATTATTGTAAGAATGTCATAGTGAAAGGAAATATAAGCATGATAAAGTTACCTCATTATTAGTACATAAAAGTTATAAGGAAGAAGTGTCTCGTCAAAAATGAATAATCTCGTCTTTAGGGTGGTGATAAGTCTATGATAATTAAGTAATCAGAGATAATAAAATGCAGTGATTAGAACTCATAATATTGGAAAGTCAAAATCTGATATGTACGAATTCGAAGGAAATGATGATGATGATGAATCAAAGTGACCAGAATTCAAAGGATCACAAATTAAATGTAATATGAAAGCCAACCGAAAAATGCGGGTGAATGAAACAAAATGATGAATTCTGAAAACAAAGAGTCACTAGGGTAACTAAAGTCCCACGACTGATTGCTTTTGAATATATAGGTCAGGTTTCAGTAGTTTTATTGCGATAGCTTCAGCAAACCTACGGAGACTTCTGTTGTTTTGTTTGCTAATTATTTTGAATGTCCCCATTGCGTCCACTTGGTGTCATGTGTCTGTCATGTGTTTGGTAACTGACGAGTCAAAACTATATGATCCCTTTGATCAAAGGATCTTTGGTATATGCTGAAAAGATCCGGCATAGTCCCTAATTTCTGTTCTTTCAATGCAACTTCTCGTTACACGTGAATTGATATACACAGGTGGAGGTAAAATATGAGGGGTGCTTTTCGATTTTCGACTGCCAGCGAGCGGCTTGTTCGGAATAGACAGACTAGTCCTGCTGTCGGATACCTCCTGGTCAATACCATTGTAGCGTGTGTTACTGACAAGATTTATCAGTAGTAAATGGATGCAGATTGATGAGAAGCATTCAAAGTTGAAAATAACATTCTAAATCAGTGAATGCAGAGTTGAAAATGTTTATTCTTCATATCTGAACTTAGTTTGCGATGTGGTCATGAAATAACCTCACCGGATAGCTTTTTGTCTTAAGGTGTAATCTTTGGCAAAGTGACAACCAATCAGAACAGTTTATTGTCCGCTGACCTAGACAACCTTCAACGTGGTTAAAATGCATAAATATGGTGTGTTTCTCCTCTAGAAAAGTTCGTTACTAAATCTCTTGTCTTCTACCCTTACACTATCCTCTGATATTAAAGTCACCCTTGAAGTCAATTTGAATGAAAATCAATTTCTTGATGCCTGTAATTGTATCTGGATTTTTACATTCCTTCTTCTCATGAAACTTTGTGAGTGGCCGATTACTTTCAGGCGATTTTCAAATAACATGAGCCTGCTGTCTAATTTATCCTCTGAACATATTCGTTTTCCCCTACAGAACAGCTTCTTCACTAGCATTCATTTACAGCTGACTTGGCAGAAGCTGTAGGAATTTAAGTACAGGCCACTCCAAGTGTTCTTGTGATAAATTTATCTCCCTAGTGTTGCATCTTTTCTTCTCTCCGAACCGATATCCAGGAAGTGGAAAATCCCTCCATCTTCGTGTTCTATTGTAAAAATGATGATTGTGTGCTCATTGGTTGAATAACCAAAGCAGAAATTTTACGCCTCATATTCCTTTCAATAATAGAAGGAAGAGAAACGTTACAGGATGATCACTACGCTTGCTGATTTTAAACCGTATCTGATAGCACCATCAGCCTCTAAGTCACTTGATCTTTGGAAGTAGACACAAGACGTCATAATGCTCCAACAGATCCTACTGAGATATGAGCTGACTGCACATTCACCTTTCTGAAGCAGCCCCTGAACTTTCCACATAACTAGTAAGATTTCACCAAAGGGTGTGACTTTTTGATGATTAAATCACTACTATTTATTAGTTGAAACCTTCAAATTAGAAGCTACTATTATCCGGTAGTTAACAAAACATGTTTCTGTAATATTCATCTTACAAGAATATGAATTACTGACGTATAACTATCCAATCTTTATCTTTTTATGGTATTTGTAAAGTTTTATAGAAAGTTGAACTAGAAATTCTTTTAATATAAATGGATAATAGATTCTTGCATTTGTATTGTAAGCTCCAACCATTCACTTATTACTTCCTCCTTTTATTTATTCTTGTTAGTGTTTCAACAACTGAGAAGAAGAGTTTCTTTGTAAATAAAAATTCTAGGTTAACCATCTTCCAACAAGAAGCAGTAATTAAAGGTGTTAATCAAGTCATTTTTAAAGAAAGTAGTTGAAACTCACTTAGTTGAAAGATGACTACGCTACATTAATCGGTGGGAGATGAAAACGTGGATTGTGATAACGTGGTCACTGGATGACCTAAAAGTCGGCAACTTGACGCACCATAGAGGCATGGTGCTGATGATTCGTTAACTGAAATAAAAGCTTAATTCAGTGCACCTTTGCTTTCAATGGTTTTGTAACTGATTTCTGTACGTGATGGAAATTACTTCGAAACAACTTCCTAATTAGCTCCTATTCATTTTCACAAGCTTTATCTAACACTGATAACCAGTTATTTTATTTTATTAAATTCAGTTATCCTGCTCAGTTCAATCGTCTATTCACTGATCATCCTGTAATGGAAAATTTATATGAATTTGGGAATACATTTCTGTCAGTAATAAAATCTTTACTTTTAAAATTTTACAAAACTCCAGTAAGTTCCTTTCAATGAATTACGTGAATTTTAATAATTTTAATTGATAAATATGCACGACATAACTGTGAGAATACATTCCAATACTGACAACCCATATGCTCTGGTGGTTCAGTGATAGAATGCTCACCGACTAAGCACGTGGTCGGACGTTCGGTGCCTGGCCGACGCACTTTTAAACCTCACCTAGCTTACTAGCCGATAGAAAGTCAGGTAAAGATGGGAGGTTTGGTGTTAGGCTAACAACTTCACCCCGTAAAAAACACCGCTGCCACTGAAACTTCAAAACTCAGGCTTGAAGCCGTATGTTCTACTTGAAACGCAAAGGAATAAAATAATAACTGAAGACTCATAAGGCGGGTGGAAGAATACAAATTTCATTCAGTGGGATCTTCTCAGTGTGACAGCTGAATTGTTTGATAAGCTGTTCGCTCTTAAAATAACTGTAATTCTTTCAGTGGTTCCAATGAAGACTACTTCTTACCCTCAAATGACTTTTGGTTTGCTTATAACCCCAATCAAACATATTTGAAATGTCTCCATTCTCCACTTCCGCTCCGTCCTCCTTTTTGGCTGTGAGACCTGGCCATTGAGAGCAGCAGACATGGAAAGATTAGCTGTCTTTGTTCATAGGTGCCTGCGTTCTATCTCCCGTGTGAAGTGGTATGATAAGGTGAGCAATATTCAGGTTAGGCGTCGAGTTCTAGGTAAGGAGGGGAAATCAATAGACGAGACTGTGAAATTACATCGACTGAGATGGTTAGAACATGTGTTACGGATGCCTGGTCATCGCCTTCCTCGACAGGCAATGTTAGCTGATTTAGGGTCAGGTTGGAAAGGAGTTAGCCGGTGGTGGTCAGACTAAAACATGGCCTCATCAGTCAATGAAATCCACAACAGTTAGTTTAAACCAGACAGCCACGTAGGGAGGTGTAGACTGGCTGGCGATCTGTTTGGTGTCGTTGGGACGGCAAACACCAGTGAAGACTGGAGACAATTGGTGAGTGATATGGCTGAAAAACCCCAGTTCTCAATGGCTGGCGCAGATGCATCCACTCCTTGTGACTTCTAATTTCCAATGAAACTGTTTCGTTCTTCGTTATTACTATTCCTTAGTCTCTCACCTCAACTTTCTGTCTATATTATGCATTTCTTCTACTTTCTTCTCTTGCTTTGTGTGCTACAAGGAGGGAGTGTGGCAACTTGAACTGCCGCACATCGGTGCAAAGTTCTATTTCGAAAACAGACAGACAGACACACAGACTTCCTTGTCGAATACACATATTTACTTATACAGAAATGATGAGTAGTATTTACTTTTAGACAACTTGTTTTCTACTGTGCTAATCAACTACTCTGACTAATAAATTGGATTAAATGTTTCTTCGCTTCAATGGATGTAGGATTATGACTCGTTAGTCTAAGTTTTCAAGTATCAGTCATCCAGTCAGTTCTTCAAGGCCATTTTACTTCGATGTGTTTCAGTCGGCTTGTTTTATAAATACGTAAAAAACAGTTTGTACTTGTCATAGCTCTGTTTATCCATCTGTGCATCAATTTTGAGTCGTTTATTTGCTCAAATCAGTGAAAAAATGTAAAGCTCTATGTGAATTTATACTCGTTCTAGAGGACTGCTTACCTGAAAAAAACTGGTCAAATTAAGGGGTTTTGTTTGTTAAAGTAAATGTTTTTATTTGAAGTTAGAAAGTACTTTATTTTCGAAATTTGTCTAATTTTTCTCACCAAATATTCTCCTTTTCTTACTTTTTCAAAAAAAAATTAAAATTTAAGAAGACTGACAATCATCCATCAATTTGCAAACCATTGAATACCACTGACTTTTTGCGAGTATATGTATATTCAGCAGCATGTGTGATTGGAGAACGTCATCTTCTTGAAGTTGAACGCGCCTTCATTGCATTGAATGACAAGGGTCGACAAGCTCATCTTAGTCGAACTATGGCATTTAATCGCACCACTTCTGACATACATCATGCATCAAATTATTCCGCCAAATTTCGTGGTAAGTTATACAGTGAATTGCAATTATTCATCTCTTTTATAATCTTATTCTGTGTTTATAGTATCACAACAAAGTCATTCGTTGAATTTCTAATTTATTTGTTACTTTTTGTTTATTTTGTACTTGGAAATGATAATTAATACTTATCAGTTATGCAACGTTTATTCATCCCGGTGCATACTGCTGAAGGGAAAATAAAAATTTAAAAATCCCCATCAAGTCATTAAATAAGAAGTATTCAGAAAAAGATTATCAGGCCATACTAATACATATATATGTAGTAAATTTTCTTAGCAAAAAAAAGCGAATGTTTTTAAAGATATATCATCAGAATTGTAAGTTTTAGATAGCAATTACGTAATTCAGTAAGCATTAATCGGGTAGAAACTAGAATAAAATTCGATAAGAAAATTGCCTGATGTAATATAATTGTCGGAAGTGAGCAAAACTCAACGAAGATTGAAAGAAAGTGGAGTTCATGTCTGTGTCATAAGGAGTAAAAGTGTAATAGAGGGGGAGGCGGAGGGGAGAAATATAATAAAATCAAAAAATTAAAACATTAGGTTTAACAAAAATTACGTATCCAGTGTTAGGTTTAGTGACTGAACAAACTTCTATATGCAGAGTTCAAGATTTCACATGTGGATTGCCACTGCTTCTGCTGCTTGAAGAGTTTTCATTTGTACTATTTTAACAACATTTCCGTGTAACCTCTAGATAACTATGAAGTTGGTCCGCTAATTCACTCGGTGTCCAGATTCGATCAGATGTTGCAAAAAAGAGCTGTGGGGGGATCTTTTTTCTCATTTATAAAACCATGAAGGTAAGCGTTCAGTGACATGTGTGGATGGAAAAAGCCGCGTATAGCCGACATACCTAGTTGCACAGGAGCAGATGAACTGATAGATACACCTTAATGAGGCCAGCGGTGGTAGCTTATCTTTCGCGTTCGTTCAAATCATTGGCTTTGTAGAGAAAGGAAGTCCAAGTTTACCTGTGAAAAAGGTTTTCTTCAGTCGTCGGGACAAATGGTTTCTTGGTATTTCTGCCTATCCATATCCACTGAATTGTAGACTCAGATAGAGAAGTTTATTGGGGGCAAAAGTGTGTATGTTTATAGTGCTTTAGGCCTCATGGATTTTGTGATGAAGCGTTTGGAGTAACCATTTTTCAGTCCTAATAACACCACTTTGGAAACATTCGTTTTCTTGCTAAGAAAACTTACTATATATATGGAGTTATATAGCTTGATAATAATGGTATCACTGTAAAGAGTAACTCTTCGATTCTTTTAAAATAAAAATCATCTGTTGAAACTTAAAAGCTATAAGACATCAAATTCCTTCAGCTAGTAAAAAATATGATTCACCGGTAAAAGTCTCTTCACTGAACTGCTTGTTTGTATTTCTATGTCTGGGAGGGTGTTTTCTATGTCTTAATATGATTATGTAAACGATTTGTGTTTTAATGAATGTTAATCAGACAGTTAATATTGATAAATTTATTTGTGTTTTCATTTCAGTTCTCATGGATTTAGATTCCTCGTGATCTGAAAACAAACGAGACTAACATCTTTGAACTGAAGTATAAATATCTACCACATTCTGGTTATTCTTCATAACTCGATGTGTATCTTTGAAGAAAATTCTGAATTTAAAAATACTAGTCACTGATTTGCAATACATATTGAATTCTTTTGAAGAGAGTTATCATGTTATCATAATCAACAACTTAATGAGCAGCCGTCTTCAGTAATGATTTGATGGACTCTACGTATCATATCATTTCATCTGAATTTCGGGATATGCATCTAGAAGATAATCACCAACAAATCATGAATGACATTGGATAAAGGTAATATGTCAGGAATCCACTGTACTGAAAATATGCGAACTGCTGGGTTAAAATCAAGTAGCGGGTGAGTAACATCACCGCTCCGTAACCTAATCGTCTTGACTTCGAATCCCCAGTGTAACTGATGTTCCCTACTAGACAACTAGTCTTTTACTTTATTATTAATGAAAATTGATCATCCTGAATGTTAACTGAAATTTTCAGTCAGTATATAATTTTCTCTTATTTTAATCCAAGGTTGTGATGGAGGTGTTCTGCTGATCACTGGATCTCCCGGCAGTGGTAAAACAACATATTTATCCGCCTTGGCACTTTCTCTAACCGAAACAGATTGGTATCCACCTCATTCTGTGGGTTCAACACAGTCGTTTACGTCTAGCCGAAAGGAACATTCAGTGACATTGAGAAAAGATGTGGCTAGTGGGATTAGATTTGCTTCTCAGCGTCCAGTACTTGCCAAACATCATATATTTATACATTTCTGTGGTGGTTTAGCAGTCACTTGTTTACCACCGAAGAGGTCGTTGATCGTTATGCTTAAAAAATGGACAAGTCGTCTTCTTACTGAACTTAAAGAATTATGTGCGTCTAGCGAAGCAGCTAAAAAATTACTGAATCAAATTGAGTTGTCCATTAAAATGTCTACTTCTTCAACAAATATGAATACATCATCTTCTGATTCACCATCAATGTGAGTTAAATATGTTTTTTTGGTGTGAATACATGAAATAATAATAGTAGTAGTATGAAATGCAATTAAAATATTTGTGATTATAATCATAGTTTAATGTCAAGTGGCAAAATAATTAATGTCGTATATAGAATAATACATAAGGTGTATAGAATTTGGAAAGGGTTACATAATTATAAGATTAGTAGACGAATATAAAATGTTACATAACATGGTGTGAAATTTGATAAGATAGAATTCAATATTGTAAAAATAAAAATATGAAAATTAATAATTTCGGGTTTTAAATGTCAAGTGGGTCAAGTGGAAAAGATTCAGAGTGAGAATAGTAATAATAATAATGATAATAATATTAATAATAATCGTAGTAATAAGGGAAGAGTACATAGAATAACTAAATAAACAAAATAAATAAATGTCTATCCCTCTACGACCAAGGCAGAAGTAGGGATTGTACATACTTCTTTTGTACACAAAGGTCTGGCTTAAAGTCATGAATTGCCAAGGCCTCAGCTGTCTTTAGAAGTCTGTAACGAAGAAAACGCGGGAAGTTAGCATGGATTCTATATATGATCTTAAAATCATGGTCAGGGTTGACAGAGTGACAGAAGTCGATCAGGTGTTCCAGAATAGAGCTTCGCACACACTTCCTTTCTCCCTTGTAAAACCAAGCTGGAATATGTTCTCGTATCCGTGTGGAAAGCGTCCTCTGACTACGGCCAATGTACCTTGCTCCACAAGAGCAGGTGAACTGATAGATGCACATGGAGGCGGCCAGATGGGGGAGCTTATCTTTTACAGAGGTAGAGAACAACTTGCGGCTAGTGAACGTCATATGTAATTTTGCTGCATAGAACGTCTTACTGACTGATTTAGAGAGACGATTTTTGAGCATATCTGAAGCTTGATCACCTTTGAATTCCAAGTTCATGAATAAGGTTTTCTTTGGAACTGTGTCGGTGACCAGTTTAGACTGCTTATCTTTCATGTTGCTGTCAATAAATCGGTTAGGGTAACCGTTTTCTGCGAGCGTGGCTTTTAAGAAGTCAAGTTCCGAGTCAACGGAATCAGAACTACAAATTTTCCTTATCCTAGAGCAGAGCGAATGAATTAAGTTCCTTTTCCTGGAAATAGGCACCCAACTGTAAAAATTAGTTAGTTGTCCGTTCCATGTACGTTTCCGGTGGATAGATCTTTTGAGAGATCCGTCATTACGTCTGCTAAGGCACACATCAAGAAAGGGAATACTTAGTTCGGATTCCTTTTCTACGGTGAATTGTAAAGAAGGATGACAGTTGTTGAAAGTAAACAAGACATCATCAAGAATTACATTTTTATCGCAGATAACGAAAGTGTCGTGTTTTTAAGAAAGAAAGACTTTAAAGTCTAACTGAATTAATTATTATTTCTCTGATGTCTTTTTTACATTCTTCTCAGATCAACAATTCAATGCTTTACACGAATCATCAACTTTATTGGTTATTTACAGAAGTTACGTTTTGTGTTTCTAATCGATGACTGTCATCTACTGCAGCCAATGACTTTCGAATGGTTGCCTATGGTACTGCCTAAGGTAATTTTTGTAGCGATATGTCGATAAATTTTCATCAAAGATTGATATATATAGTTTCCCTTTGGTCTGTTTGCATTTCGCTTGCTTTACTTCTTGAGGACTTCACATTTTCAATAAAATTATATAATGTGTTGGCAGTTCAGTGGAAGGCTCGAATTTGATTCCCTTTTGACGCACTCCTAAACCTCACCTAGCCGGTGGTCAGCCTGGTAAGGGAGGAAGGTTGGGTGGGATGCTAGCAACTGAAATTTCAAAACTTCAAGCCCAAAGCCTGGTGTTCCACTCAGAACACAAACGAATTTAGAAGAAAAATGTCACATTTGTGTTTTTAAGCAGTTTGGATTATTTTCAATGAATATATACGTTTCTTTTATATTTCTGGAAAAAAATAAACAGTGCTTTTAAAAGGACGTGAAATAAGATTTTATGCTGTTTAGTAGTGCGGATGTTCATTCCTCTCCCACCGTCTCTTAAATGACTGAGAGAAAAACCACTATATATTTGAAGAAACAGAAGAGAAGACTATTTAATTTTCAGAATTTTAGTGTAGTGTTAATTCAGAAATTTAACGTAACTGTCGTTTGTGTATATTTAGAATTCTCAGTTTTCACCTCATGTAAACAACTACTCGATACTGCCTTAGATCTCTTTTTGTAATATTATTTGCTTCAGAATGGCTAACAGTAAAATCTAACACTGATGTTTCTTTCTAGCTAAAACTTATCAAGTTGATTTCAATTACTGTTAAGCAAATAAAATTTTCATTTTTATGCTTTAATCAGATTATATGGAAATTTGGAAATGTTTGTCAACTTACACTTGCGAAAGGCAACTTCATGTGCACATAGTAGCATGAAAAGGCAAAATTTTTACACTTAACTATGAATTTTGAAGTTTTACATTCATTTGAAAAAATACATCATATCATATCAGAACTCGTTATGTATTACGACATAACAGTGTTCTGCTCCAAAAAGTGTAGTATGATGTCAAATATACTGGGCTTATAAATAAATGGTCATTTTAATTGAAGAATAACAGATTTATTAGTTCACTATTTAAGCATTGTTTTACTGTTATCTGAAATCCATTTAAATTATTCTCCATAGAAAAGCCGAAAATGACCAGATCAGAATGTTGCATCATTACATAGTCTGTATTATTGGTGTATTAAGAAATCTTGCCTGGCAAGTGCAGGTGATATCATCAGAAATCGATAACACTAGTGCCGAATCATCCGCTGTTTGTCATCTTTGAAATTCTCAACCTCATTTTCTATAACCTCCATGGCAAATTTTCTCCTCTCTACATATATCCATATTGCCTTATTTTAATATTGTTGTAGTTTTAATTTTCTCCTATCTGTGTTGCTGTAATGTCTGACAGCTTGAATTGCTACACTTCTCGATTACTCGTAAAGCTTATTAATTTTTCACTCTTCTTAATGCAAAGAACGTTGCGATTTACCAATATGCATTATGTAAAACCAAAAGTCAACTTGAAACCAACTGGAAATCTTCGTCACTCAGCATCAACAACAAAATTCGAATTTCCAATACAAACGTCAAGTCAGTCAGTTCTTCTATACGGATCAGAAACTTAGCGGCGGGTCACAAAAAATATTTCCAACAGCTGTCTTCTCTCTACACTGAACATCAGATGGCCGGAAAGAACAAGAACCAACAAGAAACTATGGGAACAAACAAAACAAGAACCAATCGCCCAACAAATATGCAGGAGAAAATGGAGATGGATTGGACACTCGCTGAGGAGGCCGCTGGGTGACATTGCGCGTCAGGCCAACGCTCAAGTGGAACCCGAAAGAGAAGCGGCGAGTGGTTCGTCGTTGCTAGGGTGACATGGAGGAGATCGTGTGAAGAGGAGTTGAAACAGTACGAACTAACATGGATGCAGATGAAAAGTACAGCAGAAGACAGAAACAAGTGGAGACGTGCAGTTGAAGCCCTGTGTTCCACTAGGAACCCAAGGGAACAATAATAATATAATAATAAAACCAAAAGGCACACGTGAAGTTTAGGGAAAGGGTATTATCAAAACAGTTAAATTCAAAAAAGGAGGAATCACAACAGACTGTATACTGTCAACCAATCCATAGTAGGATAAACAAAATAAATGTTCTATCACAAAATGAAAGGATCGAGTTACTAAATGTCTCATTGCATCTTACTTTAAAAGATTATATGCCCATTCTTTCGTGAAACTTCGGTTATATCTTGCTCACAGAGATAATTTGTTTTCTGACAGAATTTAAAAGTTGAGATGTTAATAGACTCTAGTTTTTTTTATATGCTTTGGTTCGAATTCAGATAGTTGATAATATAAGTCTCCACATTTCATTTCAGTAGATAAATTTTCTGGAGAAATAAAATGAACCTGTGTACTACAGCATTGAATTGTTTCACTTAGAATCCACATAATAAACATGGATTATAGAATGTCTTCAACTGCATGCATCATTTTCTAGTGATCGACTGATTTCTTAAACATTATTTGCCTATGTACTTACTAGTTGATATTCGTAATCTATTAAATTGATTGTATCCACTCGAAGATCGGTCGGGTGTGAGGACAAATAATCGCCGAAGACATTGGCTAGCGCCTGCGCTATATCGTGAATTGGCAGAAGTTAGAATTCATGCACTGGCCATTGGATCGGGTCCCAGTGGCTTAATGGCATGCGAGCTCGCCTTGTAACCAGAAGGTCCTGGGTTCGAACCCCGTGGTGTAGGTGCGTACTGCTGAAGAGTCCCAAACTAGGACAAAACGGCTGTCCAGTACTCCCAGGTTTTCTAATGGTTCTCTAACCAACGTCAGCTCATGATGAAATCCTGTAACCAATCATCCAAATCCCTACAAACCAATACTTGAATATAAATTTCTTTGTTCGTTGGTGTTAAGTATTTTACAAACTGGTCTCATTAATTTGTTCGAAGATATTTAACGCGTACGACTTGTTTATAACATTTGTTTACAATATTTTCTGTTATTGATTCCCAATGGTTCTACTTCTCTGATTTTCCTCCTTTTTCAGAAGTTATTATATTTGGCGTATAATATTATTGTTTATAATCTGTCTTGATTCCTTTTAGAATGTTCGATTTGTGTTGACTTGTGATTCAAAATCTCCTATTGCTAGAAGTTTATCTTCAAGAGTTGATTGTCTCCTCTTACCTGTATCTGGATTAACAACAAATGAACGTTGTGTAGCAGTGCGAAGTTTACTCGCACGATATGGAAAAGTTCTGAATGAATCTGGTTTTCAAAATCAGGTATATCTTTTTTTCTTTTTAACCATATTCTTAAACAAATGTTTCGGTGTTCATGTTTGAATCTGGTTTTCACTCGCTTGACAGTATAGGAAGCTTATGTGACACATTCTTGTGTAGAAATACATACGTTTAATATTGTTTCTAGGTTGAAAAATGCCTATGTGATATGAATTAAAAAGATATGGGCTAGCAAAGAATGCTGTTTTCATAACTTCACTTTAAAGCTGTACTGTTAAATAGTGTTTCTAAAGGGTCATGGAAATTGCCATTAGAGGTCATTTACTGATATCAGTTAGTAAGAAGGTGGATAAATTGCCGAACTCGGCTGAGCGGTCTTATGTAATCCGAAAACATTGAGCTAAGGATGTCCTCCAGAAATGATCATCACTAAAACTGTAAGCGCCAAGAAACAGGAATATTGTTCATAAGAGCAAAAGTTTTAGAATATGCATAAAGTATACTTTAAAGTTAGGAGTTTGAAAGAAAGAAGAAGGAAATAAAATGAGCTAAGGTAAATTGCATACCAAATTACTGTACAACTGTAAAAATGTTGATGACAGTGGTTGTGAAAGAGACTAGACAAACCGCTTTGCATATACGGTTTAGGGTCTTCCTTGTGTATAGCTTCTGCCATCAAAATAAGTTGTAACCGGAATCCCTTCGAAGGACTTGGCCTTAACTTATGTATTGATTTGAAAGATTTCTCTGTTGGTGCGAAATTATATCTATGAACAAGGTGCTGAAGAATCGAGCTGTTGGTTCTTCTAACCATATTAGTAGGTGTTCTTGTGTACGTCTAGGTAATATCCTACTGGTATGACTTATGTGCTTAGCTCCGCAAGAGCAGGTGAATTGACATATACACTTGGAATTTCCAACCAGTGGAACATTTTGATAAGTAAGGGGCTGTGTGAATATGAAGTGTATAGATGCAGTAAAGAACTTTTTCGGACTAATCTCGATAAACTGCTTCGAAGAATTTCAAATGATGTTCCACTTGTGAATTTCAAGTTTACAGCTAACTTGTTCTTTAGTACTTCTGTCTTTCGTGAAGTGTCAGTCTTGTTTTCCGTAGGTCTATTGACAAATATCAGTGGATAACAACATTGAATCAGAGTGTTTCGGAAGAACTCCACTTCTGTGTCTAATGTGTTTTGCTTGCCTATGCAATAGGTTCTTATGAGAAGAGATTTAATTAGCTTTATTTTCCTGCTTACCGGGACAAAGCTGTAGAACCTGATCAGCTGCTCACTGCATTTTGGTTTGTAGTGAATCGATCTTTGTGATTGATCCGTTAATTCTCCTCTGAAGCCGAACACCAAAGAAGGGGAGTCTTCCTTCTGACTTAACTTTTAGCGTAAAACCAATTGTTCGATGCACATTATTAAACACTTCAAGAATTTTTTTAAATCAACATTTTCATTGACAGTGATGCAGATATCTTCCATGTATCTCTTACGAATTGTGAACTGATTTATAGTACTCGATTCCAGGTGTATCATTCAACAGTCAGCAATTAATGAGCCAGGCGGAGACTCCATGGCTGTGCCATTCTTCTGTTGATAGGTTTCACCATTAAATGGAAATTAGGATATATATACTTCTGGGTTTAATGTGTCTTGACTTCATGTGATCATTATAGTGATGCTGTATCTGATTCTATCTGTATATTTTCTTCTTTACAAATTAGATAGCCGACTAACTTTATTTCAGTATTGGATTACCTCATGAATGTATTAATATTAGGTTTGATAATTATTCCTTTTTGTGACTTTTGCTAGTATTTGTATCGAAACTGTGTGAAACATCGCATTCCGTCTCTCATTTTACCTGTCCTCCTTTTTTATTCACAGTTATCTATGTTGGTTCGCAAACGTGATGCCGATATTCCACTTTATTTGAAACTTGCTTGTGAAGAATTGCGTTTGTTTGGTAATTTTGAACAGGTGAGCTCAATTTGAAATTATAAAGAAAGTTTGTGTATGAAGTGGATGTTTTGTTCATTTTGCTGTGTTTTTTAAGCTGGATGGTTTAGAGCATTTTATGTTCCACATATTTTTCTCAGAAGAACATCTGAATGTAAAGTTATGAAGTTATAACTTAATAAATTTCTACAATCATTTTTAAACATTACTCTAGCTTCTATTTTATAACCTTCTATTTGACGTATATGTATTCACGAACTTGATGCAGCCTTTTCGAAAAATAATCGTTGTAATAGTAGTGAAGAACTTGCCATTTGGAAGTCTTCAACTGTATCATGCATTCTGAAACATAACAGACCCAATTGCACAATTAGGTGACACAAATTGATCTATGCTTAGTCTTGTTTCAGTAATGTATTTTTTTTAGTGTAATCAGCCATTCGACTCTTATCGTACACAATGTCATTACTTTTAGGATCGCCCTTTAATGGATGTATTAAATATGATAGTCGCTGTATAAGAATAAGTAATTTTCTCAACGATTTTACGTGCAGTGGAAACAAATAGAATGAAGAATGCACATTTATTTCTGTTTGTCAGTATTAAAAAAGAGCCGTTATTTAATTTCTGAATTCTTAGAATATATAGAAAAATAATAAGGACTGCTTTTCGTAATACTAATTAATTATAATGGAAATAAATTATTATTATTATTATTATCATGAAATCAAATCATGCATCGGTGGCACAGCGGTAGAACGCTCGCCAACCACGCCTCATGTGGTTTGGGGTTCGATCCCCAGCCGACTCATTCCTTTACCTTGCTAAGACAGTAATAAGACTGGTAAAGAGGGAACGTTGTGCATGAGACTAGCAACTCTATCCCGTAAAAATAAATACCACTGCTATCGAAACTTCAAAGTCCTAGCTTGAATCCCTATGTTCCACTGAGAACGTAAATTTTAGATTTTCCCATCGATTGATTGAACCGAAGTGTCCTGTCTCAGGTTGACATGTCGGCTTCTTGTGCATATGCTTCGACGATGTCTGGGCATGTAATTAGAAGTTAATTGGTGGATGATGACTAGCACTGGAATCCAGGATGTGCATTTCGACCCACTTGGGACTCGTCATCTCGAGTGAGTGATGATGTTCCCATCCTAGATTCCAGTGCTAGTCATCATCCACCAATTAACTTCTAATTAAATGCCTAGACATCGTCGAAGCATCTGCACAAGAAGCCGACATGTCAACCTGAGACCGAGCACTTCGGTCCAATCAATCGACGGGAAAATCTAAAACTGAATTAAATAATTAATATGGCCCGTTGCACAAGAGGTGGCTCTCGTGGCCCAAGTGGTCTAGTGGATAACGCTTTGGCGTTTGAAACTAGGTGCACTGGGTTCGAACCTCGGTGGGAACACCATCACTCACCGGGGAATGCAGGTACATCCAGATGACGAGTCCCAAGTAGGATGAAATGCTCATCCTAGATTTCACTGCCAGTCACCATGCACCAATTAGCTATGAATATTATTCGTAATATTTTCCACTTTATTAATGAACGTCTCTCCCTAACTTCAACTAATATTACACTATTCAATCTGTTCAAACTATTGAGACCCATTCATATATGTTAGCTCTTGGCAATCTTCGTATGATGCTAACTGTTTTGTACAACATTTAGTTCTACTAAAATCAGTTTTGTCTTAAATTTCTGCTAAATGATTTCTTTTTCTTTAAATCTAGTATTGGAAGCAATAACTTCAGATCTTTTCCATGATTAATTAAATATATTTATTTTCATAGATGTCGTCTCCCGTATATAAGCTTTATCATGATTGTATTTCACACAGTTTTCTATCGTCCCTTACTTAAACTTCATCATTGCTGAATATATGCTGTTTTTCATGTTATGACTAGTACGAAAGCTTCTTGTTTCCTTGCTTTTATGAGTCGTTAGCTAGTTGGTTTAATTGCTAAGCTTCCATTGTCTTTCTAGACACTATCTTCAACGCTTACTTCAATGTGAATTATTCACATACATACTTTGATTGCATTCTTCAGAGGAAAATTCATTTATTTATTATCTTTGTTTCTCATAAATGCGTCAACAAGTTAATTACTAATAGAGGCACTGGAGATTCCATTACTTAACATTACGTGCTTATGTAAGAACTACCCCTAAATACACACCAGAGATGCTTCAGAAACTGTTAATCAGCTACATCATCTGTTTGTTATCCATGTTTGTATCGATACAAGTGATAACAGGACAGTCTGTGCATCACGGAGGACCGACTGCCTTACGAAGACGGATGAATGTAGTTTGCATTTATTTTCAGTGGCTAGCTCGTAGTCGAATAACGTAACGTATTATACTATAACTAATTTCAGTATGCGTAAACAAACAAAAGACAAACTTCAATTGGGATAGTTAGAAACTGTTACAATATACAGCTTCAAAAATTAAAAGATACTTCCCAGTAGCATGGTATGAGAACAAAGCGGCAACCAAGCCATATGTGGCAGTATACCTTGATATACGAATGTCCAAAAAACCAGTTCATTAAACAGTAACTGAAACAAAATTCGTCATTTGCAAACTATACATTTCTCTTTGGAAACCCAAAATAATCAAAATTTACAAATGTGACCTGCTAGACACCATATATGGCATCAACAGATTTCGCATTGGAACATAGGGCTTCAAGCTAGAGCTTTGAAGTTTCGATAGCAGTGGTATTTATTTTGACGGGATGGGGTTGCTAGCCTCACGCCCAACCTTCCCTCTTTACCGGGCTTACCAGCTAAGCGAGGTAAAGGTATACGTCGGCCAGGGATCGAACCTCGGCATCAACAAAGCAAGAGGAAACACAAGATAGCAATCCAACTATTCACACCAGGCAACCAATTAGATATATCGTTGAGTCAATAAAAATCATCAGTATGTGATAGGTTAATCACCGCATCTACGACCCACTCACATTCAGTATCCCAAAACACTTTACATAAATGTTAATTCATGTTGAGGATGCCTTACCTATGTTATGAAATGAGTACTGATGAATTTACCTCATTCGGCAATCATGCATCAAAGCACAGACAATGATAAACAATAATCACTCAATTATTACTCATAAAGTTTTACAGCAATGCCCCCAATCACGAACCTAGACTGTTGATTTTCAAAGTGTTATCAGTGTATCCACTTTCGAATGACCACTTTCAAGCTAAAGGTTTAACTGTCAACCTTTAATAGCCTAATATATGTACATAAATATTTAGTCATAACTTTTATAATTCTGTGAAACTTTTCTTATTTCTTTTTGTTCCCAGTGGAACATGGGGCTTCAAGCTTCAGCCTTGAAGTCTCTGTAGCAAAGGTGTTTATCTTTTACTAGGTGGAGTTGCTAGCCTCCTGTCTAACCCTCCCTCTTCACCAGGCTTACTAACGACTAAGCGAGGTAAAGGAGGGCGTCGGCTGGGGATCGAACTTTGAACCACTGACGCACCTGTGTAACTTGTTATTTCCGTATTGTTAATGCTTATTATTACTGTTTATTCTTTTAACAGTTAGATGAGAAATTAAAACAATTACCTGAAACTATCTCCAGCTTTGTTGAACATGCTATCACAAGAGTGGAATTAGATTGTGGATTACACCTAACTAGAATTGTACTCGGTTTTCTGACGTGTTCTAAATATCCACTATCAACAGATGAACTGCATAATTTAATTGACAATTGGTTATATGAATCAATCGTGGAACAAAGATCTGAAGATGGTGATGTTGTTGATAATTCAGACCCTTGGAAAGAGTTAAAAGTGCCAAATGATGATGATGCATCAGTACACCTTAATGATATGATTTCAAACGAAAGTATTATACAGAAAGTGATCTCTGATCCATATTTAATCGATAAGCTTAAATACAAATGTTTTTCAGCACAGCCTCATTTACCATCCCTTGCTTTACATATTTTGCTAACTGGTCTGCATCCACTACTGTCAGGTTTCAGCAGTGAAGAAAACTTTACTAATATGGATGATGATGATGATGATAATGAAGGATGTGAAAATTCAAGTGAAACAATAGCCAAACAAAAGCTTAACATATGGAATCTTGGATCAAGGGCTATAACTTTCAGAAGTCGTGAAATATGTGATTTAGTCTATGATATTTGTTTTAATCGATCGAATGATACATCAAAACATAAACAACTTGGTTATTACAAGAATTTCACTAAAGTGTCAAAAGGCAACAGTAATAATAATAATACTAGCGTAAAAACAGTAACACTCAATACAATACATCGTATTTTAGCCAACAGACTTTCAAATACGAAGGATATGGTTTACCACTTGGTGAGTTCATTCTTTAAATATTAAATATTCATACTTGTATTAAATGAAATGGAGAATTGTTTTCTGAATAACCTTAATAATTATGCTATTTTGCAAATATTCTGATATACATTTGATTGGACACAAGTCAGTAAGTAGGGTAATATGTCTCAACCTATCTTTGGTGCAGACTGAATTCTGTTAGTCACGTTTGCAATGTGGCCACCATGTTAAGTGGCTCGCCATCATAGTGCACTGTGAATTGTTCGTATTAGATGTTTGGAGGCGATAGGCAGGAAATCTTGGACCTGGATTTCATCCTAGTTGGCACTCGTTAACAAAGGTAGAACTAGAAACATTACACTAGTTACTGATTAGTGTCCAGTCAAAAATATATCCAGTACAGTTCTATAGGAGGTCAATCACGAGCCCGAATAGCTCAGTGGTAACGTCTCTGACTGCAGCACTGGGTGACGCGGGTTCGAATCTCCGAAGGGACATGGGTTCCTTCAAGGTTGCAGATACACCTTCTTGGAGAATGCCAACTAGCACGAAACCCAGATCCAAGGCTTCCTGTGGCCGATTGTCCCCAACCATCTGATATATATATATATCAAACCTCGATCGTGGAGGTCCTTCAAACTATATCTTCTTTCTGTCGTATGTTACAACTCTGATTTTAATGGCTTCAATTACATTTTCTCTTACTCGCTAATTATGTACATTGTTCAGTAATATTTCCCTTTCTCCTCTTCTCCACCTATTTGCGTGTTCGAGTGCTAGATTCTACACTAGTCACTAATTTAATGCGTTTAGATAGTGTCTATAAATTCCCCAACTTACAACATCAAATTTATTTGTAAAGCTTTACTAGTTACTTGTGTGTTTTATTTGGTGCGTCGGTGGTTCAGCGGTAGAACGCTCTCCAACCACATGCACATAGTCAGGGAGTCGATCCCCGACCGACGCACTCCTTTACCTCCCTAAGCTGGTAGTACGGTCGATAAAGAGTGAAGATTGGATGTGAGGCTAGCACCCACCCCACCCGGTAAAAATAAAAACCACTGCTATCGAAACTTCAAAGCTCTAGCTTGAAACCCTATGTTCCACTCGGAACTTAAAGGAATAAAATTAAAAAATAATAATAAAATATGCGTTTTATTTACTTTCAGTATCATGCTCAAAGGTTGGATATAGTTGCATGCCTACTTATTAGTCCAACATTTCTTATGCATCAGTTACAATCTGGAAATGGTCTGACGTTATTAGAAGACTTTAGAAGATTTTGTAAGTCTTATCATTTGCATATGCATATTTTATGCAAGTTTACCATTCTTGTATAAATAATGCTTTCTCATAGAATTCACAGCTTAAGGTTTAGATTCTCTAATTACTAGAAGGTAAATAGAGTATAATTTTCTTCTGCCTTAACAACAATGTCCGAATACTGAATACATGTGCCCATCATTAGAAAATGAATAGCCAGTTGCTGCACAAACGGTCTGTTTTGATTTCCAGGCTCCTGAGACAAAATACGGGCTATAAGATGAAGACATCTTCAGATTTTAGTAAAAGAGAAATATGTTCCACTTTGTATTGTAACAGTCAAACTGTCCATCTGTACAAGTTTTAGACTCTGGAAAAGCATAGAGCAACCGAAGTTCTCCTTGGAAGACGTAAAGACAGATAACAGACTTTAGAAGAAAGAAGATTTTACTGTTTAAAGTTAGAACCAATTAAATTGATCATAGCTTATGAAAGCCTGTTTAAATCACTGGGTTACTAAGCTTTCCTTCCAGCATAACGCATAGAATTTACTCCATTTTTATATTGTTTGAATCCTGCAATAATGTCCTTAAATCATGGTCTGTACCGACACTTTCAACTTATTCTTATTCATTTTTCGAAATGAATTGAGGAATAACATCAAGTTAGCATTGTAGAATGTTTCATATTGAACTATTGTGCCATATTCTTTGAAAAGTAACACAAAATGTAATACTTTTCAAAGCTACGGGAAGTACTCAGAACTGATTTTTTTTTTCCTTCACGTTCCCCAGTGGAACATAGGGCTTCAAGCTAGTGGCTTGAAGTTTCTGTAGCAGTGCTTATTTTACAGGATGAGGTTGCTAGCCTCATGCCCAACCTTTCCTCTTCACTAGCATTATTTCTGGCTTAGCGAGGTAAAGGAGTGCGTCGGCCGGGGATCGAACCCCGAACCATGTGAATGGTCGGCGAGCGTCCTAACTGCTATGCCGCCGACGCTTCAGAACTGAACTGAGCTGAAATTGTGCAACGCTTTACGGACCTTAGGCTATGGAATTTGCGGGGATTTGGATAAATTGAATTTCATTTGTCAGATTTCGTCACGAACCAACATCAGTTAGAGAGATCACTGAAAATCAGAGAGCACTGGATAGCGGCTTCGTCCTATTTTGAAGTCTTCTATGGTGCGCACCCACGACCCCACCAAGGATAGGACCCAGGACCCTCAGGTTACGAGACGAACTCCTTATTCTTAGAAGTTAGATGGTGGATAGTATAATATTGATTAGTGAACTGAAATATTTACAGTTACTGAACATTTTTCTTCAGCTTTCAGTTCTCTACGGCATACACTCTGTGTAAATTATCTTAAAATGACTAGACTGTGAAAATGGTTGATCTCTTTCTTAATTCAGTTAAGGTTTACGTCTCATAATTCCCCTTTTTTATTCTTGTCTTCTTTTAAAACCATTTTTCTTCAGTGAAAACAGATAGAAGTCTTTCATTGTCGTCTGTAAGTAATTGTAATTATCCATCATTCACTTACATGAAAGACCGAATAATGGATATGCAAAATTTTATTGCATCGAATTATCAATTTTTAACTGAGTAAGTTGATCAGTTTTTCATGTGTGTGTGTCCTTTTAAATATCGTCAACTGTTTTATTTAATACTGGTTAGCTGAAATAATAACTGTATCAGTTATGCTGTTGTTATCCTGTTATATGTATGGTAATACATATTTGAACAATTCAGATAATGGTAATCTTCTCTAAACTCTGGTGTTTTTGAATTTTGACTAATTTCAAGCTGGAGCTTATGACTAACCAAATTTCACTAGGAAACCATAAAAAATGGCACCTGCTTCATCCTAGTTTAGAATCCTTCAGCAGTGCTCATCTATGACTCAGAGAGGATTCGAACCCAAGACAATCGGGTTACGAAGAGAATAAATTACTACTCGACACAACTAGGTTAGAATCCAAAGGCCTATAACTTCCATTTTTTGTCGACTAGCTATATAACACTATCACAGATTATGTCATCTCTGAATAACTTTCATTTTTATAAAATTTTGATATAGTTTTTTATTGATTTTTACATACTTCAATTATCAAATGCTTATCAGATATAATTTCATTTACCAGGCATCCTTCTTCTTTTGCTGAACTGGCTATTAATCAGAACGTCAGTGATTGGATTCAAAAAGTTGGATTGACATGTTTGTTCTATTTAGACTCTCAATCTCAAACAGCTTGCTGCACGCCAAATGTTTTTCCGAATTAAACCAGATGAAAATATTCTCTATAGTCTACCAAAAGTTATTCAACCAGCTTTTATTTATAAACCGATCACACCTTTGAATGGTTCACAAGATGTAGCAATTTCTGTTGAACTTAATCGAACTGGTACTTTATTAGCCTATGGCACTGAGTCAGGTACAGTCAGCGTCATCGAAGTAGAGTCTATGAAGGTATGTCTTAAGTAATTTTTCCATAAGGTGTCTATTAATACTACATACAGTTTAGAAAAATGTATATTCCCCTCAAAAAATTAGATTATGTTTATTTTTTTATTAATTAAATTCAATAGTTATCTCTGTTTCTTTTGCATTATTCCTTTCTTTTATAAAGTAGCCCCAAATAAATGTTGTTTTTTTCTTCTCAGGTGCTATGCTCATTTCATGGACACAATTTACCGGTACTCAGTTTATGTTTCATTGATAATGGGTACGGTTCTAATAAACCGCATGGAATTTCTACTTCACAGCTGTGGTTAGCTAGTACCTGTCAAGATGGTGGTATAATTATATGGGATATATCCAGTGTGACTACAGAAGCTCCATCTTCAACAACTCAGTGTCTCAGCCGTCAGTTATGCTCTTCCAGTGGGTATCATCGCCGACCTGTAACTGTTTCTGCTTGGCATCCGCAGCGACAAGTCTTAGCTACTGGAAGTTTGGATTGTTTAGTTTGCCTTTGGGAGATGAGTGAATTGGGTTTTGGATCACTTTCTTATGCGAAACCATCCAGTTTGAGTAAACTCACCCCTAGCCAAAAAATTAAAACCCATTCTCCTGTCAATGCACTTGTTTTTCGGTTATCAGACTATACATCTGACAACGAAAATTCTATTTCTAATGATGTGATGGCCATAGGATGTTGGGATGGTTTTGTTTATTTCTACAATCTCGTATCTAGAACAAATATAATGGTAAGTATCCCTTTCATTTAGTTAACATATTTTCGATCATCTCTAGGTAATGCTCTAATGAACTATTTTTTTAAATTTTATTTAACAGTCTCTCTCAGTTTCACCATTTTCCATATCTTCACTGGCTTATTCACCAAATGATACTAATATCTTGGCTATTCTCGACAAACAAGGTCAAACTCATCTTTTGGATGCCGATATGTTTGTCTCTTTTGGTAATTTAACTGAAGAAGTTAACTCGTCAACAGCTGACACTTCAACCTGTTCTGAAGAATCACTGCATTTGTCATCCGTAGAATGTGGGAAATTATGTTTCTCTAAACCAAATGGACGCTACCTTATTCAAACGGGAAATGGTATGTCAGGCAGTCGAATCAATGTCTGGAATGCACGTCTTGGTGTCCCTAAGGGTAAGAATGATATTGATGAGTGATTGTAGATGTTTCAGTGCTCTATTGAGGTATATAGTATTTGCTTGCAAAGGTGTTTTGAGTTACGCTAAGCGAAATTTGTGTATTTTTACAATGAATTTCACAGGCCGCTTGTTTGAATTGCTTAATAACTGTGGGTCGGTAACACAGCGGTAGAATGCTCGCCAACCACGCCTCATATGGTTCGGGGTTCCATCCCCAGCCGACGAATTCCTTTACCTTGCTAAGACAGTAATAAGACTGGTAAAGAGGGAAGGTTGGTCATGAGGCTAGCAACTCTATCCCGTAAAAATAAATACCACTGCTATCGAAACTTCAACTCTCTAGCTTGAATCCCTATGTTCCACTAGGAACGTAAAGGAATATATATATATACTAATATAATAAATCCGTATATGTATTTAATTGGTGGATGGTGACTAGCACTGGAATCCAGGATGCGCATTTCGTCCTATTTGGGACTCGTCAACTGGATGTACCTGCATTTCTCAGTGAGTTGTGATGTTCCCACCGAGGCTCGAACCGACATGTTAACCTGAGACCGAGCACTTCGGTCCAATCAGTCGACGGGGAAATCTAAAATTCAAGTAAATCCTTATATGGTTTGTCAAAGAAAATTACCTTAAAGAGTAATCTGTCTACCTTCTCTCTCTTTTGTATTTCTAGCTACAAATTTTTTCTCCTAGTGTCCCCGTTTTTCTCAGAAATAAACATTTGTTTCGTTTATTCTGAGGTGAACAATGTTTGTCTCACATCATAAAAGGCTGTCGGTTCTGTACTGTTGCATTGAATATGTGTATTACATTATGAAAGAAGAACATTTACCATAACCTAACTTTAAGAGATCTATCACACCGACCCATTATGTTAGCCACTGCTTACAGCTGTGACAATTATATCGGTTAAAGAAAGTCTAGATTTTATACATTTGGTTCCCTTGATAAATTTCGATAGAGAAAGAAAGACCAGATTTGCAGTATAAAATGATATCATTCTATTTCACAGGCTTTCATCAGCTCACTACAAACTACCTGAAATTACAATGGTTATAAATAATAACATTTCATACTTCAATGTTTGAAAGGTAACAGAGAAAACATTATAAGATGAGAGCATCCGGAATATAAGCACTACAATTTTTAGTTTAGGTCACCATCAATTTATATGCTTTCAAACTGTGAAAATAAAGGAGGGATGAGAGAAGACAGAAAACAGAAAAATCTAATAAACAGTGTTAGCTTGTAGGTCAACATGGCAACTCAAGAAGGTTAACCTTCTTGTAATACTAATATTCCGGATGCGTTCATCTTATAATGTTTTCTCTGTTACCTTTCAAACATTGAAGTATGAAATGTCATTATTTATAACCATTGTAATTTCAGGTAGTGGTGTGCAGCTGATGAGAACCTGTGAAATAGAATGATATCATTTTATACTGCAAATCTGGTCTTTCTTTCTCTATCGAAAGTCTAGATTACTGTTGTTTGTCAACTTTCACTGAGTATCCTGTTGATTGCACATACGATTGTCTGCCAATAGAGTAGCTATAATACCTTATAATCCGCTCCTCCCTACTCTGCGTTTGTTAGATATGGACACTGAAACTTTAAAATATGATAATGCCAGAGATATTTATTCCTAAGAGTCTTCAAAGCACTACCTGTTAGTTAAAATGAAATAAAAGTAAAATATATCCAAAATGAAATACCATATCTATCACTGAAGTCATAAACTCCTTTTTATTGGTTGAGTAGTTAATTGTTGATTACTTGAAATGGATCAAAACTATGCTAACGATCAGTGATTAAAATGCCTAAGATATGTGATAATCCATTTGCTTTTACTTCAGCTTTCAGTAAATTCTGAACATCGCGATTTTCTGTGCTTACCAAATCTTTATTTGACCCTTTCCACCTCTGGATTTTAACATGATTCCACTTTTTATAAGCTAATATGTGCTCTGTTAGTAAGTTAGTTAGTAGCTTAAAACTGCTTTGACTTTCACGTCATAAGTGGAAATTTTACTACCCTTCTTGTGTAACTATGGTAACCATACATTTATATACTTTGTGTCATGAAACTTTCATGTTGTTTTTACCCCATTTAGGTCCGTGGATTGATTTAAACAGACTTGAAAGAGAAGGGGAAAGGTCAATATTTGTGACAACGTATGCACTTGATGTGAATGGACACCATATTATAAATGGATGGAATGACGGCATCTTTACTGTTGTTTCAATTGACAATGGCGACACTTTATTCATTTCTGATAATCTAGTCCCCTTGATAAATGATAAGTCATCAGTTGAGGCTATTGCCTGTAGCCATTCACCTTTCCGTCACAATGCAAGCCTTTTGATTGTTGGGTGGTCTTCTGGAGCAGTTAGAGTAAGTGAACATTCTTAGTCTATTTCATACTATTTGCTCTTGTTATCAACCGTTATTAGCTATCTGGATGTGCTAAACACATTGTGATTTGCTGAAAATAATTTTTATTATTGATCCGTTTATTGATTAAACTTGCGTACAACTTACAGGTAAGAAATAAACCATGTACTGTTTAAAACAAGCACTTTAGCCATCTGTTTTGTTATTCTTCAGTTTGATTACCTATATTTATTTATCGTGTTACTATTGTATATACTTCTACTTTAATTAAGTGTATTAAAAATATGATTATAGTATTAGTTCATTTGATATGGAACACGGTGATACAATTCTGTTGCCTATGCAAAGCTTCTAACACAAACTGTAGCCTAGAATCACATCAAGATGACTGAGGTTCCAACTTAAGTATACTGATCATTTAGTTTATTTATTTATTTATGGATCAAGTGTATTGGATGCTTACTACAAGTAGATCAGGTTCAACCTCTCTCTGTCTCTCTCTCGTTAATTTTATACTCTTCGATCTACATCACATAGAATACAAAAACTGTATGTTGGTGATTAACACATTTCTTAATTTTCGATAACCTGATCCTGCCGTCTGTCTGAAACATTCCTTAAGTAATGCGGACCACTTTGTATTGTGATTTTTCTCTAAATGCCAAGTTCGTTTGTGTTGTTTGGTATATTTCACAACAAAACAGTGTCATCTGCTTTATAACATTGTTTATAGTGATGTTGAGGTAGCTTTGTGATATATATTTAACAGAATAATCAATACGGAGTTACATTCTACCATAATTCCTTGGTTCTGGTCTTGTATTTCACAACACGAGTTACATGGTTGGTGTTGTCTTTAAGAAAGCATCACATGGAAAACATCCTCCTCTAAACAGTTATTTACCTCTCAGTTCTCACTGTATTTATCTTCCTGACCAAACCACTTGGAAATGAAGCTTTTACCTCAGTTTTCTCCCTAATGAAAACTTAGATTGTAAATGCTTTTCATTATATTCCTATTATCAATGAGTGAACTGTCATCCTGATATGATAGAGAAAGCAACTTTAAACTTCATTCTGTACATGAACAGTTTCGCATGTAGTCTGTAGTTCATTTCTGTTTTTCTTTGTTTAGTTTTTCAAAGAATTTAGCATGAATCACAAGACAGAATGAATAGCATCCATGAGAAACATAAGCGATAATCTTAATTGAATTTTAGATTTTCCCGTCGATTGATTAGACTGAAGTGCTCGGTCTCAGGTTGACATGTCGGCTTCTTGTGCCGGTGGGAACATCATCATTCACTGGGAAATGCAGGTACATCCAGCTAACGAGTCCCAAATAGGACGAAATGCTCATCCTGGATTCCACTGCTAGTCACCATCCACCAATTAAATTATAAGCGATAATCATTCAATAGTTTTAGCTGATTTAAAGTTATTAACCAGTTAATGAGAAATACCACTGCTCAATAATCTCTTTCTGGCCACGTTTAGTCTTTATATATATTGTGTCGAAGAATTGACATGAGTTTCATAAAATTCAACTTTTAGAAGATTTTCCCGATAAGATTAAGTTCTCAGTGCTAAAGTTAGTATTTCACAATTCCGATCTTTTACTAAAACAACATTATTGCGAAAACCACCTGTTTAATTTTCTACACCAACGTTTTTACACATACATCTATGATATCAAAGTGGAATTCAGAAGATTCAGCTTTTTTAAACCCTTACTGGCCTTGATGAACACCTAGATTAAAGAAGTTATGAGCTGTAGTATTTTGTCAGATTTAACAGTTTTCTCTTTGTCATATATGTGCGGAGAAAGATGAAAATATCCAGTCGATAATTCCTATATAAGTGTGAGTTTTCGAACAAATGGACTCTCCTCAGTCCTGTCAATTATGTTACGTCACTCAGTTCACTTACTTAATTTTCCTCTGGTATTATGCAACTAAGAATCTCTTGATTGTTATGTGAAACTCAAAGTTTTAGTGATACATCTTTGGAAACATTCCTTTGTTGTTGTGAAAGTGTATTATACATACGGTTTGAGAATAATATCGCTGCTCCTGGGAAGCCAGTTACATAGGCCGTACAATTAGGCATGTTTCTCGTCGAATTGCCGAACATCACCCTGCGTGATTAAGCAAAGGACAAACAAAATCTATTCGCAGCGCTATTCTGTCTCATCTTGTGGAGACAGAACACAAGATTGACGTTAATCATGCTTTCAGGGTCATTTACCGCATACCTACGAATCTCAATTTTACCTTAAGAGTTCGACTACTAAATATTGCTGAGGCTGTGGGGATCCATATTAATAAGCCTGATTTATGCATCCAAAAGAAGTTAGTTCAGACATTATCATTACCTTGGCCATCCAGGTTTGAATAATCCTGAATTTTTGTGGAATTTCCCTAATTTTAGTTGATATTCTATTCGCTATTATATCTTTATTATTACTATAATTTAAGCATCTTTAATGAACTGTAATAGCATTGATCATACTTTACAAATCGATATTATTTAAAAAAACACTAATATTGTTATTAACTACTAATCTAGAATATTCTGTGTATATAAACATATATATAAATGTAGAGCCTGGAAGAGGAATTTATCGAAAAGAATATTCTTTGCTCGATTATTTTGTGTTTTATAGATGTCTGAATAGAGTAACTCAAATACCAACATGTGTACTTTTGAGGCTGTTGTAAGATATGACGCATCTAAGATGTTTTCAATACTCAGTGACTTTGGCCTATGATCAAAAGGTACTTGCAATACACCTGATCGAAAATTCATACTTTTTAAGGAAATTCCCTAGAATGTTTTTATGTTCAATAGCCAGTTTCAATTTTTGCTGACATTTATCAATTTCATTTATATTCTTTTTGTTTGTACAGTTATTCCATTGCGAATTCAACTCAAGAATTGATACTAGGACGGATGACAATTTAGTTGTTGATGCCGAAGTGTTTGTTAATCCCACTCTGTGCTTTACTCACATAATTACATTTTGGTCACATTCTATTGAGCATGCAGAGAATGGTATAGGTGAAGCTGGCGGTACTCTGTGTGTTGCAACTTCAAATTCTATTGCAGTCAGCGGAGGAGGGAATTGTGAAACTTGGGTCTATTTTATTGATACCAAACTGAAAATCTTTTCGACTGAATCAGTCTGCCTAAGAAATCATAATGGCCAAGTGACCGCAGTAGATATATCAAGCAGGTATATAGCTACAGGCTCCAAAGATAAAGTAAGCTTCAGTGTCATTGTTGTTTTATTGTTTGTTTTCTTATTCCCTCATTGCCCAGTGGAACATAGGGCTTCAGGCTAGAGGCTTGAAGTTTCTGTAGCAGTGTTTATTTTTACAGGATGGGGTTGCTAGCCTCATGCCCAACCTTTCCTCTTCACCAGCTTTATTTCTGGCTTAGTGAGGTAAAGGAGTGTGCCGGCCGGGGATCGAACTCCGGACCATGTGAATGGTCGGCGAGCGTCCTAACTGCTATGCCACCGACGCACGTTGTTTTATTGTGTTTGGGTTTATTTCAATAATAAGTGAGCTGGTGATAACTGAATGATATTTTGAGAATTAATGTCTCGTTCTTTTAGGCTGATCACAGTGAACAGATTAGTCAATTAAGACAAAAGACAGCTGTTGATAAAAACACCACTAATTCCATAAATGCTAAGCAAAAATACTTATACAAACATTCGACTATTAAAATTGAGAAAAAGCACTATTTATAAAGACATATTATCAATAGAGGACCTACCATTATTGTGTATTGATGAAAGTTGTCATACTTTATTATCCGCATATCAAGTAAAAGTAATCAAAATGATGACAAATAAACGGAGATCATGCAATGAAGTACTACAGAATACTGTCAGACACAAAAAGATAGCAGAGAGTAAGGAAAACAATTTGACTTTGTAGTTTAAACAAAGACAGAGTGTGAATGCATCTGCGTTACTGAGGTTGATTTTGAGCCACACCATCTAGTGTATTCGACTGTCGGTCTCAGAGGTCAAAACATAAGTCATTCAGACAACTTACATATTACTGCACAAATCAGAACAGCAAATAATTACTTCATATTATCCATATCATTAAACCTTGCTTCATTCTAACCTAATTGTTATTCACCTAAAATGCAGGAGGTTTGTCATTTTGAAATCATCGTGGTTAACGGGACCCTACAACTTCGTTGGCTGACTTGCGTATCTTATTGATACATGTATAGTATTTGGGCACTGTGATAGAGTATAATTCCAAAACAGAATAATTTTGTTGTGCAATAACATAGTGAGACAGTAATATTTATTTACTGATGGCCTTTCGAACACACCTTGTTGCTCATAATCATATCAAAGTACTCGCATAACTTTCAAATTTTGTTTATATAGTTTCATAAAAAATGTATGCGTAATTTCAAAGACTAAGAGATTTAATTCATCAACCTGAAACCAATCTGGAAATCTTCGTCACTCAGCATCAACAACAAAATTCGGATTTTCAATACAAACGTCAAGTCAGAAACTAGGCGGGTCACAAAGAATATTTCCAACAGCCTCTTGCAGACCTTTATCAACAGCTGTCTTCGGTCTATACTGAAGATCAGATGGCCGGAAAGAATCATCAACAAGAAACTATGGGAAGAAACAAAACAAGAACCAATCGCTCAACAAATATGCAGAAGAAAGTGGAGATGGATTGGACACTCGCTGAGGAGGCCGTTGGGTGACATCGCGCGTCAGGCCAACGCTCGAGTGGAACCGGAAAGGGAAGCGGTGAGTGGGACGTCGAAGGGTGACATGGAGGAGATCGTGTGAAGAGGAGTTGAAACAGTATGGACTAACATGGATGCAGGTGAAAAGTACAGCAGAAGACAGAAGCAAGTGGAGACGTGTAGTTGAAGCCCTATGTTCCACTAGGAACCCAAGGGAACAATAATAATATTATAATAATAAGAGATTTAAACTAAAAGCTTTCCACCTACCTTTAGTCAAAACCCTTTTACTGCATCCAGTGCATACTGTTTGTATAAACTGGGTCTAGACACTCACATACAAGTACCAGTGCATTATTACATTAGCACATAAACTTCGTTTTTTTCTCCTTTCCCGTTGTTTTATAGAATGTAGCTGTCTATGAATATGATCGATCCAGCAAAACAGTCAGACTGAAACATATGATACATTATGCAGCAGATGACTGGATTACTTCACTGGCATGGTCGCATACTTTAAATAAATCTGATTCAACAAATTTATCACTTTTTATTGGAAGTAATGATCAGTTAATACGTAGATACTCTATTGATCAAAATAGTTGTAAAATTCAACAAACACTTGCTTCACATAAATCTGAGATCAAATCTTTAGATTTCAATGTAAGTTTACTAGTCTTTCATTATTATTTTTCTAATTCAAGTGCCTCTAGTTTTAAAGATAGACAAGAAGAGATTATTATTATTAGTTTTGAATATACTTTCAATATTAACTGGTTTCTTTTCTATCCAAGGTCATAATATCAGTCTTTATATTAAAAACCATCCTTTAGATTTTCAACATCTCAGATATCTAAAACTCATGTCCCAATTAGTCAGTAATTCTTTATACTGTCCATCTTCAATTTGATCGATATGTTACATAATTACTACGTGTAATATTTGTATAACCTAAAGATGTAGAATTAATCCTTCTAGAATGAATTTGACAGTATATGGTATACCCTACCATACGTTTCGATTCTGCAATATATCCTGATCAGTACTACTAGTAATATTCCTTTGTCTTTACTTTGCTGATTGGTCCACCGAAGGAGAGAGCTCTCGAGTGGTTGCGCCACAGGATAATACTGCATGCCGTCTCGTCTGGCAAGAGGCAGGGATAGGTGTGTTCGGTTCTCCTGAAAACCAATACCCAGTCAGTTGGGTGCACCATTATGTGAATGTGCGTCGGTGGCACAGAGGTAGAATACTCGCCAACCACGCCTAATGTGGTTCGGGGTTCGATCCCCGGCCGACTCACTCCTTTACTTCGCTAAGCTAGTAATAAGACTGGTAAATAGGGAAGGTTGGGCATGAGGCTAGCAACTCTATCCCATAAAAATAAATACCACTGCTACCGAATCTTCAAAGCTCTATCTTGAAGCCCTATGTTCCACTGAGAAAGTGAAGGAATAAAAAAAACTTTGCTGATGATCTCATGGTGATCATCTTAATTAAATGAAATAATTAAGTCACCCAGCCAAGTCACTACCTAAACTACCTAAAGTCATTTTGGATCAGTATATTATATTTTAAGAGTGAAGACTACATGCTAAATGTAACTGCGTTTCTTCAGTGTATCTAGTAGATCCTTTATTTTTTCATTTCACCTAACAGGACTATTTTGAAAATAAAAAAATTCACTGGGAGTGGTTTGACAGTGAAAATACTGGGATGAAAAACAAGAGTGTAAAGGGGATAAATAAAAGAGTAGAAATATGATTTACAATAACTCAAGGCCGACAGCTGACACTTTTTAAGCTGTTATATAATGACGTAGTATTATGTCATACATATATACATATAAGTTCCATGTGTGCATTTACTTGACAAAGCATAAATATGTACCGGGGAATCGTATTTACTAGCGTTCCCCAATTATTCTTGAATTTTGAAGCAAGTTAATATGTAAGGTGAAGTTATTATTTTTGGAATGTGTTGAAGTCAGTGCTTCTTACTACAGCTAAAAATTATAACCTGGGGTTCTAGTGGAAAGCCGTGACCAGCAGGTTGAAGATGAGGCAGTAACTCATCGAAGAAGACATTGTGAAATGGTCGCGCTATGCCGTGAATTGGCAGAAGTTAGAATTCAAGGATCATTGGATCGGGTCCCAGTGGCTCAATGGTCTACGAGCTCGCTAGCCTTGTAACCAGAAGGTCCTGAGTTCTAACCCCGATGGCTGCGTACTACTGAAGAGCCCCAAACTAGGACGAAATAGCTATCCAGTACTCCCAGGTTCTCCAGTGGTTCTCTTACTGATGTCAGCTCATGATGAAATCCTCCAAACAATCTAAAAATTATACTCAGAAATTTGTTATTAATAAACGTTTGATAACCATCCTAATGGTGACCTTTTTTAAATCGTTTGGTTTAAAATCAGTTTTCATGGATGCAAATTCATTAGAGTACCACTATAAACATAATCAAAACTAGTAGTCATTGTTCCTTGGTTTGAATTTCCATAAAAAAGACGAAGTACTGACCTCTGAATCTGATAAATGCTTTCCACAGTGTCAGATATGGAAACAGTAACTCACTCACTGATGACTCCAGATAGTGGTCGAGAGAGTAGGAAACTATGACCCACTGGATTCTGACATAGTGTTGTGTGAAACTAGATTCAGATATGTCTCAAGTTCTGTTTGGGTTTTCTACCGTTTTCCGGATGATATCTGTTCGTGAAAAGTCCAATTTGAAGTCAGTTGTATTTCTACAAACATAAAATCAGAGGTGATGGCTTATATAATGTAATTTGTATTTATAAAATCTTAATAAAAGCAGGTGAATTCCTAATAAGCAACAACATACGTGAAAGTAGCTTCTTAACAGAATACAAGTTATTAATTACATGTTTAGACAGAAAATGGAATAAACTAAATCTCATTGACCATACATATAGAACAAAACAGAATGAAGCACGCTACTGCACCTAATGATCGATAAATGAAATAATAATAATAATAGTAAGTAATGTAATGTTTTAGCAAGTGTATACATATTTTGTAGATAGATGTTAGTCAATATAGTGAATGCACAAAAATTCTATCTGTGTGCGTGTGTGTGTGTGTGTTTTATTAATTAATCCAGATATTCAAATTCATTTCTTTGTAAATATTTGTAAACAGGTGAACTATGGGTGTTTTCGAGATATGTAATGAATGTTTTATTCATTTCAATAAATTCATAAAAAATGTCTCTATGAGTTTTAGACAACTTTTTTCCAATTTTTCTAACATTCTGCTGTTGTAAAACACAAAATAATCGAGCAAAGAATATTCTTTTCGATAAATTCCTTTTCTGGCTCTACAATTATATAGATGTTTATATACATAGAATATTCTAAATTAGTAGTCAATAACAATATTAGTGTTTTTTAAATATGATCAATGCAATTACAGTTCATTAAAGATGCTTAAATTATAATAATAATAATAAAGATATGGTAGCGAATAGAATATCAACGAGAATATCGACGAGACTGCTCCTGTGGAGCCAGCTACATAGATCGTACAACTAGGCGTGTTTCTCGTCGAATTTCCGAACATCACCCTGCCTAGTTAAGCAAAGGACAAACAAAATCTATTCGCAGCACTATTCTATCCTATCTTGTGGATACAGAACACAAGATTGATGTTCATCATGCTTTCAGTGTAATTTATCGCATACCTACGAACCTCAATTTCGCCATAAGAGTTCGACTACTAAACATTGTTGAAGCCGTGGGCATCCATATTAACACGCCTAATTTATGCATCCAAAAGAAGTTAGTTAAGACATTATCATTACCATGGCCATCTAGGTTTGAATGATTATGAATCTTTGTGGAATTTTCCTAATTTTAGTTGATATTCTATTCGCTACTATATCTTTATCATTATTATTATTATTTAAGCATCTTTAATGAACTGTAATTGCATTGATCATACTTTACAAATCGATATTATTTAAAAAACACTAATATTGATATTGAATACTAATCTAGTATATTCTGTGTATATAAACATATGTATAAATGTAGAGCCAGAAGAGGAATTTATCGAAAAGAATATTCTTTGCCCGATTATTTTGTGTTTTATAGATGTCTGAATGAATATTTTTGCTATATTTTGCTGTTATGTTCATACCAAAGAAGTTTCAGAAACTTAACAGTTGAAAGAAACCTACATGTGATACATCTTTCTAATAGTGATATTAACTTATCTTACCATCAGTTAGCAACCTGCTCATCTTCTTAATCAATATGATGAGGATTGGACAAGAGATTTCATCGGGCAGCTAGGGTGGTGATAAAAGAACAGTAACGTATCATATTGAAGATCAAATGGCCAGAAAGAATAAGCAACAAGAAACTCTGGCAGGGAACAAACCAACCAAGAGCCGATTGCTCAGCAAATACATAGGCGAAAATGGAGATGGATGGGCATACGCCACGGAGAAGGTCGTCGAATGACATAGCACACGATGCAAGCCATCGCTCGAGTGGAACCCGAATGGGGAGCGACGAGTGGGTCGTCATTGCGAGGGTGACATGGAGGAGATAAGAGATTATGGTCAGTCATGGACCCAGCTGAAAAGGATGGCACCAAATAGAAGAAAGTGGAGAAGTGTTGTTGAAGCCCTATGTTCCACTTGAAACCTAAGGGAATAATAATAATAACGTGTCATTTAGCCACATTACAACCGGGCATTACCCATGATAATTGCAGTGAAGTGAGAACCTGACTAGCAGTTAAGTCTCATAGCTTAGCTGGTAGAGAACTAGACCAGCAGTTCAAAGGCCGCTGGTTCGAATCTTTCCGCAACTCAGATTTCTATTTCACCTTTAATCATCACCTATCGCTAAATTAATAACAGTCTCCCGAACCAATTCTAACTCGGATAATCTCACCATTAATATATTTTGCTTTATTTTTAGTATCCTTATTTGTTTTCTGCTTCCACTGACGGTCACATAATTGTTTGGAAGTGTGATAAAACAGACGTCTTTCAGTTTGTCAGCCAAATGAATATTTCGGTCAGCTTAAACTCCAATGAAATTATCAAAACTTCAACAAGTCTGGTTAAGATTGAATCGTTCACTCCAAAGTATTTTAATTCAAAATGTAAGTTCAAATTCTGTTTTTGACTTCCTAAAAAAAATAGTAATAATAATGCATAGTAGTAGATATTTGAAATTTTATGTATTAACCGCATATGTAAATGCCACTTAGCCAAATATTCTTGTTTTTTGATATTTTGTTTGTTTGTTTTTGAAATACGCATGAAATATTAAAAGTCTGAGCTGTTAGATTAACAGAGCACACCTGTAGCTCATAGAGATGGCGGCAGTCACACGGAGCTTGGGTACTTTAGGAACTTGCATTGTGAAATGATATTTCTTCTCCAGTTAATTTTATAATTAATGACCTAGGTATAGGATGATCTTATCAACTTCAGAACTTGATCACATCTTCAAGAATGGATGTTTGAAGTTTTTCATATGGTTAACAGTAACAGAAGTTCATCTGGTGAATACTGTGTGCTACTGTTAAGATTGGATCTTTCTAAAGTCATTTGTTTTGATCAATAAAAGGTAATATCAGTCATGAATACTGATTATCTTTGGAAGTGTGTTTCGTACAGTCTCACTATCAAATACACTAATGTTTCATATTTAATGTAATATCCCTTAAAGGCATCATCTAAACTCACCTTAAGAGATCTTGCTTACTGATACGTGGAAAGAGGATCCTGATTTCCTGTGACATACTGTGTTAGGCATATTAAAACAACTTTCATATATATGTGGATGACACATTCACTGTGTTGAAATCTGAACATCATATCCCTCAATTTCTCACACAGATAAACTCAGTACTATATGGAATCGAAATTACCTTTGAATTAGAAAATGAATAAGGTGAAATGGCCATGCTAGACTGTAAAATAAAATGAAAACAAGATAGTGGGTTAGATACTAGCATTTATAGGAAATCAACACACTAATAAATATTTAGACTTTAATTCATCACCCCTCCAGAATCGGTGAAGATAAGTTTAGTTAAATGTCTATATAATTGGGTCAGGAGCCCAATTAGTAAGCCAGAAGAAAATAAATAATGAAATCAAATAAAGAAAGAAAATATTACTAGTGAATATCTCCCCACTAGAATTTATTCAAAAATGTGTAAAGACCCTCAAGAAAAAATAACAGTAGTAGTGAAAATTATGAAAATAACATAAATTATATGGAATTCAAAGCCTCGGTAGTACTGTGGTGAGAGCTGGCTGCAAGTCAAAAATTGTAGATAGGAATTTACGACAATACTACGTCCCGAATCAGGGTTAAAAGGAAAACAATAACAAAGCTTAACCTTGAGGAACTCACCAACCAATCACAGCAGACCTAATGTGTGCAGATGGGATTTGCAGACATATGGCTTGACTTTCTAAGAAACGGTTACAAGCAGTACAGAATAACCTTCAACAAGAAAGCAACCAATCAGAAGACGTCGCCTCTCCGCTGACAATAATGTACACAAAAATCTATAAATACCTCTTGATTTTCTCAATAAACTATCTGTTGCCTGGCCCTTATCATCTGTCTTTACAGTACTACCATGTAAAGAAGGAACATCAAAGACCCTACTCACGATTCTTGATGAAGCTTGAATTAGGGTGGCATTTAAACCAACCAACCTTCTCAGAGGTAAACTTTGTCGGTTTAAAGACCCGACAAATCCGTTTAGAGAAAATAATATAATTTACCAAAGACCATGCAATGACTGTGAAATCAATTACATAGATCAAACGAGTTGACTGGAGTCATTTAGATTATCGGAACATTTGAATTTATCTACAGCTAGAACGATCGACCCTGATAAGTTAAAAAACCTAGGAAAAACTCAGGCATTGCAATGCATTCAGCTGCATGTAATCATACAACAGAGTGGGATAGGGTAAAATTATTAAAGAGCAATATAGTTAGGTGGAGAGAGAGAGTGGTTAATTACAGATTCTTTGTTCATCGAATCAACACCAAACTGGTGCAGTCGAAATGACGCAATACCCATACCGTATATATCGAAAATTTCAATAAACAACAAAGGGGGAGAGAGGAAAATATATATTTTAATCAAATTATGAAGTCATGTGAATAAATTGTGCTGGAAACGTCGTCCAGTTATAAAGAGTGCATCACTCATGTGTGTTATATCAAATTTCCTAGACGTTCTTTAAAGTACAGCTTACATTTAAAGTAATTTTACTTCTTACAAGTCACACTATGTTACATGATTACTATTGGTTCATAAAAACTTTTTTGTTTTATTTCTTTTTTTCAGCGAAGAAGAGGAAAGCTTTGAATTCTCAAAGTGAACCTGAAGTAGACTGTGAATCGAATGAAGTAGAATTCAATAACAGTCGTCTTGACAATGAACAGGATGAAACCATCCATCTAGATGATAAAAATTCTTTTGTGGATATGAATATCAATAGGCCTTCAACTGAATGTACACTGAAAAGAAAAGATATCTCTGATAATGATGAACAAGTCCAGGAATTTGAAATATTCGGCAAATGCAGAAAACGCCATGGAATGAATCGAGAGTTATTCAGGGATACAGATATAAAACTTCTAGTTGGTCAGATAACTACATCATCATCCTCTGATAGACATCGGGGTTTTCGCTTCCGGACATATGCACCTTGTATCTTAGGTTATCATGCTACTCTGAGTGGACATGCTGGATTGAAGCCATGTGGAATAACTTGCGCTAAATCTCCAAATTCATATGAAGATATCCTACTTGTCAGTGTAGCTGGTCAAAATAGTGAAGCTAATACACTGGGTTGTGATATTCGACTTTGGAATTTGCCTCTACCTGATACTTCTATACTTCGTAAGTACATGCTAAAGTGCAGTTGCATCTGAGTTTATCTTCATGAGATTTACAGGCTTTTAAATAGTATAATGAAATATTATTACTTTTATGAGGTTGAAAAACAGAGCGAAGTAAAACAACGAACATCGCTTCACTTTGCAAGAGCATAAAAGGCAAGTCACATAAATTCGAAGGTTTGCTCAGTGAGCAATGAAACGAAGATGAGGAAAGAGGAAAGAAAGAAATTTCAAAGCAGTTAGCTTCCCATATTTCAGAAGAGAGTGAAAATTTTGGTGAATCTGCATCTCTGGAATCCATTGTGAACTGGACTGCACACGATTTCACTTTATTGTTTCTATTTTCCTATAATCTCTAGCATTAAACGTACCCAGTTGTCACTAACAGTCATGGATTTTGAAGACTGACCATTTTTCATCCTTTTAAAGGAACAATTTATGCTTTTAGCTTGAGCAACTTATAGATGAATAATTTTAGTCAAATAGTTAACGTAGGATTCTTTGACGTACTTCAACAATATGAACAAGCATAGTATATATAGTTCTTGAGAAACTGTGTAGCGAAGCACTCTCTCTATGGTAACGCTTTTTTCAAATAATTTCAATTAATAATCTAAAATCTAATTTTATTTACTTGCAAGTGGATGCTATCACCTTGTGGTAATTATGAGCACTTAGTTATGTTTAATTATTATTCGTCTGTTTTTGAGCTGCTCGTTTGTCACATCTAATCACGTTTGTAAAAACAAAAGATTGTAAAAATCTTGTATTATCTATGTGCTAATGGTTTTATTCGGTAATATAAAAAAAACATGAAGGTAATGCAAAACGTAAATAACTTGCTCGAAAGTAGACAATATGAATTCTTTTTATTCCTTCACGTTCCCAGTGGAACATAGGGCTTCAAGCTAGAGGCTTGAAGTACCAGTAGCATTTTTTACGGGATGGGGTTGCTAGCCACATGCCCAACCTTCCCTCTTTACCAGTCTTATTACTAGCTTGGCGAAGCAAAGGAGTGCGTCGGCCGGAGATCAAACCCCTAACCACATTAGGCATGGTTGGTAAGCATTTTACCGCTGTGCCACCGACGACGCACAGACAATATGAATAACTGTAACAAAAGGTGATGTAATATTAAGTACAGTTCAAGCAAATTCACTCATTCACTGATAGATAAAGCTCGTTTCTGTTATCATCATGAAATTACATTAATTCAATTTCAAAAGGAGGAAAAATAGCATACATGCATTTTTCATAAACTTTAAAGAGTGTAAAACTTAATTCATTGATTTTTTATCGTTAACAAGGTATTCCTGAGTAACATTTTCACAACTATTCAGAATTTTCATGTGTACATTGATCTGAAAATGTTTGTTTTTTATGCTTCAGATGAACCAATTCAGCATACTGGCCCAGTGATATCGGCTGATCATTTAAAAGTGACAAATAATTTACGAATATGTATATCTGGTTCAACAGATGGCATTTGTACATTTTGGGCTATCATTGGATCAACTCCAATGAACATGGAACAGACCGCTTCACGTTTTGAATTTCTACGCATGAATTCTATTACATGGAAACCTTTGATATGTTTGACTAATTCATATAGACAATTGAAATATCCTATAAACTGTATTGTTACACAAATATGGTTAACTGATGGTGATGATGATGATGAGAATGGAAAATCGACTCATTACTTTATTTATATTGCTTGTGGTTATGAACTTTGGGTATTACATTTACACCTTGATTATACAATTCTAACTAGTGAAATTGATGTTGAAAATACTATTATGCAATTATTTAGTACAAAAGGGAAATTGAATATATCACTTTCAGAATTATCAGCGTTATGGACATCTGAGAAGGTTGCTGAAATTAAAAAGTAAGTTCTTCTTATCGATTGTACTACGTTTGTTTGTTATTCTGATCATGATAACTGATAAATGTGGCCAGTGGCTTAAATTGATTTGGCTCTCTGAGTTTAGTTGAATTTATTAGATAGTTGGAGGCAATCGGCAGGAAACCTGGGACCTACGTTTCGTGCTAGTTGGCACTCATCAGCAAGGTGTATCTGCAACCTTGAAGGAACTCATATCCCTTCTGAGATTCTAACCCGCGTCACTCACTGAGCTATTTGGGCTCGCGATTGACCTCCTGTAGGACTGTAGTGGGTATTTTGATTGGACACTAGTAACTAATGTGATGTGTCTAGTCCTTTCTTTGGTGCAGACTGAATTCTATCAGTCAAGTTTTGCAATGTGGCCACCATTCTAGGTAGCTCGCCATCACGGTGCACTGGGTGACGCGGGTTCGAATCTCAGAAGGGACATGAGTTCCTTCAAGGTTGCAGATACGCCTTGCTGACTGTGAGTGCCAACTAGCACGAAACCTAGGTCAGGCAAGGCTTCCTGTGGCCGATTGCCTCCAACTATCTAATATCATCAAATCAATGTGCACCGTAATGGCGAGCTACCTAGAATGATGGCCACATTGCAAACTTGACTGATAGAATTCAGTCTGCACCAAAGAAAGGACTAGACACATCACACTAGTTACTAGTGTCCAATCAAAATTAGTTGAATTTGTTAAATCATTGATAAATTAGGCCATGAATGAGTGAAACGTCCAGCTAGTGTTTAAATCACTTCGATATGGCTATCAAGCACCACTGTTTGATAGTGAGTCGGTCGGTCGGTCGGTTTGCGACATAGAACTTTGCACATTTGTGAGGCAGCTCAAGTCGTCACACTCCATGTAGCACACAAAGCAACAGAAGAAAGTAGGAGAAATGCATATTAGAGACAGTAAACAGAGGTGTGAGACAAAGGAATAGTAGTGACGAAGAACAAAACAGTTTCATTGGAAATCATAAGTCACAAGGAGTGGATTCATCCGCGCCAGCCATTGAGAACGATTTTGAGCCATGTCACCAATTGTTTCCAACCATTGGTTTTTACCGTCCCGAGGACCCCAACCAGTCAGAAAGTCTACGCCTTCCTACGTGGCTTAGACTAACTGTTGTAGATTTCATTGACTGGTGCCATGTTTTGGTTTGACCACCGCTAGCTCTTTTCCAGCCTGACCCTATATCAGCTAACATTGCCCATTGTCGAGGAAGGCGATGACTAGGCATACGTAACACATGTCCTAACCATCTCAGTCGATGTAATTTCACAGTCTCGTCGATTGATTTCCCCTCCTTACCTAGCACTCGACTGATGCCTAACCTCAATATTGCTCACCTTATTATACCACTTCACACGGGAGATAGAACGCAGACACCTATGATCGAAGACAGATAATCTTTTCATGTCTTCCGCTCTCAATGGCCAGGTCTCACAGCCATAAAGGAGGACGGAGCGGACTGAGAGTGAGTGGTTTCTAACTATAAATATCACTAGTGACTACCAACTTGCTGAATTGTTGAACGTCTAAGTGATATCGCTTACACTATTAAGTACTATTTTTAGCATCCAGAACATAGTGGTTTATGAAAAACTAACAGTTGTTTCACTTGTTTAAGGTCAGGTCAAATAACTGTAGGTCTTTAAAAAAAAAGAAGCTCTATCTGCGTTACCGTTAAAAGGCTGTAAATCACTTGGCTGTATTTTAATGTTGACACAAAATCACTGCTTAATAATTTACTAACCTACTAATAACTTTTTTTGGTAATGGATGAATGGGAATTATTCAATCTGAGAGAAATTTTTAACAAACCGACACTGACATTCAAGTATTGGTTTGTAGGGATTTGGTTGATTGGTTACAAGATTTCATCATGAGCTGACATTGGTTAGAGGACCATTGGAAAACCTGGGAGTACTGGATAGCTATTTCCTCCGTCCTAGTTTGGGACTCTTCATCAGTACGCATCCACCGGCGGGACCGAACCCAGGACCTTCTGGTTACAAGTCGAGCTCGCATACCATTAAGCCACTGGGACCCGATCCAATGGCCCATGAATTCTAACTTCTGCCAATTCACGATATAGAGCAACCGCTAGACAATGTCCTAGCTTCGTCCTAGTTTGGTTCGAACCCCGGTGGGTGCGTACTGCTGAAGAGTCCCAAACTAGGAAGGAAGAAACAGCTGTCCAGTACTCCCAGCTGGTTTTCCAGTGGTTCTCTAACCAATGTCAGCTCATGATGAAATCCTGTAACCAAACCGACACTGACTTTAGGAATCAGTAAAAGCAGGGAACACACTGGACAGCTTTTTTTCACTCTGCTACAAGACTGTTCAACAGTACAAATGTCATCATTGACTGAACTCAAGACTCTGAGGTTATGGGCTGTAAATGAAATCCATTTTCAAGAGCTGATGTGAATATTTTGTATTTACCTCAGATTGGTCATTTTTGTAAACACTTCATTTGATTGTACGAATATTTTAAGCCGATGAACATCTTCGAATTCAAGTATTGGTGAATTGGCAGAAGTTAAAATTCATGCACTGGCCATTGGATCGGGTCCCAGTGGCTTAATGGTATACGAACTCGCCTTTTTACCAGAAGGTCTGGGTTCGAATCCCGGTGGGTGTGTACCGATGAAGAGTCCAATTGTTCTCTAACCAATGTCAGCTCATGATGAAATCCTGTAACCATCTTCGGATTGTTTGGTTATGCTCATCAAATAAGATTTTTGTATGCTTCTGAAAACTGATCATAAGCTATTATTTTTTTTCCTACTCTTTTTTATCAGATACAACCTTGATCATGTTGTTGTCCAGATGTCTGTAATTAGCCAACAACCAGGTGTTATTTCTCAGTGTGGCGTTGTAGCACTACTTTCGAATGGAGAAGTTGTTATTATGCCTTATACTTGTGAAGATGATGAATTCCGTCATATTCGTGTTCAAAATGAGTAAGTTAACTTCTTCTTCTTCTTCACCACTTCGTCTCCATTTTGTAGTGTTTTGTATTTATTTTCATTATTTTCCAGTATGATTTTTATCATGTGTTACTTTTAACTACTCATAACGACTTTGTTCATCTTACTATTTTTGTTTACTTTTACTATGAAGTTGTTTTTTATAGAGTAACAAATGCGTGGATGCTAAGTTTGTTCTGTTAGATATACAGCTTCATATTCGTTTCCTATACTTTTGTATTTTTTTTGTTATATATGTGTTTTCGCATATTTCGGTAGCACTTATGTATCGGCTCCTACGTCAGTCTGTATTTTTGCTTACCAGTTGATACTCCAGATTCGTTTTCACAACATAGCAATATTTTGAAATAATAGAGAAGATTTGGAGCTCAGGTGGATGATTTGCAATTAATAGTGTTCTCTGAGCTGGTTGGTTTAGTTGCGGAGCTTTCGTCGTCCTTCTGGACAACATCTTCAGCGCAATATTTAGCATAAAGTGAAATGATTTAAATTTCTTCATGAGTGATATAATTGCGTCTCCCGGTAACCATCTTTACATATGTATTGACCATTTTCTATTGACTTGGATTTTAAACTTTCTCGTCACATGATTTACTTTTTATTAGTTGGTATATTTCGTCTATATTAACGTGCTTGTTAATTGCATTTTCGTTTGAGTACCAGGCTTCTAGGAATTCCCTGACTGAACTTTTGGTGTTTCCTCTGTCTAAGATTTTGACATTATCCCAATCAAATTGATGTCCATAATTGTCTATATGCATTGATACTAAAGAATATATATCGTGTCTTTTCACGGCTGATTTGTGTTCTTGGATTCTAATTCGAAGGGGACGCCCACTTTGGCCGATGTAATGCTTGTTACAGTTCATACAATTTATTTTGTAAATGGTATTAATTTTATCTCCTTTTTCTGTTGGATCTTTCGGTTTGCATAATATCGAATTAAGCGATTTGACTGGTTTGTGTGCTATATCTATATCAAACGGTTTCAGTATTCTAGCTGTTATTTCAGAGATATTTCTCATGTATGGTAGGATGAATTTTCTTGTGGTCTCTGATGATGGTTCTTTGTTGGTGTTTTGATTCGACTTTAAACACTTTTTGATGAAATTTTGTGGATAACCATTCTTTTGAAGACCGTTTGTAGGTATTTTTCTTCCATTCTTTTCAACTCTGGAGTGCTACAATGTGTTTGAACTCTTTTAAACAATGTCTGCACACAGTTTCGTTTGTGATTAATTGGATTATTGCTAGTATAGTTGAGTATTTTATCTGTGTGCGTTGATTTTCTATATACTTGTGTTTCTAAATCTCCTGTGTTGGTTCTCCTAATTAAGACATCTAAAAATGGGATTTTGTTATCTAATTCTTCTTCTCTTGTGAATTAGATATCTTCAAATATGTTGTTTATTAATTTATGGGTATATTCTAAATTATTTCTCTTAATTATTACAAATGTATCATCAACGTAGAGATTTTTCTTTTGTAATATCATCGTGCGTCGGTGGTACAGTGGAAGGGATGCTAGCTAACCACATATGTAATTCGGAGTTCGATACCCCGTCAATGCACACCTTTACCTCACTAAGGCAGTAATAAGACTGGTAAAGAGGGAAGGTTGGGCATGCGGCTAGCAACCCCATCCCGTAAAAACAAACACCACTGCTAACGAAACTTCAAGCTTGTAGCTTGAAGTCCTATGTTCCACTGAGAACGTAAAGGAATAAAACAAATAAATAAAGAATAATAACATCATCCAGCAAAATCTATTAGATTGTTGAAATTTATCATCTATTCACCTTTAATAAATCTAAGGATTAATACCTACCATGTTATACGCCACATATCGGTCAAGGTTTTGATATCCCATGAGCTTTAACATTCCACTGCTGACGCCCTCGTTCTTCTCATTAAAAATCATATGCTTCTATCACTAAAAAAATAATTCAGGAACAGTAGAGGATTGACTGATGACTATTAAAAGGTTCATGTTGATGGATCCCACACACTAAAGAGCTTCTTCTTCTTCTACCAACTTGAATCACCTTCATTCAATATGCTCCAGTATCTCTTAGTATTTGTATGTGAAATTTCCAGAAAGTGAAAAAAGAACACTATAATCTGTAAAAAGTAAAGAATATCTGTAATGCAGAATGTTAGCCTTCAGACCAAGTCGTCTCCTGACCTGGTGGCTGTGATTGGGAAACTTGTCTGTGTCATGCCGGACATCATTATTTATCACATTCGCCAAATAAACCTCCACGTCAAATAAGAACTTAATCTGAATATCAGTATTTTTAAGAACAAACTCTGAACATGTTGAATCTAAGTTTCTGAAGATTGTAAATATACCCTTTAATTTGGTTATGTTTTACGAAACTAAACAGCATATTTATAAACTCTTTAGATGCATTTCTTCAGAGGTACTTTATTTTCCAATTTACTTGTATTGCTTAGAGTTGTTGTGACATGTTATAAATATGGTGCTTTATGTATGTTAATTTTCAATATCAAGACAATGCAAGTGTGGACCACTGGATACTTTTTCACCATAAAATTGTTAGTATGCTAAAAGTTGTAAAACTTAATTAACTTTTGAAAGTGTCTTTCACCTCTGAGGTTAAAATTAGAATTCTACGTTTGAAAATACAAAAGTGAAACTATGCTAGACAGAATACAGCTCAACATTAAGTAAGAAATCAATTTTTTTGAGCAGTGAAGTAAATCAATAACCTTAGTAAATACCACAATAATTTCTTACTAAAAGGCACTTGTAATACTAGGTGGTTTCTTTTTCATATTTGTCTACACAAAATAGGTATTTTCATTGTAATCATCACTTTGAAATTTCATTCTGATTGAGACAGTACTTAAATCTGTAAGTCAGTGGTTGGGTCTGTGTTTCACAATGACTCAACCAACTGTGCTGGATGGAAAGAATGTTTCTGTGTGTGTCCTACCATACCAGAAAGGTCAGTTGAACAACAGTGAGAATAATGGTAGTTATCACCATATTCTATGTTTCTCACAATATGATACAAGAACCCCAGCATGTTGGGTTTTGGGTAGTTATTCATCTTAATCCACCTGGCCGATATTGTGAATCTACAAAATTCACTTTATACAAGTGCTGGGAGATTCTTTGGCCAAAGACAGTAATGAGTTCGAAAGCAGGAAGCTCACTACTCGACCGGATCCCAGTAGTTAGTTGTCTGTATGATATCTGATCAAATGGATCCATAAGGACATGGTGAGAGCTTGATACTAATCTATGACTTTTGAAATCTCTGTCTATGCTGCCACCTGATGCAGTTCAGATGAAGTGAAGGATGACTTTTACCCGTGGGTGCATGGTTCACTACCAAAAGCAAAACGCTCAGATATAGTCATACTGGTAAGTGATTTTAATGCTAAAGTAACAAAGCTGAGCCATCTGGAGAAGTATATTGGAGAGGGAATCTGTAGTGTTCCATACTGACAAACTGAAAAAGGTGATCGTCTTTTACATTACTGTTTGGGTTACCACCTGTTCCTGGTCAACACTAATTTCAAACACATGGAGGAATATTGTCCTACCTGGAAACTGCGCAAACCACGCCAAGGATGGACACAGACAGATCACCTAGTTATAGTTCATTGATTAAGAGAGTTGGTGAATGAAAACCTCTCTCACTAGAACACCTGCATGAACTCTAGTCTTTCATTAGTCTGTTCATGTGCTTGCCTACGACTAGACTGAAGTAGAAAAGAAGCTGCTGCGAAACCCATGCGTATATTGGCTTCTCCGTGCAAATCTGGAGGGAGGAGATAACTAGACATTTACTCAGTACTCATCCTGAGAAAACCTGGCATCACATAAATAGTAATGAAGATAGTTTATAATCTGTAGCCAAAGGTTGGTAGATTCTCGCAGTTTCATCTGAATTGACTGTTGCGTGGGAACAGATTCCTAAAGGTCCCATGGTATAACAAGCTCTGCAAAACATATAACAAGTGAAATAATCTCCAAAGAAAATGGAACTTTAGTAGCATCTCAGCACAGATGGCTAAAATAAGAGTCTGAACACTCTGAAGAGTAATTCAACTGGTGTACAAGTGCACTACAATTGCCCATCATCCAACCGTAACTTCATTGGGATGTAGACATCTGTCGTCCAGCTGTAGTACGTCGGTGGCACAGTGGTTAGGACTCCCGCCGACCATGCACATGGTCCGGGGTTCGATCCGCTGCCGACGGACACCCGATATCTATGGTCGGCCTGATAAATTTGGGCTACCGATATCCATGCTGAAAATTCCATACTTGTACTGTAAATACGGTGTGACATCAAGCTGTAATCAAAATAAAAAATAATAAAATAAAGTTAAGAAAGCTGTCTCCAATCTAAAATGACGTAAAGCAACAATATCTGATGATATGATTCGAAAAGTTTTTAAGGATGATAGTGATGCCTGATCTATTAGCTAGTGTATTGGCTTTCGGGATAGTTCTATCGCAGTGATGTAGATCAGTGTTCTCCCAGTTCATAAGAAAGAAAACGAATCTTGACTGACATAGTATCTAACACTGAGCGAAGCTCCCTGAATGTTCAGGATGCTGTATCAAATGTAAGATGATATTCCAAGATTAAATTCTACTATCTCATGGTTTAAAGATGAAAAGTTACGTCATCAAATACATTGGCTACTTCATTTTTTGAAAAGTTGCATTCCTAATAGACAATTTGCTGACGAAATCTCAAATGCAATTCATAGAATTCGCTTGCTACTTGCTTATCTGCATGACACCTTACACAGATTTGATATCTGATCACGTATCAATAGACATGTTTACTGCACAGATATTCACTCTGTCCTACTGACGACCACTAAAAACAGAGGTTTTCAGTCAAGAGAGTTTTCTTTTGGTTTCTCAAATTATGTGGATCATTACTACAGAGAGCAAGCCTGAAGGTAAGTTAATCAATGAGGCTTTGAATCTTATTCAGCTGATGAGGCTAGGATATGTGTTACCCATGCCATGTCACCACCTTCCTTGGCAAATAATGACAGCCAAAACAAATTTATGTTCGAAAAGATTTTGCCAGATCAAAACATGGCATCAATCCATAAAGTCATTGTTGTTCTGAGCAAGGAAAATTAGGAGTCAACAGTTGGGAACTGAAGGTGAAAAATAAGTCATTCGCAGGTTACCCAGTTCGAGGTGTGAATTCACTAGTTTCCCTTGGAAACTAAAAAATATTCAGATCAAAATATGCGGTCTGATTGATACCATATATGGCAAGCTAGAAAACAAACAAATGGTATTTAGACCACTCCGATGCTGTTAGTAAGCACTGATGCATGACGTAACTGATTTCCAGCTACTCACATCAGTCAGTAGCATCTACCACCATGCTGTTACACGTTGTAGTTGATTTATGGACTTCTTTAATTTTTTTATGTCTTTCTTGCACATTTGTCTTCCACAATTAACACTCACTTAGTTTTTTTTCATATAAGAAATCCCTTTTCCATTGTAAAAGTACTAATTTTGAGTAAGCACGTTTACCATTGGTAGCCGTAGAATGGTTATGATGAAATTTGAATTTCAGCTAAACCATTCGATATTCTACTTAACAAAATGTCACTTTGAGGTCATACTAGTGACTTACGAATTTCATCAAGTAATATCAGCTTTGGCAAATATATCCTAAGTGGTTATTTCCAATTAACCACTTTATTACTTAAATTATACCCGATAGCGAAACCCACTGTCATCTGATACTGACAGTTATTGTATAGCTAATCACTATCAAATTATTGTTGTTTGATTTAAATCTATCTAGCTCTCTCTCCAATCTTTGGTGTACTTCACTCAGTACGTATGCGGGTGGTGTACTTGTGACGCATGCAGGATCTGCTTTATTCTACCCATACGATGATGAGGTAAGTGATATTTTTAGTTTACTAATAAGCCCGTCGATGCCCGCATCTCATGGTTTAAGTTACTGATGAATGATATAATGTCGTCATCTCAAAAAAGTTTCGTTTTACATATGCTACAATATTTTTAATTTACCTCGAAAATTCTTACTACATTCTGGCTTAACTTCAAGAGACTTTCACTCAGTAGTTACGCTAAACACTTAAAAATGCATCAAATGCTCACTAGTGACTGACTACAGAATGGAGTTGCCTGAAGTTACAGTGGGAAGTCGTGATCAACGGGGTCCACCAATTTGGGTGTAAGGATAAACACTTGCCAATGACACTGACTTGGTGGTCACGCTATATATCGCGAATCGGCAGAAGTTAGAACCGATGGACTATTAGATCCCACCCCAGTCGCTGAACAGTCAACGAGCCCACCTTGTAACCTGAAGATCCTGGGTTCGATCCATACTGATGAAGAGTTCCAAACTAGGACGTAACAACTGCCCAGTACTCCCTAGTTTCCAACAGTTCTCTGACTGAAGTCTATTTGTCATCAAACTTGAAATATGATATAACAAACCTTTTTACATGCAAATGGTTCTTGTAAATTAACAAAATAAATAAACAGTTGGTAATAAGACATACTGTTTATCCGATGCGTTTTGTTGTGTTATTTTAACTTTATTTAAGAACCTAACAATTATGCAGTCTAGGACTGTCTCTCAGGCTACCGAAAGACTATTTTTATCTTTCTAGTTTTCGAATAGAATTTACCATCCCAGAAGAAGTAATACCAGAAATTACTTATCGATTTGTTGATTATACCAGTAATCCGTTCGAAACTTAGATCTCTGAATCACCCCCCCTCCTAATGATTTCATTGGCATTTTTCTTGTAATCCTATCAATTGAAAGTTCTAATCACTAGAGTTCTCTTGCACCAGTTACATCATTTTCACATGGTATCCAAAACTCAAACATTTAGAGACTAACTATACTGTAGTAGTAGTATGACGAGTGCTACTTATAAGTAGTATATCGGTAAACGAATTTAGAAAAGTAACAATATGTTTTGAACACTAGAAAAAGGCAATCGGAGAAAAGGACTGTGAGAAAAACGTTCTAAACACTGTGCAGAATCCAACAAGCTATCGAATGTGGTGATATTCGACCAATTTGCAAATGATATGCAAATAAAGACTTGAAGATAAGGTATACCAAATTTACTTACCTACAATTCGTTATCCTTGTAAACATTTCTTCGAGCCTTATTGGTCTTATCTTCTTTAGCTGTAGTAGTAACCAACTTGAGGGTGAGAAAAACACACAGTATAGCGCAGTATTATGTTGCTTTAAGGCGCCACGCTTGTCAAGAAATAGTGTAGTCAATAATGAATGCATGTACAGCAGCTCTACTAATTCCCCCTACTCCTTTTTTTATTTCGTATTTTATCTAGTAGGACTACTTTTCCTTTACATTAGTTCACACCAGATTTTCGTAGCTCTTTTAATTAGTGTAACATCTTGACGTTTTCACAAAACTTTTCCTCCTTATCATCATATTGACAAATCCACATTTTCGCCCTATCTTCTTTTTGTCTCTTTCTATTCCTCTGTAATAGTGACTTCACTACATTTTCACTTTATATGACGATAATATTTTTTATTAAACTTATTTCTATTTTTCACTCAAATACTATTTATTTTTTCCTCCTTACCTTCCGCGAATTGTACAGTATCCAACCTCCCTCGACACAGCACCTAATACGTAAAAAATATATCCTGAGCCGAAATAAATTTGACTTTGTTGGATGAATTACTACTAATGATCATTTTGAATTCTGTTGAGAACCAGGGTTCTTCCGTAGTTCAAATATTTCTAGGTGCTATTAGCTTAAAAATACACATCTTAATGAACACCTCGTGTTTATGAAAACTTATTAGGATTATATTTTTACAGGCAGAAATTATACACTATTTCATATGAAGAGCAAAAGTTTAGCGAATTCGCACATAATAGAATTTTTTCTAAACATGATTTGCTTACTTATTAGTAGTTCAACATAACAAAAGTATTGAACAGAACTTGTGCACTGTGGTAGAGTATAATTCCATTGTGGGTAAAATTTATTTTGATAAATTCTCAGTGTTATACGGTAATATTTACTGATGATGTCTCGAGCACAATTTATTGCCGCTCATAATCATATCAAGGCACTCTCACAACTTTCTAACTTCATTTATTTAATTCCATTATTTTTCATCTCTTGACTTGATTGGTAGTAGTATTTTCCATATTTCCGGTATCAGTGATGAGTCATTACTACTGCACGTGTTGGGTGTAGACTCGATGAACAAGGATTCAGTAATCAACCTCCCTTTCCACCTACCTATATTACTTTTTAGAATTTTAACCCTCACCCACCCTACTATATGGTTGTGTGTTAATGCATGCAGTGCAACTGCTGGGCTTATTTCTAAATTATTTTTCTTCGTGGGGTCAATCATTCTAACCTTCCCCAAATTCTTATGTTCCGACATTCTGACTACCTCGATCTACTAGTTTGACCTATGTAGTTGACCTAACTCATGGTCACTGCAAGGTATTTTTTAAATTATATTATTTTGTTCAATTGGGTCCACCAGGTCCTTTAACCCACAGAGCTTGTCTCTGAGTGAGTTTGTAGGTTTGAATGCCACCCTAATTCCTGCTTTATTTAGAATCCTGCGTAGGGTTTCAGATGTCCTCTCCTTATATGATATAACAGTAGATGCCTTGTATTCTCTCTTATTTATGTTATCATTATTAGCTTCACCATTATTTTTATTTTGCTTTTGACCTTTTTTGATATTCCCAATGAATTTTATAGGATAGTTACTTAACACTAACTCTTCCTCTATCTGTTTCATTTCATCACATTTAGGTTTTTTGTTGTACTACTTAGTGCTAATGCTCGGTTTGTTAGACACTTAACTAAGCCTGCCTTTACGGACAACGGATGAGATGAATTAAGGTCTAAATATCTATTAGAATGCTTTGCCTCTTTATAAACGCTAGTGTATAGTCTACCTTCTTCTATTCGTTTTAGTTTACAATCTAACATAGGTAATTCTGCTTGTTCATTTTCTGATTCAAATGTGAATTTTATTCTCTTTACTAGTGAGTTTATATGTGTCACGAAGTTAGAGATATGTTCTGTTTTTAACACTGTGAAAGTGTCACCCACATATCTCCATCATATTTTTGAAGTAGGATTAAATGTACTAAGAGCAATACTTTCTCAGCCGTCCATAAAGATATCTGCTACTATTAGGAATATTGGTGATCCCATTGCTTCACCGTCTGTTTGTTTATACACTTTTCCCTGGAATTCAGAGACAGTAGATGTGAGGCATAACTGAATTCCCAAAATAATTTCCCCAATGGGTAGCTTTGTCCTATTGTGGTGAGAGCTGTCTACTAGCCAAATTGGTAGACAGTAATTTACGTCAATATTTACGTTCCCAAGATTTGTCGTGAGAAAATGTGAACAAAGATTGACTTTGCGTAGGTGGATGCAGTTAACATATAGAGGATTTGAGATTCAAGAAACAGTCACAAATAGATGAAAGATTAACTTTACGTGAGAAACAACCAATCGGAAGACTGTGTTTGTTTGCTTAAATATCCATAGTAATGTACATGAAAATATATAGATATGCGTTGATTTCCTTAATAAATGATCTGTTGCCTGACCCTTGCCTTCTGTTGTTACATTTGGTGTCACTGCCTGTCGCGAAATGAAAGTCCCATGGCCTGCAGCTTTTGAAGAAGGAGACATATGGATCTTCTTAAGGGACTTCGAAGCTATTGCAGAGTTGAATGGTGTGCAAGAGCCATCCGCGAAGACGGTTGTTCTTGGAACGCTACTGAGAGGCCGGGCGAAGGCAGCATATGATAGTGTGAGGCAAACAGAGGGGCAAGCAACTTGGAAGTCAGTGGTGGAACGTTTGAAGCAGGAGTTTGACAGCCCGATGGACAGAGAGTGGGCAATGCAGCAGTTTCGCACCATGAAGCTGGGAGTTGACGGTGACCCTCTCGTATTGGCGCTGACCTTGACAAGCCTACTTCGTCGCGCTCTACCAACACTGGACGAAGATTCTGAAGCACAAATGTTGGCATCCCAGTTTATGGAGAGTGTCCCAGAACATATGTCCCAACAGCTACATCTGGTTAACGCCGTACAGCCACTGGACATCGGAGAGCTTGCGAAGGTGACCAGACAACTGTTAAATAAGACGGTTACAGCGGTAGAGCCACCAAAATCCGAGCAGAGTGAGAAACAAATCGAAGAGTTGCAACGTGAAGTGGCCGCGCTGAGACTGAGCGTGCGGAGAGACCGGTGTTTCGCATGTGGCAAACTGGGGCACTGGAGAGACCGCTGCCCGGAAAGACGACAACGAAGAATTTTTAAAAGATATACTGTGTCTTCTTCCTGTGTTCCGAGACTTGAGGTAATAGGGGCGATGGAGAAGGGGGCAATATATTCGAAGTTACGAGTAACTGATCGCGAGTTGGTGTGTTTAATCGACACAGGGGCTGCAGTCTCACTCGTAGATAGGAGTCTATGTGAGACTATAAGACCGTGTTCGTTGACAGTGCAGACAGTAGGCGGTCACGTGTTAAGAATCGCGGGAGTTTCAGACTGCAGGGTTAGAATTGGAGAGGATTGCGTGACGTTCCCATTCCTGGTTGTACCTGAATTGTGCCGAACAATCCTTGGGGCCGACTTTTTGCGAGAAGTGGATGCAGTGATTAACATGAAGAAAAGGGTTGTCGTTACGAAGTACGGGTGTTTTAGCATGCACGAGAATAGTGAGGTAGCAGGTATTGCAGCATCGGAAGTCCGAAGTATAGCAAAGTTACTCAGCAAATACGATCATCTGTTTACTGGAGATGGGGACCCATACGGTTATTGTGATAAGGTGAATCATGAAATTCCGTTAAGTGGCCCAAAAGTAACGTCATTTACCACGCGAAGAGTTCCATGTCATTTAGAAGGCGAAGTTGAGCGACAGGTGCGAGAGATGTTGAAAGATGATATTATTGAAGAAGCTGATAGCCCGTACAACTCTCCAGTGCTGTTAGTAAAAAAGGCGAATGGGAAGTATAGGTTCTGCGTTGATTTTCGACAGTTAAACAGTATGACAGAATTAAGACCGTGTGCCATGCCAACAATAGTAGAAACTTTAGATCGCCTACAAGGCGCAAATTTGTTTCCAGTTCTCGATCTTCGCTCAGGATACTGGCAGATACCGATAAAGCCAGGTGATAGAGATAAGACGGCATTCATCGTGGGTCAGACACAATATCGATTTAAACGCATGCCGTTTGGACTTGCAGGTGCACCGTTCACGTTCAGATGACTGATGACGCTATTACTTAAGAACTTGAAAAACGTTGAGGTGTACGGTGATGATCTCGTCATATATAGTCAAAACGAAAACGATCATGTGAACCATGTGGAAGCCGTGCTGCGACGCATCGAAGAGTTTGGACTGCGCGTCAACAAAACCAAGTCTCAGATAGCCAAAAAGAATGTAACTCTTTTGGGACATAAAGTGGGAAATGGTGAGATTAAACCACTACCGGAGAAAATCTTGACGATAAAGACGATCCCGGCCCCGAATTCAAAGAGAAAATTGAGACAATTCTTAGGTAGAGCAGCGTTTTATAGTCGCTTCGTGAAGAACTTCAATGAGATAGCAGCCCCTCTGTACAGGCTACTAGGTGAACCGAAGTTTGTTTGGTCGGAGGAATCGCAGAAGACATTCGACAGGATTAAACAGCTACTCGACCACCAACAAATGACACTAAAGCTACCTGTACCTGGAAGACAGTTCACAGTGTGCACAGATGCCAGTGACTACGCCATAGGTGCGGTCCTAAGACAGGGTGAGGGAATCGTTGAGTATGCCAGTCGGGTTTTGACACACAGACAGCGAAAGTATTCAACGATAGAGAAAGAATGTTTAGCGATGGTATAGGCAATCGACAAATGGAGACCTTATTTACTCGGCCGGCGGTTTCACATCGAAACGGATCATAAGCCGCTACAGTTTCTGAAGACAGCGAGAGACCTACGAGGGAAATTGTCACGGTGGATGTTGCGTCTTCAGGAGTACGATTTTACCATCTCACACGTTCCTGGAAATGAAAATGTCTTGGCAGATTTGTTATCGAGACCAGAAGACGAGTCTGAGTTGCCCGAGGTCGCGTACGGAGTGCATGCAGTAGAACAAGACCCACTAAGACTGGCACGCAGACAAAGGTTGGACGATACGCTGAATACAGTAATACAGGTGATCACTAACGGAATAGAAGTGGATCCAGCTACAGCGAGTAAGGAGCTAACCACACTACTCAGACAGAGAAATCGACTAAGAGTGAATGTCTACGGGACTCTGACCTGGCGAGAGGACGACGGAAGCTGGCTAGCTGTCATACCTTTAATATCAAAAGAAAAGCTGGTCTGTGACGTGTTTGTAGTACAACAACACGACGACAATAAACTTATTTAGGAAATGGTATTTATACAATTTTACAACCAATAGAGACAGCTAACAGTATTTGAAATAATTGGTCGTAATAGTCAATAACAAAATGCGTGGGAATGATGATATACCACTTATGCGAGATTAACAGTCATTAAGATAATTGAACAATAACAAAGTGTGTGAGAATTGATGATATACAACTTATATCATACCTCAGTCGTCGCGCCACGACATGATAGAAGAATGCCACCAGCTAGCACATACCGGAGTGGCCAGAACAACCGACCTCTTGAGACAAAGTATGTACTGGCCAGGTATGAGAGAAGACGTAGCAAGATATGTACTTGGATGTCCACGGTGCCAGCTAATGAAAGGCGACCGGTGCATACGACCACCACTTCAGTCGATTCCAGTTACGGCGATAGGTGACTTGTGGTCCGTAGATGTTATGGGTTCATTTCCTCAGACATCCAATGGTAATCAGTACCTCTTGGTGATGACGGAACACGCGACACGATGGGTAGACGCCGTAGCAATCCCAGACCAACGCACAAGGACCGTGACAGATGCAGTAGTTAGACACATCGTTGCAGACCATGGCGTACCAAAGACAATACTGACAGACCAAGGGCCGTGTTTCGAAAGTGAAGAATTTACTTCCCGTTTGCAACAGCTTGGCATCAAGAGGATCCGAACGACCCCATACCATCCACAAACGAATGGCCTGACGGAGAGAAACAACCGTACGCTGAAGGAGTGGTTGGCCTCGAAGGGCGGTAACTGGGAAACGGAGCTGCCACTGATTCTACTAACACATCGTGCCACCACCCAGGAAACAACGAAAAAGTCACCCTTTCAACTGGTGTATGGTAGAAAACCACGATTACCGATACACAACGAAACCTGGCCCCTTCACCAAAAGTGGAGTACGACGAAATTAAAAGCAGAACGGAAAGAAGCCGTCAAGAATGTAATGCAGAAGCAGCGGAGGGATGTCGCGAAGTCTCAGCTGAGAGAAAAGACTCAGTGCATTACCTTCTCAGTCGGGGACCAAGTGAAGTGTAGAGACAGAAGATATGCTGTCGGATGCGGGCCAGGTTCACTCAAACTCCTTCCAAAGTGGGAAGGACCATACACAGTCACAAAAAGACGGGGTCAAGTATATACCATCAGAAGAGGTGACAAACAAAAACGAGTTAACGCCAGTCAGATCCAATGATGGGTGCATTGGGACAAACCGGTCTGTAACAATCATCAACTAGAGGATGCATCACCCAGAAGGTCGGAACGCCTGCGCGCGAAGCTGTTTGACGGGGGGACGAGTGTGGTGAGAGCTGTCTACTAGCCAAATTGGTAGACAGTAATTTACGTCAATATTTACGTTCCCAAGATTTGTCGTGAGAAAATGTGAACAAAGATTGACTTTGCGTAGGTGGATGCAGTTAACATATAGAGGATTTGAGATTCAAGAAACAGTCACAAATAGATGAAAGATTAACTTTACGTGAGAAACAACCAATCGGAAGACTGTGTTTGTTTGCTTAAATACCCATAGTAATGTACATGAAAATATATAGATATGCGTTGATTTCCTTAATAAATGATCTGTTGCCTGACTCTTGCCTTCTGTTGTTACACTATGACTAATTTCGGGATTAGAAGTTGGTTCTCTTTTAACCGCTTCTAAGGCAATATTGATTGATATATATATATATATATATATATATATTAGTGTAACGACTAGTGATATCAAAACTAACCATTATTTCATTATTCTCTAATTGAATATCATTTAGTTTCTTTTTCATCTCATATGACTTAATTAGTCTAGAGTTTGAATGATTTCCAGTGGGACATAACATTAGGGCTAAGCGTTTTAATGATTCATAATTCATTTCATCAAGCAATGAAAAGTAGTGGAATTATATAAACGAAGTTAGAAAGTTGTGTAAATAACTTGGTGTGATTATGAGCGGTGATAAATTGTTCTCGAAACGTGGTCATCAGTAAATATTACTGTATAACACTGTGAGAATTTATCAAAATTAATTTTACCCACAATGAAAATTAAATTTATCATTTCTAACATTTTCATGTAATCGTTTATTATTTCAGGGACTTTTATTTAAACCACTTTGTGGATCCATAAACAATTTGGAAAATTTGAAAATTGATACAGTTGAACCACTTTATGTTCCTGTCGGAAATGATATGATTTTGTAAGTTCCGTCGTACCGCCTTCAAAAGTTTTATGCACACCCTAACTAGTAGAAAGGAGGATGAATTGTTTAAAGTATGTTTGTTCAGAAATATTTGCACCGATCAAGCAGACAATTAAGTTCTGCTTGTATCTCTTAGTCTACAGAATACAAGGCCACATCACTGTCTGCCTTAAATCTGAAAAGTTGACGTTTCTATGATCAAAATTTTAAAAAATAACTTCCTATGTTTTCATAATTTCAAAAATCCTGAGACTAATACACTAACAAGATTCAATATTAAAAATACCTAATATCATGAAGAATTTTAAGTTTTCTGTTTACCACTTCTAAACATCAAATCTTGTATTACTAATTACGAGTGATTATTTCGAAAATGATACCAACCCATGAAGTCATTGGTTTGGCCCATGAGACGAAATGTAGCTTATCTGACTCTGATCCTTTGGATACTTGCTAAGCATCAGTTATAGAAGTACCTTTATGAAATGATGACTATTCGTTCCTCAATAATGCAGATGTATCTACTTCATCATTTAAACCTTAGAAAGATTTAGTGACGTCTATCTTTCTGTTTGCGACATAGAACTTTGCACATATGTGCGGTAGTTCAAGTCGCCACACTCCATGAAGCACACAAAGCAAAAGAAGAAAGTAGAAGAAATGCATAATATAGACAGTAAACAGAGGTGTGAGACAAAGGAATAGTAATAACGAAGAACAAAACAGTTTCATTGGAAATCATAAATCACAAGGAGTGGGTGCATCTGTGCTAGCCATTGAGAACGATTTTGAGCCATGTCACCAATTGTTTCCAACCATTGGTTTTTACCGTCCCGAGGAGCCCAACCAGCCAGGAAGTCTGCACCTTCCTACGTGGCTTAGACTAACTGTTGTAGATTTCAACAGTTTCATTTAATGGTTCTCTTCGTTACGTATCATTTTTTTCCCTGTTTCCCTATTTTATGAACTTTTTCGAAATGTAGCGACCTGAACTTTTGCGATTCTGTGCAGAGTTCTACGTTGATTGTTAGTTGACATAAAATCAGTCATCAGATTATCACACAAACTTGTTGCATTATGGACATCAGGAGATGCGCCATGCCACACACTTTTCCGAGGGTGTGGATGTTGCTCGGATACCTAGACCGAAAGAGATGATTGTCTTAAGCGACCACCTCTAAGTCTTTGACCTGAAGTCTGATCCACAAGGCAGTGGAGCAGTGTCAGGATTTACGTTCCAAATAACCAAAACATGTTCATCTGCCACTCGATCCTTTCGGATTCTGGAGCCTATGTACACCATATATTTGCAATCAAAATTTTCCCGCTCCCTTAGGCTGTAAGCGCTAGATGTTCATATATGCTCTTTCACTTTTGTGAGGAACACCACCACCCCCTCTCACGTGAAAGCAGTGAATAGGACTTTCCTGACACAGGCTATGAAGACATGACCACATGAAAAAAGCATTTTGAGAGGAGGACCGTAATCTATCCACCTTCAGCCCTGTACCAGCTCGTTAATGGGGGCAAATTATCATATAACATATTGACTAATCATCTATGAAAGCTCAAATTATATCCATTATTATGTATGTTGCGTGTATCAGACAAAATTACAAAAAGGCTATGATAGTCAGTGTTTCCAGAACATTTTTATGTGCAGTTTACTTATATATATATATATATATATTCCAATGCATTTGTATACTTGATTTGTATTTACCTTTTTTCTCCGTACTCAGTGCGTGTTTTCTTTATATATGTTCAAACCAAGTTCACCTTTAACAGTTTGAAAAAATTTGGGCATTGGGTATATGATCTTCATTATAATAAAGGTTTTTGTATTTCCCAATGAATGCAAAACGAAACGACATTGTTTTTACTGACTTTTCGCTATTTAATGCTAATAGCTTTATCAAAGTATTATTAAACCGGAATTTGCAAAACATCAGACACACTTCAAAGCAACCTTGTCCACACAAAAGACTAAATCCCTAAAGATTCTCTATCTAATTGTGTCTATAAGATAAAATGCATGCTTGGAATGTGATGCGATATACATCGGGCAAATATCTCGAGAAATCAAAATCAGAGGAAATGAACACCGTAGAGAATCTGTTCGACCACCGAGAAATCCGGTTGAACTAGAAAAACTTGAAAAATCATCAGCCATAGGTCTACACGCTATAGAATCAGGCCACAAAATTGATTTTGACAATATTGAAATAATCCAGGAAACTTCAGAAATCACAAAGAACGTCTAATATCAGAAGCACTTTATATCAGGTGGAATCCAAATTGAATAGAATCGACCTGGTTACAACACCCCCCTTCCCCATGAAGTGACAAAATCAACACGAATGTGATAAGCAATATCATTATATAAACACATGCTGTTTTATAATTTTACACACTTATCAAATCCAACAATCTACACTTAGTTTTGTTATCTTTACCAATTGACCAACTTGACAACGAAAAATGCTCCCAGACTGACGAACGATGATCAAGTTAGTAAACTTTATTTTGATATCATAACAGACGTACTATTACCTTTATTATTTGGTTTAGTGATCTTCATTGTTATTTTTACTTTCAATATGTCCCCTTTAACTTGACCTAAGTCTCTTTTCTCACCCCTTAACTCTTTGTAAATTCCGGTTTAATAATACTTTGATGAAGCTATTAGCATTAAATAGCGAAACGTCAGTAAAAACAATAGCATCGTTTTGTTTTTCCTTCATTGAGAAATACAAAAACGTTCATTATAGTGTGTTTTCTTTCATTTCTGCTTTTTCTTTTCTGTGAAAAAATTAATTTAGATTTAAAATTGTGACAAGTTCAATGAAATCAGAACCAAGAATTGTCATCTTTAATGATAAAAATGAAATGATAATTAATATAATGGTAAGTTGATGATTAAAGTCAACTTTTACTTCTTGATAACAAGAATAATATATACACATTTATGAATTTGTTGAACGACTAACACTGTGATAATGCATCGTGAGCTCCTTCTGATTTTGGGATTACGAAGACAATTGATTGACTTCAAAATAGAGTTCTTCATGAATAGATAGTTGAAAGAACCATTGAAAATCAAAAAGTAGCGGGCACTTGTTTTGTTTGACTATGGGACTGTGAATCCACCAGAAGAGACTGAAATCATGATCATCCAGCCAATGGGTGGGAATTCAATGAACTTTGAATTATGACTTCTGTTAATTCCCGGTCTATCTCCGAAGTCATGCAATTTTATCATTGAATGACAATCTGAACATCTTACCTAGTGACTCAGTGTTAATACGCTGCCTTAGTTATGATCTCGCCTTCCTGTGGAGTCTCGGATAATAAAGAAACAATTATCTAATGCTTTTTAGATCTCATTGACTCTTCTAGCTGATGTCGATTCCTGTCAAAACTTCCTTTAGATTCTCAACTGATGGAATAAATTAGTTTAGGTTACTGAAAGATTTCTTTTCGAAAGGTTCCTTGGTGTCATAGTTAGTTAACACAGATTACATCATGAATGTTTTAGCTTCTATTATTATTATTAATTTTATTATTATTTTTGCTAATGTCAACTCTATCTTATTGTCTTTCGTCGTATTTTTCCATGTTTTGTATATTTCAGCTATCTGAATCAAATTTAAGTGTTACTGCATATTGTGTAACTTCAGCATATTTTGATACTCAAAAATCCTTATCTGTAAACTTGTTGTTAGCAACATCTGACAGTGTTTTACGTCTAATTAAATGTTCTACAAATGACTACAGTCAATCAGGTGAAGGCAAATGGGAACAAGTAAGTATATTTTAATTGGTATATATGCTTATTGTTTATTATTCAGTAAGAAATACTGCTTAATTCAACTGCGTAGTTTGTAGGGAGTCGATAGAATTCAAATCACAGATCAGTTGCAAATAAAAGCTAAAATTTTAAATCATACAGCATTGAGTGGATTTTTAATCATTATACCTTGTTACGGATTTAGAAATAATATGGAATACTCATAGTTCAGTTGGATGTTGTTGTTGTTTTTTTGGATTTTGTTGTTGAGTTCTCTAAACTAAATGATTTGATTATGAAGCTTCCATTCTCCTTCCAGGCAAAATCTTCAGCGCTAACTTCAATACTTTGAAGTTTGTACTGGTTGTACACCAGGATTGCTAGCTAGTGATTAAATTTAAAATGTTTGATTACTTTAAAATGTAGATACATTATTTTCTGAAAGTCACAAAAGCTTTCTGTCAACCTACTTACTCAATGAAGAGTATTCATATGACGTACTAGTGTAACAACAGAAGACAAGGGCCAAGCAACAGATCGTTTATTAAGGAAAATCAACACATATTTATAGATTTTAATGTACATTATTGTATATTATTGTTAGTAGAAAATACAGTCTTTTCATTGGCTCCTTCTCACAGAAAGTTAACCTTGCATCTCTTTGTGGCTGTGTCAGATCATCTATATGCTAACTGTATCCGCCTACGCAAAGTCTTTGTTCTCATTATCTCACCACCAATATTGGAGACATAAACATTGACTTCAATTACTGTCTACCAATTTTGGCTAGCAGCCAGCTCTCACCACATAGTGATTAAATTTAAGATGTTTGATAACCTTAGATCCATTATTCTCTGAAAGTCACAAAAGCTTTCTGTCAATCTTTTTACTCAATGAAGAGTATTCATATGACGTACTAACATTCTCACTAAGAAATATCCCTTTCACTGCATATATTTCCCATATAAATAAGTTTGTTTCATTCCAATGGTACACTTAAAAATTAGGCGGTTTAAGTAATATCTGTTAAAAATTAAGATGGTTTACTTTACTCATACACTGTATTTCTTATTATAGTGTCTCCCTTTTTGTCTTCAGCTTACTTTATTATGGATAAGATTTTATTTTGATAAATCACGCAGTGTTACACAGTAATATTTTCCTTCATTTATATATATGTATGGAATTGATTAGATATTTGAATAAAAATCAATCAATATGGGATAATGTACATTCAGAGATAATATGAGTGCTATTGATCAAATACAATCAGATGGGAAATAAGACGAGTGTTTTTACAGTCATCATAAGTTACTTGTTAGAATGTTGTGATGTGTTTGAATTGAAATAGAATTTTAAGATTACTTATTATCCTCTTCTGATTTGACCGGCGGTATTAATATCTTCCATACTTCTGGTATTTGCATTGAGTCATTTCTGTTGCATGTGTTGGGTGTAGACTCAATGAACAAGGATTTAGTAATCAATCTCTCTCTCCACCTACATACATTACTTCTTAGAATCTTAACCCTCTCCCACCCTATTATGTGGTTGTGTGTTATTGCATGTAGTGCAATTGCTGAGCTTTTTTCTAAATTACTTATCTTCTCTGGGTCAACCATTCTTACCTTAGCTAAATTCTTATGTTCCGACAATGTGATTACCCCCGATCTACTAGTTTGACCTATATAGTTGACCTCACTCACAGTCATTGCAGGGTATTTTGTAAATTATATTATTTTGTTTAATTGGGTCCACCGGGTCTTTTCGCCTACAGAGCTTGTCTCTGAGTGAGTTTGTGATTGTAATTGATCGACAACACTCATATTATTAACACCAGTCAAATCAGAAGAGGATAATAAATAATCTCAAAATTCTATTTCAATTCAAGCAAATCACAACATTCTAACAAATTACTTATTATAACTATAAGAACATTCGTCTTATTTCCCATCTAATTGTATTTGATCAATAACACTCATATTATTATCTCTGAATGTACATTATCTCATATTGATTTTTATTCAAATATCTAGTCAATTCCATATATATATATATATATATATATATAAATGAAGGAAAAAGTTGTGTGAGTAACTTGATATGATTATGAGAAATAATTTGTGCTCAAAACGTCATCAGTTAATATTACTGTATAACACTGTGTGATTTATCAAAATAAAATCTTATCCATAATGGAGTTACACTCTACCACAGTGCCCAAGTTTTATACTTATATCAATTTCAGCTTACTTTCTATATGTCAGATGAATTATACCTTTTTCAACGAAAATATAAGAGAGTAAACTGGGAACACAGTGAAAAAGAGATTATAGTAGTATATGTGAAAATTTTTAGTGAAGATAAGTCAAAGTGTAGATATAAAGGAATAAGTTTTCCGTGGTAATCAGTTAATTGACACACGTATACACACATAAATTACTTCCTAGTCTTCTCTAGATTTAAGATCTATTACACTGATTTAAAAAAAATGGTTAATACTAGTTTAGAATGATGACTTTCTTTTAAATTTCCTTCTGAAATTCTTCTTTAAGCCTTGTTGCACAATCATTTGTTTTTAACTCAGTTTCGGCTTCCCCGCTGATTGATAGAACCAAAATGTTTGACTTATTTTGACATGTCGGCTTCTAGTACGGATACTTCGACGATGCCTGGGGATTAACTCGAAGTAATTTGATGGATGGTGACTAGCGGTAGGGCTCGTCAGCAGGATGTACCTGCATTCCCCAATGAATGACCATGTTCCCATTGAAACTAGAGCTCAGTACTCATCTTTTCAAAAGCCAAGGCGTTATCCACTAGTCCTAGGCAGTCTAAGTGCTATTCACCATCCACTAAATTATTATATATTTTTATTATTATTTCCTTTAATTCCTAGAGAAACATAGGGCTTCAACCGTGCGTCTCCATTGTGTTCGGTTCTCTGCTAGAGTCTTCACCTGGCTCCATGTCTGCCCACACGTTTTCATCTCCTCTTCACATGACCTCCTCCAAGTCACCCTTTCACTGACGACCAACTCGCCGCTTCCCATTCGGGTTCCACTCGAGCAATGGCCTGTCGAATGATGTCACTTGATGGTTTCCTAAGAGTACGGCCAATCCACCTCCATTTCTTCCTGTTTATTTGTTGCACGATCGGTTCCTGGTTGGTTCGCTCCCAGAGATCTCTGTTACTGATCTTTTCTGGCCGACCATCTGATCTTGAGTATTGAGTGAAGACAGCTGTTGATGAAGGTGTGTAGTTTGTTTGAGGTGCTCTTCATGACACCCCAAGTCGCTGATCAGTATAATAGCACTGACTTCACATTTGAGTTGAAAATCCGGATCTTATTTTTGATGCTGAGTGCTGTTCACCTCCACACTTGAAAGTAATGAAAGCTTGTCTCCAAGCTGTTACACAATTTTGAAAATGTAGTATAGAATAGATAAGTAAATCAAGAAGTTACTACTCCTTATTCCATATAAATGTTGGCTATTATAAGAAAAATATGAAATTTTCATACAAAAATTCTTGATAACTCTTAACGTTCAATATATTTTCAAGTTTCAAAATGGTCTACACGCTCGCCTTGTAACCGGAAGTTTCTGAGTTCGAACCCCGTCGGTGGGTGCGTACTTATGAAGAGTCCCGAACTAAAACGGAGGGAACAGCCCATCAGTACTCCCAGCTGGTTTTCCAATGGTTTTCTAACTGATGTCAGTTCATGATGAAATCCTGCAACCAATCAACCAAATCCCTACAAACCAACACTTGAATATCTTTAAATAATTGTTAATATCAACAAAGATGGTATCCATTATCAGTATCTGCCATTTAATGTCATCACTTTTTTCAGCATATAAGGGAATGTTTCAGTGGAAATTTGATTCTCTACTAGGCAAGATATCCTATTGTAAAGGCGGCTGTAATTCCTTTTACAGCAAATATCAAGTTGGCATACATAAGCGTTTCTTTTTAGCACATTTTCAAGTGGTTGTTTTAGGTAAACTACTTTCATTCTATTTTATAATCGGAAAACTCAGCCTTTCTGCATACCGTTTATAATTATTTAGTCATGATTACTGTGTTTTATCTTTCGAAACTATTACCAATTATTTACTTAACTTTATTTTGAATAATGTTGTTGTTTTTTTCAGATTAGAATTTATCCAACAGGTGAACAAGTCACTAAACTACTAACAATAAACTGGAATCCGTTGACAATCATGTGTGGACATCAGTGTGGTGAAATCAACTTTTATACAATACTGTAATGCTGATATCTCTGTGTTATCCATTACACGTAAACATATCATCCCAACTGCCTTATAACTTTCACCTTACCTTTATAGTAAACTAACTTTTATAAATGCACTTTCTTTTACACTTAATCAATCACGATATATGTATTCAATAAATATTTCTTTCTTATTATTGGATAAAATAAGCAAGGTCTGTTTATTTAGTGGGTTGATAATTGAAGTATTGAGTTTGAAAACCTGAATGATAGTAAGATACGAAATAATTGGGCGTCTTCATTTTTGCATTTGTTTCCGATGGTTCTCTAACCTATATCAATCTTAAAGTTTATCGAATTCCCCATAGGCAAGCAAGTAATATATTGACAAATAGTCTAAATTAAACGTCTATTTTGAATAATCTAGTAGATAAAAGGTATTACCGAATGGTACTGTTTTCAATAATATCTGATTTAACCGCCTTTGCAGTACTCAGTACTTTTATGTACAGATATTATACTTAAACAAGAAGTAATGATTTATTGCTCATTGATAACTAGGACGTAGATAATGTAGTAGGTAAGAAGAAGACGAAGCAGGATTGCAATGGTTGTATAAATTTAGCCTAGATACATAGGTTAGACCTATCTGAATAAAAATTAATCAGAACTTTAATATTATGGAACGTGCTACTGATAGGTTTTGCAAGTAGTATAAAACATAAACGTAAATAATCTGCACGAATAATCAGTAGCGGAGGGATGGATTTAATGGTGAGAAGAAGAAGTGAACGATTCATATGAAACAGCATAGGAAACATGAAAGGAAGACAAAAGAAGCATAATACGGAGGATATGTGCTGATTGTGATTTTAATGTAAGGTATGCATGTTTTGTTCATACCTGTACATGGAGTTGTCTGTAAACTAAATTCCGTTACCAAATACCATGTCTTCTGCCGTTGCTACATATTACCCATTTACTTTAAGAACAATAATAAGATTTGCAGTATTAAATGGCTTGTGACTTGAAGCTAAAGTATTTAAGGGATAAAATATTGAGACTGAGACATTTTACAGAGATACAATAATGAATTCCTTCTCGTTGAGTTTTCATAAAATTATAAGCATCGTAATATAGACCATCATTGTAAATTATTTCTGCGGGATCCTGAATAAAAATGACTTATTGATTTTTCAACAATACAATACAAACGCTGGAGTTATGCGCAAAATCTAAAATGAAAACAAAACATGTGCGTCGGTGGCACAGTGGTTAGGACTCTCGCCGACCATGCACATGGTCCGGGGTTCGATCCCCTGCCGGCGCACACCCGATATCTATGGTCAGCCTGAATTTGGGCAACCGATATCCATGCTGAAAATTCCACACTTGTACTGGAAGAGTCTCTTTTCGTCGGAGAATTCATTCACCTAGCTGTACAATAGCAATTATATTTACTTATTTTTGTATGTATGTGTAAATTAGGTTGTCCGATAAGAATAAAAATTAGTTAAGGTTATTATTCTCAAGACATTTCAAAAATGTGATGAGTAATCAAACCGTAACTAGGGCGGGGGGAGGGGGTGAAGATTGGTAAGAGGGTAATGGTGATGCGTTGTCAAAACAAAACAAAAAACATAATTATTAATGTTAATCAACACATAAGAGAAGTTGAATAGGCGTAATGCGCTTACGTAATAAGATGAGTTGTTTCATGGGTGAGTTGTGATTAGGATGCACATAGAAACAAAGAAAAATATGAAATTATGTAAGAGTTCTAAAATTATAAGTGTTACAAGGAGTGAGAAAAAAACAAGCACGTAAACATCAAGTTAGTAGGAGTTAACACGGTTGTTACCATGATAGTAGAAGTGGTTGGATGATTTTCTTTTGTATGAATAACGCTGGATTTTCCAACTGAATGTTTACGGTTTCAACGACACAAAGGAGATGAAAGCGTATTGCCTTTGGTAGGCTATTCTTCACTTTGTAGATCACTTTGAAGGAGGCGTTTGTTGAGATGGAATGACTAGTGTTGACGAGATGTTCGATTATAGCACTCCTTATTCAGCCACTATTACCTTTTTGTAACCATGTAGGATAGTATTCTTGAACCCTTTTAGACAGGATATGCGTCGAACGACCAATGTACCTGGCTCCACAGCAACAGGTGAACTGATAATATGCACATAGAAGTGGACAGGTAAGAGATCTTGTCCGTAAGGCTTCTGCAGATCAATGGACGACTGGTAAACACTACTCTTAGCGTTGCTGCAAAGAATGTTCTTTTCAAAGATGCTGAAATTCTTTCCTTGAGGATATCGCAAGCTAAGTCTGCCTTGAAATCCAGATTCATGTAAAGTATCTTTTTTGAAACAAGGGATGTTTCGTTCCTCTAGACTTTTGGTTTGATATTCTTGTCGATGAATCTTGGTGGGTATCCATTTTGGATGAAGGTTTCTTTCAGAAGATTCAGTTCTGCTTCTAGGGCGTCAGGAATGCAGATGCGTCAGATCCGAGTGGCAAGGGATTTAAACAGATTTCATTACCGCTTAATAGGTACCCAACAGTAGAAACTTATTAATTGACCGTTCCAAGTGGGTTTTCTATGGATTGACCTTCTTAAGGTTTCGTCAGGTCGTCTTGTTAGTTGCAAATCAAGAAAGGGAATTTTGGACTCGCATTCCATTTCTAGAGTGATTATTTTGTTGCTGGATGGCAGTTGTTGAATATTTGTAGCAACTGATTTTGGTTGTAACTGTTGTCGCAAACGACGAAAATGCCGTCTGCGCATAATTTGTATAATTGCAAATTTTCAATGGAAGACTAGAGTGGGCCGTTCTTAAGGCTAGCCAAGAAGCAGTCTGCTAGTAATGGACTCAAGGGAGATCCCATTGCAATACCGTCCCTTTGTCTGTAGATGGTGTCATTGAAAGTAAATTGTACATTGAGAGTACACCTCAGTACCAGTTCTTTCAGACATGTTGTTGGTATTCCAGTGTTGAACTGGTCGTCATCTATGTATTTACATATAAAACTGACAGTTTCTGTAAGCGGGACATTGGTGAACAGTGATTCATTGTCGAAAGATAGCATACTTTTGTTAGTAACATTTATTTCTTGTTTGCAATCGACGAATTGGAAGGTATCACGAAGCGAGTGTATGCCTAGATGTTACCTTACAGGTTCCAAAATATCAGCAAGCCATATCTAGAATTGGATGGAGTGGATGACCAACTTTGTGTAACTTTGGTAAGCCATAAAGACTTCGTAGTATTGAACCTGTCTGTCGGATTCTATAATAGAGATAGGACCTAATTAACTGATCAGTTTTCATTCTTTTCAAGGAGTTTGTAAGTTGTTTCTCAATCAGTTCAGTCTTTTTGCCTTCGTCGGAAGGTTAAGAAAACTTACTTTCGATAGAGAAAGAAAGACTAGATTTGCAGTATAAAATGATATCATTCTATTTCACAGGTTCTCATCAGCTGCAAACTACCTGAAATTACAATGGTTATAATTAATAACATTTTATACTTCATTGTTTGAAAGGTAATACAGAAAGCATTATAAGATAAACGCATCCGGAATATAAGGATTAAAATTTTTGTAGTTTAAGTTACCATCAATTTATATACTATCAAACTATGGAAAAAAGAAAGAAAAAGGGGGGTGAGAGAAGACAGAAAACAGAAAAATCTAATAAACAGTGTCAACATGGCAACTCAACAAGGTCAAAGTTCATCAATTTGAAAACTTGCTTAGTGAGTTGAACTCACTAGTGTCTATGAGTAATCAGTGTAATGAAAGTGATATGGTTACCAAGGGAGTGAGAGATTGACTACACTCTCTTTCTGTGTGCATAAGTTTGGTCTGAGACGTTTGATTGCAATTGCTTCAGCAAATCGTAGTAGATTCGCTGTCCTTTGTATGTTTAATATTTTGAAGGATTTGGAAATCTCAACAAAATGGCCCGTATCCACAAGGTGTCTGGTAATTGCACTTTGTAAATATTTGCTTCCTTTTAAGCATAAGTTTCTCGGAATATGCTCTGAAAACCGGATAAAAGCCCTTCTTTCTGTCCTTCCGATGTACTTGCTGCCGCAGGTGCACGTAAATTTATAAATGCAGTTGGAGGTAACATCAGCAGGGTATTTATCCAGTTTCGATTGGCTTATAGAGCATGTAGTACTGTATAGTGTCACTAGATTGGCTGCAGGGAAGCATCTCTTGATTGCTCCTTTCATCCTTTTCTCAATCTTTTGCGATACTGTTTCTCCTTTGTATGGGAGGCAAATGAATACTTTCTTCTTTCCAACTGTTGGATGCTTCTCTTTCTCATCTCTTTCTTTGCTGTACTTTAGGATAAATCCTTTTGGATAACCGTTCTCCTTAAGGCATTTTTCAACAAAGCTTAATTCTTCTTCTATCTTGTTGGGCGAACATAACTTCCTAGCCCTGTCGTACAGTGTCCGTACTAATCCCCGCTTATAGCTCATAGGGCAGAAGCTGTTGTAGTGAAGGCATTGTCCGGTCCAAGTTTCTTTTCTGTAGATGGACTTTTCGACCGTTCCATCGTCTCTTCTTTTTACATTTAGATCTTTCATTAGAGAGTATATTCTTCATTTTCTCCATATAGTCTTTCCAGTCCAAAAGAACTACACCAGCTTCCTTGTAAGGAAGGGTTATTAGTAGTTCTGTGTCGTCTCTCAGGTATTCTAATTCTCCTCTTTAATGGTTTGTTAGGTGTTTGCGGACTGTTCATTCTAGAAATTAATCGAAAAGTAGGTGTGCCTCCATTCACATTGTGACACCTTGAAATTCTCCAACCGCACACAGGATATCATCTTATCGAACAAAAGTATTATCTTTCTTGACACTGAATCACCACTATTCACCAACATTCCACTTATGGAAACCGTCTGTCATCTTATTCAATAGACAGATGAAAATCAGCTGAGCATCGAATTACCAACAGTTTGTTTAAAGGAACTACTACTGAGATGCACCCTAAATTTGCTATTCACGTTCAGCGACGTCATTTACAGACAAAAAACGGGATTGTAATGGTGTTTCTCTTGCGTTCATTGCTAGCAGACTGTTTCATGCCGGGCCTCGATAATAATTTTCGACTGTGTACAAAGTATGTGGATGACATTTTTATTATCTGTGATGACAGTCA